ATTAAAAATTGAACTGCCATTTGACCCAGTGATCCCACTTCTAGGAATATACCCTATGAAGCCTGAAACACCAATCAGGAAGAATATATGTACCCCCATGTTCATAGCAGCACTATTTACAATAGCTAAGATCTGGAAACAGCCCAAATGTCGATCTGTAGATGAATGGATAAAAAAGCGGTGGTACATATACACAATGGAGTACTATGCAGCTGTAAGAAAGAAAGATCTCTTATCCTTCGAGACGACATGGAGGGACCTGGAAAGTATTATCCTAAGCAAAACAAGTCAAACAGAGAAAGACAAGTATCATATGATCTTACTTATTTGTGGAATATAATGAACATAACAGTCTGAGGAATGGGGTAGTCCCAGAGACGTGGAAGTGGGGTACAGACTGACAATCCCAGAAGAGGGGGTGGTGGGGGAGAGATAAACCACAGAACTTATATGCATGTATGCATGAACATTGGACATGGACAACAAAGCCAGGGACAGGGCGGGGAAGGGGGAGGAGGGAGAATCAGTGGGGGGAAAAGGAGAAACATCTGTAACAAAATAAATTAATTAATTTAAAAAAAAATAAGACTAGTGAATAAAAAGCATAAAGGTCATCCTGGAGGTCCTAACCAGCGCATTAAGCAAGAATATAAAGACATGTAGTGGGGAGGAGGAATGGGGGAAAAATGTGGAACATCTGTAATACATTTTACATCTAACAATAAAGATTAAAAACAAAAAAAAGACATGCAGAGCTGAAAGGAATAAACTATTCTCAGTAAACATGATTATCTTTTTAATTTTTTTTAAATTTTGGTACATGTCCCTATTGGGAACCAAACCCCAGACTCTCTGGTCTGCAGGCTGACGCTCCAACTGCTGGGCCAAACCGGCCAGGGCAACATGATTATCTATGTAGAAATTCCAAAGAGAATCCACACAAAAGCTACTTGAACTAATAAATGACTGTCAGCAAGGTCATAGAATACACAAAAGTCAACTGTATTTTCATATAGGAGTGACAAACAATTGGAAATTAAAATTAAAACAATACCATTTACAATAGTACTAAAAAACATGATGTGTCCGGCCGGTGTGGGTCATTGGTTGAGTGTCAACACATGCACCAAGAGGTCACCGGTTTGATTCCGGGTCAGGACACATGCCCTGGTTGTGGGCCAGATTCCCAGTGGGGAGCATGCAGGAGGTGGCCAATCAATGTCCTCTCTCATTGATGTTTCTATCTCTCTCTCTCACTTCCTCTCTAAAATCAATAAAAGAAAAAAATTTAAAAAAACAAAACATGATATACTGAAAAACATATGTCTAACAGAATATGTACAATAGCTGTGTGCTGAAAATTCAAATGAGAGAAAGATCCAATTAGATGGATATACGAGATTCAATATTATTAACATGTTAGTTTTACCCAAATTGATCTATAAATTCAATCCCAGTAAAAATCCCAACATAAAATAAAAATTGATAGGCTGATTCTAAATTTATATGGAAACCTACATTATCTAGAATAGACAAACAATGTTGAAAAAGAACTTTTGAAAAGTTAAAAGACCTATAGTACCTAATTTCAAGATGTACTATAATAAAGTTGTTGTTTTTTTAAATCCTCACCCAAGGATTTTTTTGCCATTGATTTGTTTAGAGTGGTTGGAGGGAGAGAGAGAGAGAGAGAGAAACATTGATGTGAGAGAGACACATTAATTGGTTGCCTTCTGAATAATCCTGACTGGGGTCAGGGATCAAACCCACAACCAAGGTATGTGCCCTTGACAGGAAATTGAACCGTGACCCTTTGGTGCTCAGCCAGTGAGCCACACCAGCCAGGGCACTACAATAAAGTTTTAATTGAGCCCTGGCTGGTGTGGCTCAGTTGGTTGAGCTTTATCCTGAGCACCAAAAGGTCAATGGTTTGATTCCTGGTCAGGGCACATGCCTAGATTTCCGGCTCTATCCTCATTGGGGAGGAGGAAATGGATGGATGTTTCTCACATTAATGTTTCTCTCTCTCCCTCTCCCTTCCTCTCCTTCTGAAAAAAAAAAAAAAAAAATCAGTAAAATAGAGTCGGGTTGGAAGCTCAAAATGTGTTTTAAAATTTCTTTAATTGGCCCTGCTTGGTTTGGCTTAGCACTTAGAGCGTCCGCCCACTGTTGGGGTGGTTGGGGTCGTGTGGGTGGCGACCACTCTATGTGTCTCTCTCACATCGATATTTCTCTCTCTCTTCCTTCCTTTCTTCCTCCCGCTCTATCTCAAGATAAATGCAGAAATATCCTCGGGTGAGGATAAAAAAAAAAAGTTATTTAACTGAAGAAAAATTATTTTTGATTTGCAACGTTATTTTTAATTTTTATTTATTTTATTTTTCAGTCCTCACTCGAGGACATTTTTCGATATTTTGTTCAGATAGAGTGGGAGGGAGAGAGAGAGAAAAAAACATTGACGTGAAAGGGACACATTGAGTGGTTGCCACCCGCATGACCCAACCAGGGCCAGGGCCAAACCGCAGCTGAGGTATGTGCCCTTAGTGGAAACTGAACCTGGGTCTGGAGAGACTGCAGGCTGATGCTTTAACCGCTGAGCCAAACCGGCCAGGGCTGGTTTGCTATGTTATTGACTATATTTATCATACTAAATAAGATAGTACAAAACTGACTTTATAGTTATAAATATATCAATCTTCTATGATAATTTTAAATCCCTAAGAATCTAATAAGCACATAGCATTGATCTTGTTCTATTATCAGAAGAAATTTTAGAGCCTCGGTTCTGTCTAGTTTTCCCTATATCTAGGTATGCTTGCTTTTGAAAAGCAGCTGGTTAAGGGAAATGTGGGCTGGATCTGGAGAAGAGGAAAGAGTTGGTTACTGAGACAAAATGGTTTATTAGTTTATTTCCAATCCAGAGTAACCTTTAAATCCAGCCAAACCACTACGAAGTCCCTTCAGTTATTTCATGGATGTTGGTGTGGACCAAAAAGAGCCACACTCAGGGGAGGTTTGCATGATGGGTCTACAAACCCAGAGACTGAAAGTAACCACATAGGATATTGTGAACACAAAAATTCCTAACTAAAAGTGAGTCATGGGGGATAGTCATATAGGTCTGTAGATTCCTTGACAAAGGTCCATCTTTGCCTCGGGTGAGCCTGTGCATTGTCTTTTTGCATCTAAGATAACATACCTTTGGAAGGTCAGAGTAATCTCCTTTTGCAGACCCCTCAGGGCACAACAACTGCACCAGAGAAGAGACCATAGAACACCCCCCCACACACACATTATTTCCTTTCTTTTTTTGAATATTGATTTTTAGAGAGAGAGAGAGACAAAAACATCAATGAGAGAGAACATTGATTGGCTGCCTCTTGCATGCCCTCCACTGGTGATTGGGCCCACTGAAAGGGTTAATAATGTTTTAATAAAATTAAACTCCATTCTGAACAGTTATTCCTGCACGTAAACACCCGAGCAGTTTTCTAAAAAACCTGGGACTGACACCCAGATGAACCATAAAGATAATGGGTTAATGATGGCCTTGGGAAACTTGAAAGGACCATAAAAAAGGAGATTAATGATGGCTCAGACCTCTTCTGGAGCAGACTCCTTACCTCTGAGACAATTTGTATCAGCCCTGACACCAATTATGTGGTACCAAGAGAATGTGGTTATTTTTTTAAATGTAGTTTCTGTAGTTTGGGCCTATAAAAACCAGAGAACAAAGAGATTTCCATGCTGGGCTCTTTTTTAAGGAGTCAGCCTGCCTACACCCAGGCGTATGCAATAAAGCCACTGACTACACTGGCCTTGCGTTGTGGATGTGATCTTCCACCAGCTCAGACCTTTTTACCCATAAGCTGGGCATGTGCCTTGACCTGAAAACGAACTGGCAACATTTTGGTTCATGACTTGATGCTCAACCACTGAGCCACACCAGCCGGGCATCTTTTTTGTTGTTGTTGCTAATCCTCACCTGAGTATATCTTTCACGGATTTTCAGAGAGAATGGAAGGGAGGAAGGGAGGGAGGGAAACATTGAGGTGAGAGAGACACATGGATTGGTTGCCTCCTGCACAACCTGGACCTGGGTGGGAGACTGAGCCTGCAACCCAGCTATCCCTTCCCGGCCTTGACCAGGAATCAAACCTACAATCCTCTTGCCCATGGGCAGACTCTCTAACCACAGAGCAACCTGCCAGGGCCCTCATCATTTTCTTGTTCTCCCAAATACCAGCGCTATGTATTTTGAGTTAACATTTACAAAAGTGCTGTAAATGTTAACTATTAACTATCCTGTACTGAACAATGTAAAAGAACCAATGTGTTTCCCTATTTTGCCTTTTTATCCAATCCCACAGATTTCCCTGATTTGCTTTCTCCCACCCCCTTAATCTACCACCAGTGGTAGATTGCACGTAGCCCTCCTTACTTTCCTCCTTTTATTCTAATATATAAACAGCTGCAAAACTCCCATTCTCAGGAGCATGTTCTCAATTTGTTGAGATTTTGCTTCCAGACAATTCTAGTCCGTTTGGTTCAAATAAACTCATAAAAATTCTCTATAGCTTTGGGCATTCTTTACAATGTGGTTCTAAACCTTCCTAATGCCCCGACACTCAATGCAGTTCCTCCTGCTGTATGTGGACACGTCTGCATGTGGGCGGCCCGCCTGGAGATGGACAGAGGAGCGGTGTCTGGGTTCCTAACACCATCAAAATATACGTTTTCCCATTGTCTTACGCGACCCCTGTGAAAAGGTCGTTCGACCCCCAAAGGGGTCGCGACCCACGGGTTGAGAACCACTGTTACATCGACACTGGGTATTAGGAAATAATACCAAAGACAATGAATCTAGTGACCTAAGACGTTTTGGTGAGGTTGGATGGAGGCAGGTCCGTTTCCGGAAGGCCACAGGAATAGGTCGCCCAGAGGAGCCGCTCTCTAGGCCCTCGAGGCCACGCCCTCGGGTCCTTCCCACTCCGGCTCGGCCCGGGCGCTGCTGTGCCGGCAATGCCCTCGCCGCCTCCTCGCCCGGAAAGCCTGCATTTCCAGGTCCGCCGTCAGCTCCGCCGTCAGCTCACCGCGTCCTTCGCGGAGGGGGCCCTGCGCCGCCTTTTGAACGTCTCGGGCCCTTCACGGACGCGCGCGTCCAGTTCTGTTTTCCCAAGTCCGCGTTGTCCCGCCGAGCTCGCGGCGGCGCGGGGGCGCGGGCTTCGGAGCTGGGCCAGCCCACGCCGCTGCGCGCTCGGGGCCCCGCAGGGCAGGCGGCCGCGTCGGTCCCCGCGCCGTCCGCTCCGGCTGCGGCGCGCGCTCACGTGGCCGGAGGACGCGGCGCGACGCGGAGGCTCGGCGCCGGGTGAGCGCGCCGGAGGGGCGGCGGGTTCCCGGACCCCGAGGGGCGGGGCGGCGCCGCCGGTGGGAACCGCGAGCGGGGAGGGCTCGGGAGCGGCGGCGCACAGCCGTGGGAACTCGGCCCGCTGTGGACGAGCTGGCGGATTTACTCCTTTCCCCTAATGCTAGTTTAATGGCCTTGTCCGACAATATAGGGAATAGGTTTGAAAAACTCTATTTCTGCCTCTCTCCCCTCCTTCTTTCTTTATTTTTTCTATTATTTTGAGACTTAACAATTGCAGCGCACTAAATGCAATGTAGTATCCTGGATTGGGTCCTGGAACAGGAAAAGGTCATCAGAAGAAAAACTGGGTAAATGCTAATAAAGTCTGTAGTTTAGTTCATGTTAACGTCTTTAAATATCCCCTAATATTAACCTTCGAGGAATCCAGGTAAAGGGTGTACAGCAGTTCTCTGTATTATCTTTGCAACTTACTGTAAATCTAAAATTGTTTTAACAAAAAGTTAGAAAACAAAATCCTATGATGCTGTGCAGCAGGCCATTATTCACCACGCAGGGATCCAGCTCATTTGCCAGGCCTGACAGGAATTATGTGTTTGACCAACTTGTTTGCTAAGGCAAGAATTGTTAGGCTACTGGGTGTGGATGCTTCCAGGAAAAGTTTTCCTGGCGGAATATGTTTTCTTTTTTAAGTCAGTCAGCTGTCTTTGCAACATCTGTTATGCACAAGCAAACGAGACACATATACTCCCTGTACTACGGGTGTGTTCAGTAAAAACATTAGGTAAGAAGTAAGGACTACTAGAAGGTACTGGCCAGTTTTACTCAGTGGTTAGAGCGTTGACCTATGGACTAAGGAGTCGCAGGTTTGATTCTGGTGAAGGGCATGTGAAGATAAATGGAAAAATATCCTCGGGTGAAGATTTAAAAAAAAAAAAAGGCACAGGGCAGAACGAGGAGAGCTCAGAGGGAGGAGAAATCACATGTGGCCCAGCGTAGTCTGGAAGGCTACCAGAGGGAATGGCTGAGGGAGTGGCTGTCACCAACTGAGGGGGCCTTAGAGGAGAAAGCATCCCTGGAGTGGAGAATGGCCCCAGTGGCCAGGCTGAGGCTGCCTGGGAGCAGATGCAGTCCCTCTTACGTGGCAGCACAGAGCATGCACAGGGAGTACTGACAGTCGAAACAGGAAGTGAAGACAGGATTCTTTACCCTGTAGCAAACTGGGTGACACTTCATTATATATGCCATGGGAGCTATAGAATGCTACGGGCATCACTGGATCTGTGCTTGGCAACAGTGTGTAGGATAGCTTGGAGTACATCAGTTAGGGAACTATTTATTGGTTTAGCCCAGAAGTAACAAGAAATTCAGTCCAGCCTATGAAGTTCATGTGCAAAGAAGGATATGGTGGTGGGAGATTGTGGATCTAGAAATCTAGAGGACTTGACAACTGAAGGTTCTAAAGAGAAGGAAGAAGAAAAAACATTTTCAAAGTTTTGGACCTGTGTGTTTTAGAGTACGGCTGCTGCATTTGCAGAAATAAAGGACTGAGGAGGAGACACAGTGGGAGTGGGGGAGGGGAAGGAATTTGTTTGTGAACAATCTGTGTTTGAATTGCTGCCCTGATATCCTGCTGGAGATGTGTTTTTAAGAATGGAAGGCAAACATGTACAGAAGGGACAGGAAGAGGAAAGGAGCCTGAGCGGGCAGATAATAGAGGGTTGGGGATTCCTGTGGGGTTGAGGAGTCAGGGACTGACCAGGGGATGGGCGTGGTGAGTCGTTAGGCACAGCTTCTGAGGAAGTGGAGGTGGCCAAGGAAGGAGACTGGATCTTGGATTTAGCCATTAGGAAGTCACTGGTCGCTTTTCAGAGTTGTTTCAGTGCAGAAGTAGGATGAATGTGTGCTCAGGCTGCAGTCTGTTCATTCTGTCGCTCTTCCTAAGTGGCCAGACCACAGAACAAAGAGCCAGAGAGATGGTTTCTAGTTCTGGCTCTACCACTACCTGTATAATTGGGGGCTAGGCATGTATGCCTAGACTAGCATAGGAAAATACATCTCTTGTTTTGTTTTTTGTGCGTTTTAATCCTCACCCGAGGATATTTTTACATTTATCTTCAGACAGAGTGGGAGGGGGTGAGAGAGAGATAGAGAGAGAGAGAGAAACATCGGTGTGTGAGAGAGAGAGATACATCGATCGGTTGCCACCCACATGACCCCAACCAGGGCCAGGGATGAACTGCAACCAAGGTATGTGCCCTTGGCTGGAATTGAACCCAGGACTCTTTAGTCTGAGAGTCAGTGCTGTAACCGCTGAGCCAAACCAGCCAGGGCGGAAAATACATCTTTTAATAAAAAGAGAAGGGCCCTTTTATTCCTAGCATCACCTCATAGTTCATAGAACTAGGGTTCCATGGGGCACACTTTGGAAAATGCTGACACAGAACCAGGATTTTAAAGTTCTGAAGAATAACAACAACAAAAATCTTATCCAATTCCCTAATTTGATAAATGAAAAAACTAATACTCAAATTCTAATTCATTAAACATGGATTTCAGATATATCAATGGTGCCCAAATATAGGGTTTATATACCTCTATAACGTAGTTAGGTTTAAACCCACTTTGGAGAATTGAAAACAGGCTCCAAGAAGTTAAGTGACTTGCTCAGGATTACAGAGCAGCAAGTGGTGGAGTGAATTGTTTTTTTTTATCCTCACCCGAGGACATTTTTTCCATTTTTTATTCAGATAGACTGGGAGGGAGAGAGAGGAAGAGAGAGAGAGAGAGAGAGAGAAACATTGATGTGAAAGGGACGCATCGAGTGGCTGCCACCTGCATGACCCAACCAGGGCCAGGGACAAACTGCAACCGAGGTACATGCCCTTAGCAGGAACCGAACCCAGGTCTCTCCGGACCGCAGGCCAACGCTCTAACCGCTGAGCCAAACCGGCCAGGGCAATGGTGGAGTGAAATTTTAACCCAGACCTCCTGAAGTCAGGCCTTCTCTGTCACACATCCTGCTGCCTCCCTGGTTGTAAACACTGAATGCACTTAAAACTAGTTGAATGGCCCTGGCCAGTTTGGCTCAGCGGTTAGAGTGTCGGCCTGCTGTCCAGAGAGACCCGGGTTCGGTTCTTGTTAAGGGCATGTACCTTGGTTGCATTTTGTCCCGGGCCCTGGTTGGGTCATGCTGGTGGCAACCACTCGATGTGTCCCTTTCACACCGATATTTCTCTCTCTCTCTTCCTCTCTCTCCTTCCCGCTCTATCTGAACAAAAAAAATGTAAAAAGGTCCTTGGGTGAGGATAAAAAAATAAAAAAAATAAAACTAGTTGAATGGAATGTTAGTAATGTGTTCTAAAAGTCAAGTTTAATTTGACTGCGTTCCATGTTAATATTACTACCAGTATATAAAAAGTGGGAGGGTACACAGCCAATAGTTCCTGAAGTTACATTTTAAAAAATAGTAGAGCATTGGGCCATGTGAAAACTTAGTATTACATTCAGTTTTCAGTAGTGGAAAGATATTCCTATGATGCTTGAATATATGTGGTGCATTAAAAAATATTCTTAGCTAATCTTGTGATTTCATATTCTTTCCTATTATTGCTTTTTTCCGTTGTGTTGACCAATTCCATTTCCTTCACTGCTGGTTGCAACTGTGACCACACCTTCCTTAACAGAGATGCGAGGTCGCGTTTATAAACAGGAATCTGCACTAGAGGTAAAACACAAACTTATTTATTTATTTTTTTTTATCCTCACCCGAGGACATTTTTCCATTTTTTGTTCAGGTAGAGTGGGAGGGAGAGAGAGGAACAGAGAGAGAGAGAGAAACATCGATGTGAAAGGAACACATCGAGTGGCTGCCACCCGCACAACCGACCAGGGCCGGGGACAAACTGCAACCGAGGTACGTGTCCTTAACGGGAACCGAACCCCGGTCTCTCAGGACCGCAGGCCGACGCTCCAACCGCTGAGCCAAACCGGCCAGGGCACTAGAGGTAAAACACAAACTCTTATGTAATCAATAATTTCCCATCAACTCTGACAAATAAAAATATAACTCATTTACTTATTTAGGAAGTAAACTTGTAAAGGAACCAAGATGATTTTATAAAAACGTTGGGGGGAAAAAATGGGTCCAATAGACTGTGTTGAGTGTTGCTAAAACTAGCTATTTAAAATTTCTTATTTCCTTTATTGATTTTTAGAGAGAGAGGAAATGAGAAGGCTAGAGAGATAGAAACGTTGATGAGAGAGAACATCGACTGGCTGCCTCCTGCATGCCCCCCACTGGGGATTGGGCCCACAACCCGGGCATGTGCCCTGACTGGCAGTTGAACTGGTGACCTCTTGGTGCATGGGTTAACGCTCAACCACTGAGCCACACAAGCCGGACTAAAAGTAGTTGTTTTAGACTTTTACTTTCAGTTCTATCAGATGTCATAAGTAATAGAAACTTGGTTTACTTTGACGTTAATCTCATTGAAATTTTCCAAAAGATAGAAAGCAGTGGCAAAGAGTGGACTCTGACATTAGGGGTCTGGATTCAGAATCTGGCTCTGGCTCTTGTTAGCTGTGTTACTTAACCTATGTGCGCTTCATTTTAACTGTTCATACTTAAATAATAATAGTGTTGCCTGGCCGGTGTGGCTCAATGGGTTGAGTATTGTCCCATGGACTGAGAGGTCCTGGTTCAATTCCCAGTTAGGGCACATGCCCAGGTTGTGGGCTCGATCCTCAGTAGGGGACGTGCGGGAGGCAGCCAATGGATGAATCTCTCTCACACTGATGTTTCTATCCCTCTCTTCATTCCTCTTTCTGTCTTCTTTCCTCTCTCTCTCTCCCTTCTTCTCTCTGTCTCCCTTCCTCTCTCTCAAAATTAAAAAAAAATATATTTAAATAATAATAGTGTTGTCTTACAGAGTTTTTGTAAAAATTAAATAGAATAATCTAAGTAAAGCACTCAAAATAGTGCCTAGAACCCAGAAAGCAAGCAATAAGTGCTAGTTAGCTACTATTATGTGATTAAAAATTTGTTGCTGATTTAAGGTATCCAGTTTAACAATTTTCTTATGTAGGAAGGCACAATTGATTAACACATTTCTCATCTTGCCCCTAATTCAGTTAAAAGTCCCTTATTTTTTTTCGGTGTTTTAAAAAAATTTAATATATTATTGAAGTAAAATTTACATATGATAAAATGCACCATTATAAGTATACAGTTGGATTAGTTTTGACAAACCATTGTTCTAGACTAGATATAAAACTTTTCCATCATCCCAAAAAGTTCTCTCATGCCCTTTGAAGTTCACCTTTCCACCCCAGACAACCATTGATGTATTGTCTGTTATGAACATTAGTTTTGCCAGGATTTCATACAGTATTTGGTTCTTCAGTTAGTATAATATCTGTAAGATTCACCATGTTATTGCATCATCAGAAATTCATTATTTATTGCTGAACACATTCTTTTGTATGGATGTACTATAATTTGTCTGTTTTCCTGTTGATAGACATTTGGGTTGTTTCCAGGTTGGGGCTAATTTGAATAATGCTATGAACATTCATATACACAACTCTGTGTGAAGACATGTTTTTATTTCTCTTGGGTGAATACCAAGAATGCAATTTCTGGGTCACCATTGAAAAGAAACTGTCAAACTTTACAGTGTTTGTATCATTTTATGTGCCCATCAACAGTGTATGTGGATGTCCACATCTTCAGTAACACTTGCAATTGGCAGTGGTAGGTGACTGAATCTCACTGTAGTAAATCTACAATTTCCTGATGGCTAATGATGTTGAATGTCTTCCCACCTTTGTATCTTCTTTTATGATGTATTACCTCAAATCTTTTAAGGGCCTTTGTTTTTAACACATTGAAAATATATGGTACTTTGACCCTGAAAACAACAGAAAAACCTTCATATATGATCAGATTTATTTGGCATCTATGTTGTGGTTTTAATAGTGGAAGAATAAGAGCGCTATCTCAGCAAAAAATGAGATTTAATTATTTTTGAAAGATGGAGATTTATTTATTTATTTTTTTGTTTTTGTTTTTGTATCCTCATCCGAGGACATTTTTTCATTTTTTGTTCAGATAGAGTGGGAGGGAGAAAGAGAGAGAGAAACATCGACGTGAAAGGGACACATTGAGTGGTTGCCACCTGCATAACCCAACCAGGGCTGGGGACAAACTGCAACCGAGGTACATGCCCTTAGCGGAAACCGAACCCGGGTCTCTCAGGACCGCAGGCCGACGCTCTAACCACTGAGCAAAACCGGCCAGGGTGGAGATTTATTTTTTAAATTCCTGCTAAGCAACCACTTAAACAGCAGGATATTTAGAAAAATATGTCAGATGTGTGTGTGTGTTCAGTGAATCTTGTGAAAAGGATGAAATATTTCTAAATAACTACAGCAAAGCAGCTGTTTTGAAAGTCTGGTGGTGAAAGTCCCTCTTAACTGAACTCTGCACTAGGCTGAGCATTTCAGGTGCTGTCCAGCCACCAGGTAGGCCAGTGTCACCAGGTAGGTGCCAGCTACAATGGTCTTCAGACTGGGCAGGCTCCGTGGTGATTTCTCTGGAGATACTTTCTTCTTGGAAGAAGGGCAGACAGTTAGCCCTGTGGGATCCAGTGTGCGGCCTTGCTGAGGTGACTGTTTTGTTTTTCTGCCCTAGGGGCAAGTTGATTTCAGTTTGTATATCTCTTCTTTGCTTTATTCTTTTATTAAACAAGTATTTATTGAGCACGGCCTGTGTCTCAGTTTTGGGCATTAGGAATGCAATGGTGATCCAAACTTGTGGAGCTCGTACTCCTCTTAGGGCCATTTAGAGCGGGTTTGGGCTCCGGTGGGGGAAAATTTCAGGGTGTCTACCTCTAGAGAGGCATCCCAGGTAGGCTGGACCACCCGCAGCTTCACTGGGCTCTCTCTTGTATTACCTTCCCCCTTTTACTAGTGCAGTTTGAAAAATTAGTAAAATATGGAGGAGTACGTAAGAAGGTCATCAGTGCTAAGGAGAAAGATAAAGCAGGGAGAGTGGGAAGTTTCCAATTTTAGATGGAGTGCCAGGAAAGGTCCACTGAAAAGGTAAGACTGAAGGAAAGACCCACAGGAGGGGGGAACACAAAGCTCTGGGGCAGAAATGCCTGGCATGGTCAAGGGCATGGGGCCAGGGCAGTCAGCCTAGGCTGAGGGGACAGGGCAGAGATTAGCATCAGACACTTGGCCATTGCAAAGGCTTTGGTATTTGCTCTGGTTGCATTGAGAAATAGGTTTTGAACACAGAGGCAATCCGATTTGAGGGAGAGATAGGGAACCTTTGCCCCTCCCACCTCCCACTGTCCCAAATCACCTTTGCTAATAGTTTCTGCACAGAAATAGCGAATGAATCAAGTGGGGCTGTCAGAGAAACAGGAAGAGCCCTGAGCACCTGAATGGGATAAAAAGGGCTGTGAAGGGAAGAGGCAGGTCTTAGTCATTGCAAGTCTTGTTTTTCAGACTTGTCTGAATTTTATATAGCTCTTAGGTTGTGAAAACTGAACCCATTCCTTTATAAGCCTGCATATCAAGAATGTCCTGTTTCCTTGGCAAAGACTGATCTGCTTTACCCTGATCCGTAGGTTACTGCATTCAGGAAAAGCCTTTCCTGCTTCCTTACAATTCACTGCATCTTTGAAATAAGACGTGGGAATTTTTCCCACCTACACAGTCCTGAAATGCTGACTGGGATTGCGTCTGTGTGCTGGTGCTTACACAGAGAGGAACTTTTCTTCCCTGGAAAACCCAACTTTTTTTTTTTAACTAGCGTTTTTCTTAACTGCAGGTAATCTGCTTTTCCTTATGGTAAAGACTGCATCTGGCTGATGAGCGGGGTGGAGAGGCCACCGAGCGAGGCGCGGGCGCAGACCTGGGAGACGGAGGACGAGGACATGGCAGAGGGCGACTTAGGGTATGGCCTCGGAAGAAGGCCCGGCGGCATTTATGAAGCTCAAGTTTCACACTTGTTTACATCTAGAAAAAGATCAGATGAAAGGAACTTTAGCCCTCCCCCATTTCCAAAAAAGGGGGAAGAAAGAAGCGGTGCCCTTTTCCACTATTCCAGTCCTCAAGATACATACCCTGCGGGGTCCAGAATTTCCCCCAACAGAGGACACAGTAGCACTGGTAAGCGCACCCGGGTCCCCGCCCTCTTCCCCACTGTGGCTCTGTCAGCGCAGGGAAAGGGGCCCCCAGAGTGCTCTTCAGAGATGTGTCTTTAGTCACCTCTTGACATTGGTGACGGTTCAAAAGTAATTGATGTTTCTATTTCCAAAATAGTTCAAATTGTGAAGTACACTAGTTTTTTTGCATTAATACACGTTAGTGATATTAGTAAATATTTAACTGCCTTGCTTTTTTTGTGATGTAGTGGTATACATCACTTTTTTTTCTTATTCGACAAATACTTATTGGGCACCGATTAGGTGCCTGGGACAGTTCCAAGCTCTGGGAATAACATCATTGAACAAAATAGTCAAAAGCCCAAATGTCATGGAGTTTACGTTCTAGTAGAGGAGACAGAATAAGCCTACAAATCAGCAGCTGTGTACCATCAGGCAGTGGTAAGTGAAGGGACAGTAGTGATTGGAGGGCCTGGGCACTGCTATTGCAGGCAAGGGTCAGGGAGGCCTCTCGAAGGAGGTGACATGTGAGCACTGCAAGCCTGGTGCTTATCTGGGGAAGGACTGTTACCAGCAGAACATGCATGTTTCTGGTTATTTTAGGGATGTCATGAAATTATCAAAAATTATCAGACCAAAATTAATCTTAATTTATTATAACTAAAATAAATTATGCCGCACATTACGGAAAGAATATAATTCAGAATCATACTGGGATAGAATGATAAACTCCACAGTGATTAAGAACCGATGGTGAGTCCATGCCTGCACTGTGGCACAGCCCTTGTGTGGCCGAATCTTTTGTAATCTACAGTGGAAAACTTCCCCACCAAAGTGGAACAAACACAGATTAGAACAACACAAAAATAGTGAACAAACCTGGGTTCAGATTTACAAACAACATGTTGTAGCTGGGTGTCTATGCCCATCCCTCAAAATCCTTTTTGAAATTGGGATGGGATTATTTATATATATTTTTGTGTACTGTGTCTGTATGTAGTAATGAACCAATTTGTTAACAACAGTTTTATTTTATAATCCCTTTAAAAAGTCTTTTTATTCAAAGTATGTATCTCTTCATTTGTGAAATATTTTGAAGCTACCTATTTATTTTTTATCCTCACCTGAGGATACTTTTCGATATTTTGTTCAGATAGAGTGGGATGGATAGAGAGAGAAACATCAGTGTGAAAGAGACACATTGAGTGGTTGCCACCCACACGACCCAACCAGGGCCGGGGACAAACTGCAACCGAGGTGGGCGTCCTTAGCGGAAACCGAACTCAGGTCTCTCGGGACCGCAGGCCAATGCTCTAACCGCTGAGCCAAACTGGCCAGGGCTAAGCTACCTATTTTTATCATTATTTGGTTTATTACAATTCTTTTCTCTTTGCAATTTAGGGGAAATCTATATTTGATAATTTATAAACAAATGTCCTTATTTAACTAAAGAAAATATGTTTGTGTTTTTTTCTAATAGATTCTAATTCAGAATTGTCAAAGGTAGAATTAAAGCAACGTCTTGCTGAAACATTGGAGGTAGGTACTCTGGCTAGTGTAAAAATTCCCATGTGAATGAAGGTCCACTGGTATTTTGTTTAAGTAATACCAAAATTGTGTGGAAGGCAGATGTTGGCTTGCCAGGTGGTCTGGATGAGCCACAGGGTAGACCTAAGAGCTGGCCGCCTCAGTTTCTTACCCTCCTCATTTCTCAGCAAGGCCGTCTATGTAAACATGCCCTCCAGTTCTCCCTTAACCCCAACCTGCTTCTTTCCTCTCCTCCTGGAGAAAATAGTTATCACTTCTTTCCATCTGTCTTCCCTGATCATGTGGCTTGAAATAACTTGACTTAATTTAACCTCTTTGAAGTCCGAAGACCAGAAAGTATTTCAGGTGGTGGGAGGAGGTCGACAGCCTGCTGGGAGCTGGCGTTTCTGTGGGGGGTGTCTATCCTATGGGAAGCAGGAAGCCTATCTGGGTGTATGCTTTTGACTCCTGTGAAAGCTTCTGTACTCATTTCCTAGGACTGCGGAGACAAAGTCTCACACACTGCACGCTTAAAACAACAGAGATTTATTTACTCAGTTCTGCAGGCTAGAAGTCAGAAATCAAGGTGTCAGTGGGCTGCAATCCCTCTGAGAGGCTTCAAGGAGAATCCTTTCCCTCTTCCTAGCTCCTGGTGGTTGCCCATGACAATCCTTGTCCCTAGCTTTCCTTGGCTCATGGCTGCATCACCCTTGTCTCTGTCTCTGTCATCATATGGCCTTCTCCCCTGTGTGTCCAAATTTTTCTTATTTTATGAGGACACCATTCATTGAGTTGGGGCTTACCCTAATCTAGTCTGACCTCATTTTAACTTGATTACATCTGCAAAGACCCTATTTTCAAATAAAGTCACATTCATAGTACCAGGAGTTAGAACTTGAACATTTCCCTTGGGGGGACACAGTGCAACCCATAATAACTACTGTAGCTGTGTGAATGGTCAGATGGTTATTTTATGTGGCCTAAGGATTGTTTTTCAAAGTCTTAGCTGTGTGGCCTAGATGGGCAAAAGCGAGATTTGGGCTTCGAGTTACAAATGGCACCTGATAGTGAGGCTCTCAATTTTGGCCTGTCTGGCCCTCCTCTGGAGCCCATAGGAATTTCCAGCCTCACATATGAGGTCAGAGTGCTTGGATCCCAACTGTATTTGAGCTTAAATGTAGACTGGCAAATGAATTATTTGGCATTGCACATCTTGCTGATAAGAAGACTAATTTTATTTCTCTCCTCAGGAGGTAGAAATTTTAAAAACTGAACTTGAGGCATCTCAAAGACAACTTGAAGGTAAAGAGGAAGCACTGAAAATTCTTCAAAGCATGGTAAGAAGTTTTTTAAACTTCCATCACTTTCACATTCCAATACTAAGTGGGATGGTTTTGGTTTTTATTTATTTATTTTTTAAAATATGTTTTTATTGATTTTTAGAGAGAGAGGAAGGGAGAGAGATAGAAACATCCATGAGAGACAAACATTGATGGGCTGCCTCCTGCACACCCCCTACTGGGGATGGAGCCCACAGCCCAGGTCTGTGCCCTCACTTGGAATTGAACTGAGACCTCTCAGTCCATGGGACGATGCTCAATCCACGGAGCCACACCCTCTGGACTACTTTTGGCTTTTAAGACAAAGGTAGCAGTACTTAATATAATTGAGTTTCTCTTTGAGTTTTAGATTTTTTTAACAGCTTTATTGAGGTACAATTTACATATTATGAAATTCACTCATTTTAAAGCATGCAGTTTATTTTTACTAGACTTAGAGTTGTTAAGCCATCACCACAATCTAATTTTAGAACATTTCAACACCCCAAAAAGGAGACTTGTACACATTAACAGTCATTCCCCATTTCCATCTGTAATCTGCTTTCTGTCTTATAGATTTGCCTTTTCTAATTCATATAAATAGAATCATACACTATGTGTCTGGATTCTTTTGCATCTGGATTCTTTTAGGTAGCATGTTTTTGAGGTTCAAGCATGGTGTAGCATGTGTCAGTACTTTCTTCCTTTTTTGTTGCTAAATAATATTCCATTATACAGATCTAGTTATTTTGTTTATCCATTCACCAGTTGATGGGTGTTTGGATTTCCACCTTTGGCCATTATGAATGTTTGTGTACACCTCTTTGTGTGGAAAATCCTTTCATGCATTCTCACATTCACTGGGAAAGAGCCAAACCAAGATCTTCTGACTTTTTAACTATCAAATGCTCCACAAAAAGGGGTCTCTGTGGAAATTCTTGTCTCAAATTAATTTTCTGTTGTCTTAAAATAAAAATGTGAACTTCAGCCCTGGCCGGGTGGCTCAGTTGGTTGGGTGTCATCCCAGGCACCGAAAGGTTCCTGGTTCTCCTCCTGGTCAGGGCACGTGCCCGGCTTCCAGGCTCGATCCCCAGTCGGGGTGCATGCGGGAGGCAGCTGATTGATGTTTCTCTCTCTTTCTCTAGAATCAATAGAAACTTATTATTATTTTTTTTATCCTCACCCGAGGACATTTTTTGTTTTTTGTTCAGATAGAGTGGGAGGGAGAGAGAGGAAGAGAGAGAGAGAGAGAGAGAGAAAAACATCAATGTGAAAGGAACACATTGAGTGGCTGCCACATGCAGGACCCAACCAGGGCCAGGGACAAACCGCAACCGAGGTACATGCCCTTAGTGGGAACCGAACCCAGGTCTCTCTGGACTGCAGGCCGACGCTCTAACTGCTGAGCCAAACCTGCCAGGGTGAAACTTATATTTTTTGAAAAAGTGAACTTTATTGTGCATATAGGAGTGGTTAGAAATTTAATACTGATATGATTTTTATTTTTCTTAGGCAATATTTGGCAAAGCCACAAGTCATACCCAGGCAGTACTTCAAAAAACTGTGGAACAAAGGAGATCCTTGGAGAAGGTATTTGCATTTTTATTGTATTTATTTATGTATAATATTTTGATACTTTCTTAGAAACAACAGGCATTTTTTAAAATATGTTTTTATTGATTATTTTATATATATAGAGAGAGAGAGGAAGGGAGAGAAAGATAGAAACATTGATGTGAGAGAAATTCATCTATCAGTTGCCTCTTGCATGCTCCCCACTGGGGATTGATCCAGCAACCCGGCATGTACCCTGACCAGGAATCTAACCGGGACCTCTCAGTCCATGGGGTGTTGCTCAATCCACTGAGCCACACAGGCCAGGAAGTATTTGCATTTTTAGCATAAACTTGTTAATGCAACAAGCTCTCAAACAGAATTTCCTGAACGGTCATCTGACTAATGGATACGTGGTTTGTGGACACCTTCTACTAGGTGCGCTTCACTTCGTATGGTTCCTTCCCTCCTGGAGTTGATAATCCGAAGAGTTTGTCAAATGGGCAGAGAGTTAAGGTTTCTTTTCTTTCTTCATTTTTAAAGTAGTAGGAGGCCTGCAAAGTTGACACTTCCTATTTTTCTTTTTTCCTTTCTTTGCTTCCAGAGCCTGCCTCTTTCTGACCACATCATCTTTACTAAAAAGGTAGTTAGGAATCACCTTCGAAGGTCATGTTCCTGTGCCTGTCGTACCCTCCCCTGATGGGACGTCCCTGAGTCCAGACTTCAGGAGTGTATTTTGCTTCTGGAGTCTGTATGGATGGGGGTGGGGTAGGGATGATGAGAAATCGGGGTGTAGACCAGCACGTTTTTAAGCTAGACGACTTGAAATGTCTTCTATGATAAGTAAGCTTTGGCAGAACCCTTTTGAATGCAGTAGAGGTGTGTCACCTGGGTTTACAAGTGTCAGACTCCTTTTGAACAGCAGTTCATTTTTTTTTTTAAACTATTCTTTATTTGGTTTTTTTTTATCCTCACCCGAGAACATTTTTCCATTTTTTTGTTCAGGTAGAGTGGGAGGGAGAGAGATGAAGAGAGAGAGAAACATCGACGTGAAAGGGACACATCGAGTGGCTGCCACCTGCACAACCAACCAGGGCCGGGGACAAACTGCAACCGAGGTACATGCCCTTAGCGGGAACCGAACCTGGGTCTCTCTGGACCGCAGGCCGATGCTCTAACCGCTGAGCCAAACCGGCAGGGGCAGCAATTCATTTTTTAATTTTAAACCTATTTCTGTGAAATGATTAGGTGATTTATTTCAGCTATTTACAATATCCTGAAGTGATTTTGCAAAATTTTCCATGAAAGTGCTATTTTCTTTCTATAGGAAATAAATGCCTTGCAGTGGAAAATAGAATTTGATCAGAATAGATTAAAAAATATAGAAGAATCTTGGACCCAAAAATGTGACAGGTTTGTATATTATTATTTCATAGTTTTTGTTTAGAAATCTTTAAAGTGTGTATAATTCAAATGTGGTTTAGGCTTTGTGTTTCATTGAGCTAACTGTAAATATTATAAAATACTTATTGTTTAGCCACTTGTCAGCTCCATATTTTTCTGTTAGTTTTAATTTTCTTTTTAAAAAATATAGTATAAACTGTATTTTTAAATGCAATGTAAGAATCATTGTTTTTTAAGTTATTTTAGCATTCACACTATTTTTTTTTTTTTTTTATCCTCACCCGAGGACATTTTTCCATTTTTTGTACAGATAGAGTGGGAGGGAGAGAGAGGAAGAGAGAGAAAGGGAAACATCGATGTGAAAGGGACACATCGAGTGGCCGCCACCCGCACGACCAACCAGGGCCGGGAACAAACTGCAACCGAGGCACATGCCCTTAGCGGGAATCGAACCCAGGTCTCTCTGGACCGCAGGCGGACGCTCTAACCGCTGAGCCAAACCGGCCAGGGCCACACTATTTTTTCAAACAAAACCTTTTGAGCAGCTTTTTCACTAGTGTGAATTTAATAACTTTATATATATTTTTAATCTCCCCTGAGGATATGTTTTTTAAAATTGATTTTAAAGAGAGAGGGAGAGAGAGAGAACATCAGTTGGTTGCCCCGACTGGGGATTGAACCTGCAACCTAGGTATGTGCCCTGCCTGGGAATCAAGCCCGTGACCTTTTGGTGTGTGGGACGATGCTCCAACCAACTGAGCCACACCAGCCTGGGTGTGAACTTAATAACTTTAAATTATAACATACACTTTTTATAAAGTCAGTCACTAGGAAATTGATTTGATATCTTGGGTTATATATGGTTTCATTGCCTAATTTTTAAATTTATTTTTTCTAAATTTTAATTTGAGATCATTGAAGGTTTATGGAAAGCTTGTACGAACAGCACAAAGAATTCTTCAAGTATATCTCTTTCCAGGATTGTCCAAGTTTTGACCCTTTACCACATTTGCATTATTATTCTTTTTCCCTTTATTTCTCTTTGTAATTAAATATGTAGAAAAAATAGATATAATTTTTTTCTGCACCATAAGAGTAAGTTGCATATATAGGGCTCCATTACTATAAATATTTCAGTTTTTTTCTTTAAAGTGACATTTTCTTTTAAAACCATAACATAATTATAAAAACCAATACTGTTTTTTAATCTATAGACCTTATTTAGATTTGCCAATTATCCTAATAATGCCTCATAAAAAAAGAGAGAAAAATGTTTCCCTGTTTAAGATCCTATACAGAATCATACATTGCAGTTGGTTGTCAAGTCTGATGTTGCTTTGTCCCATCCCTAGGATGTGAATCTTGATCACTTGGTGTAGGGTGTGGTATCTGCCCTCCTTCTATACTACAGTCACAATTTTCCCCCTTGTAAGTAATGAGCATCTTGTGGGGAGATACTTTAAGATTATGTAAATATACTGTTACTAATCAGACTTTCACCCACTAGTTTTTACATCCACTGATTATTCTGCCTGAAGCAGTTATTACTGTGATGACTGCCAAATGGCAATTTTTGAATTCCATTATTCCTTCTACATTTATTTTTAAAAATTTATTTTTCTTTATTGATTTTTAGAGAGAGAGGAAGGGAGAGGGAGAGAGAGAGAAACATCGATGAAAGAGAACATCTATTGGCTGCCTCCTGCATGCCCCACACTGGAGACTGGGCCCACAACCTGGGCATGTGCCCTGACTGGGAATCGAAGTGGCAACCTCTTGATCCATGGGTCAGCGCTCAACCACTGAGCCACTAGTCAGAAAGGTATATTCACAGAAGTGTCATTCTCCCTACCATGTCCTCTGCCCCACTCCCAGCCTCTTACCGTCCTTCCTTCCCCTCACCATCTGCAGACAACCAATGTTACTATTTTCTGATTTATCCTTCCTGTGTTTCTGTTTGTATGAATGGGAAGATTTATGTATGTTTTCTTATTTTCCCTTTTTTCTTACACAAAAGATAGTTTATTATAGATACTTTTTTGCCCTTTGATTTTTCTATTTAATAATATATCCTGGAAATCACTCCATTGTGTGGATGTTTCATACGTAGTGTACTCAACCATTCTCCTGTATATGGGCACTTACATTGTTCCCAGAATTTTGTAATTATAAACAAAGCTATAATAAATAACCTTGACATATATACTTTGTGTTGTTGGAGATGTATTTTCAGGGTAATTTCTTAGAAATAGAATCGCTGGGTCAGAAGGTAAATGCATACATATATTTATTAGATGTTGCCAGATTCCTCTCTGTCAGGCTTGGACCACTTTGCATTCCTACCGCAATGCGTGAGAGTGCCTGTTTCCCCACAGCTTCATCAGGAGAATATATTATACGTTTTAATTTTCTTGATGGTGTTGTTTACCTATTTTTTTTATTTTTTTATTTTGTTTTGGCTGCACAGAGCCCAGAAAATTCTGATTCACATACACAGATTTACGCTTGGTTGATAGATTACCTTTTCAGATACTCATCAATTAAGCAGAGCTGGCAGAAGATGCTTTATTTTGAGGTCTGCACAAAATTAGTTAACCAGGCAGCAAAGCTAATGCATTTGACCGAGTGGTGTTTTTTAAAATTAGTCCTGGCTGGTTTGGCTCAGCGGTTAGAGTGTCGACCTGCAGTCCTGAGAGACCCGGGTTCGGTTCCCGCTAAGGGCGCGTACCTCGGTTGCAGTTTGTCCCCGGCCCTGGTCGGTCATGTGGTGGCAGCCACTCGATGTGTTCCTTTCGCATCGATGTTTCTCTCTCTCTCTGTTCCTCTCTCTCCCTCCCACTCTACCTGAACAAAAAAAATGAGAAAATGTCCTCGGGTGAGGATAAAAAAAAAAATAAATAAATAAAACAAAATAAAATTAGTTTATAGTCCTGGCTGGTGTGCTCAGTGGTTAGAGCATCAGCCTGCGGATCCGGAGGAGAGTCCTGGGTTTGGTTCCTGCTAAGGGCACGTGCTTTGGTTGCAGTTTGTCCCTGGCCCCAGTTGGGGTCGTGTGGGTGGCAACCAGTCGATGTTTCTCTTTCTCTTTCTTCTCCTTCTCTCCCTCCCACTCTATCTGAAGATAAATGCAAAAATGTTCTCAGGTGAATATAAAATGAATGAAAATTAGTTTATAAAGTAATTTAAGTGGATCTAATAAAATGTTTGTGAACATCTCAAGAATTTCCTCACAACCTTAGAGGTAATCAGAATTCATTTGTAAACTCATCTAGAGTATTAGGAAGAGGTTGTACTAACAAAGGTGCTTTATTCCTCAGGGGCTACATACCTTGTGTGACAATCTGATTTCATTTGTTAATTCATAGAAACAGAATGCCTTAATTGGGAAGCTTTAACATCATGACCCCTGTTTTAATGACCTGAGCATATAACATTTTGCACAAATGTTGCTTACAAAATGTCTTGACAGGTATTTTATTTAAAGTAATAAATTGGCCCTGGCCAGTTTGGCTCAATGGTTAGAGCGTTGGCCTGCAGTCCAGAGAGCCCCGGGTTTGGTTCCCGCTAAGGGCATGTACCTTGGTTGCAGTTTGTCCCCCCGCCCTGGTTGGGTCATGTGGGTGGCAACCACTCGATGTGTCCCTTTCACGTCGATGTTTCTCTCTCTCTCTCTTTCCTTCCCCCTCTATCTGAACAAAATATTGGAAAAAAAAATGTCCTCGGGTGAGGATAAAGTAATAAATTGACCAGACAATCTGGTACTGGTTTTATTTTATTTAAAAATATGTTTTTATTGGTTTTTTAGAGAGAGAGAGAAACATCAGTGTGAAAGAGATACATGATTGGCTACCTCCTGCATGCCCCCTACTGGGGATGGAGCCTGCAACCTGGGCTGGAAATCGAACCAGAACCTCTCAGTCCATGGGAGGACACTCAGTCCACTGAGCCACACTGGCAGGTCTGGCTACTGATTTTAATTACAAAAAGATTTTGTTTAAGCCTTTGATGTTGAGCAGTTTAGCAACTCTTGTAAGTAATTCCAGTTTTTAGTCAATAGACAAAGCTCCCTGTGTATCTTTTTGTTGTTGTTGTTAATCCTCATTCAAGGATATTTTTCCATTGATTTTTAGAGAGTGGAAAGAAGGGAGGGAAGAGGAGAGAGAGAGAGAGAGAAAGAAAAAGAGAACCTTCAGTGTGAGAGAGACAGATCGGCCCTGGCTGGTTTGGCTCAGCGGTTAGAGTGTTGGCCTGCGTCCAGAGAGACCTGGGTTTGGTTCCTGCTAAGGGCACGTGCCTCAGTTGTAGTTTGTCCCCACCCCAGTTGGGATAGTGTGGGTGGCATCCAGTCAATGTGTCTTTCTCACATTGATGTTTCTCTCTCTTTTCCTCTCTCCCTTTCGCTCTATGTAAAGATGTCCTCGGGTGAGGGGAAAAAAAAAGAGAGAGAGAGACAGATCGATTGGTTGCCTCCCACATGTGTCCCGACTGGGGCTGGGAATCAAACCTTCGACCATTTGGTGCTCTGGCCGACGTTCTAACCACTGAAACACACCCGCCAAGACACACCCGCCGTGTCCCTGTGTATCTTTTATGCAGGTCTTTGAAGGTGGCCTAAGCCTTACATATATTGGTAGTAAAATGGTTATTAAACTGAATTAAAACTTTAGTAAAGGGAATGAGTATTCAAAATGGATGCTGTAGAGGTATTTCTGGCTCTGATTCTTTCGCAGCTCTACGAAAGAACAGAGGATGTTCAAAACCTTTCCACACTCCTTTAAACTGTCTTTATTTTGTAACATCTCAATTCTAGACTTTTGAATTAGGAAGAATTATATTTAGGTTTTTGTGCTCTAATTATTGGATGAAAAAATATTCTTATTTAAATACAAAGTGCTAATGATTTAGTTATTTGGAGGGTACTTTTTTTCCAGACTAAACTGTGAAAATGCAGTCCTCAGAGAAACTTTGAAACTAAAAACAGAAGAAATTAAAATGCTGAAGTCTGAAAATGCAAGTAAGAGTGGTATTTTTTTATGATGATTTAAAAATATTATGCTAAAAGATTCATTTTATATAGAGTGTCTTATGTTAAGAACACACATATCGATAGAGATGAAGTGCTAGTGTTTTGAAGTAATATGTTTTAAGGATAATAGAAAAATGCATCCTTTAGGATTTTTTTCATTTAAAAAATATTTTAGGTGAAATTTACCATTTAAAAGTGAATAGTTCTCGGTGGGGAGGAGGATGGGTGGAGGTGGAAAAGATATAAAGGGGATAAATGGAAGTGAACAATCCAATCAGTAGTTACAAAATCCTCATGGGTAAGCAAGTACAGCATAGGAAATATAGTCACTAACATTGTGATAACTATGTATGGTGCCACTGTATAAGTTGATTGTACCCTTAAGCTGCACACTCGAAACAATATATAATAAATAATAATTTTAAAAAGTCAACAATTCATAACATTCACAATGTTGTGCAACCATATAGTTCTATGACATTTCCATCACTCTGAGATACCTTGACCTTATTAAAGTTTCTCCCAATTCCTCCCTTATTGTTTAGTTTTATGCTCAGTGTAAAACACAATGGTTGAGCACCTGACATTTCAGGAACCTGAGTAGATATAATTTTCTTGGGACACTAGTAGGAAAAGTTTGTCACTGAATAGTTATTTAATATTTTCTTTCATAAGTGTCTTCTGTGACTTTATCACTAATACAATTATCTTTAATTTTTCAAAATATTATTTGACTCATTAAGAATTTGAAATATTTTACATATGCAGTTGAGCCTTGAACAACACAAGGGGGTTGGGACAGTGACCCCTGTGCAGTCAAAATCCACATATAACTTAAGTTGTCCCTCCATATTGGTGGGGGATTGGTTCCAGACCCCACTATTAGGGAGACCAAATCCCCTATATGAAATTGTGTACATAGAACAGTGCATACAATCAGCCCTCCGCATCCGTGGATTCCCAACTGTGGATTGAAAACAGTGTTTTGATCCAAGTTGGTTAAATCAGCAGATGCGAAATCAGGGAAAAGGAGGGTCAACTGTGTATTTATTGAAAAAAATTGGTGTAAAAGTGGACCCGTGCAGTTCAAACCTGTGTTGTTCAAGGGTCAGGTGTATATGTGTATACACACACACACACACACACACCCCTTACATAATGATGAGCCACCTTCTGACAAAAATTAATAAAAGAATATTAAAATGTTTTAAGAATATTAAGGTGGCACCAACTTTTTATAAAATTTTAAGAGATGTTGATTCTCTCTCTGAGCAGAAACTATTTTTGTTGTTAATCCTCACCCAAGGATATTTTCCCCTTGATTTTAGATAGAATGGCGGGGGGGGGGGGGGGGGGGTGCGGGGGGGGGGGGAACGAGCGCATATGCGCCCTTGACTGAGAATCAAACCTGCAACCCGTTCCCAGGCCACCTCCAGACTGAGCCAAATCAGCCAGGACTCAGAAACTGTTTTAGAGTGGTGGGTTGAAGGGGAAAAAATAAGTTCTAAATCAGGTTGTGGCCTGGGAGAGACACTTTATATAATGTAGCTGAGTGAGTTGGGGCAATGCCCTCAGTGAGAATTGCCCACACATGGTGTTCCATGTACCAGTGATTTGAGCAGATGGAAATTTCTCTTGTGTTAGGTTAGTTCTCCAAAGAGAAGCTGCTCATGACCACAATCCTTCCCCTTCCTCCACACCACCCCACCCTGTACTGTTTTCTGCTCCCCAGTAGATAGCAGAGCCATTGTTCTAAATGGTTTGAAATCCTCTTATGAAGATTCTTAATAAAAAATAATCTGATAGCCCTGGCCAGTTTGGCTCAGCGGTTGAGCGTTGGCCTGCGGACCAGAGAGTCCCTGGTTAGGTTCCTGCTAAGGGCACATACCACACACACATACAAAATAAAATAATAATAATAATAATAATAATAATAATAATCTGATAGAGTTTGGATTGCTGGTACATTTGACATAAAACAATATATGAGATCCCGTCATCTGGTTGTCTCACTTACTATGGAATCTGTGAATAATTTGCCTTTGTATGTTTTCTCTTTAAAAGTGCTACTTGGGAAGAGATAAACCACAGAACTTATATGCATGTATGCATGACCAATGGACATAGACAACTAAGCCGGGGACAGGGTGGAGGGGGGGTGGGGTGGGGGGTTCCAATGGGGTAAAAAGGTAAAATATCTGTAACAAAAAAAATAAAAATTCATTTAAAAAAAAAAAAAAGTGCTACTAATTTTCCAAGAGTAAATGAAGACCAGACTTTGGTTGCAAAGTTAAGATACTTCCACATTAGAAGTAATAACATTTTATCTAGTGTTGCACATGTATTATCTCACTGGACACCCACTATTCTATCAGATTTTCTGGATGGGGCCACATTGTGTGGCAGTGCCTATTGTATATGTACTACTTGTAAGGAATGAGTATAGATGTTGATATAACAAGATTCGGTGAGGCCAGAGTTAGCCCTCCTAACTAACACTTTCTCATATGGCCCTTCCTAGGCTTGAATCAACAGTATTGGAAAGCCTTTGCTCTGCTTGACATCAAACAGCAGAAGATGGTCCAGGAAAGCATGTGTGATGATAACAGTGACTTTTCAGAGGTTTCAGGTCTTGAGGTAGGTAAGCAGGTATGAGAGCTTAGCAGGATGGAAACTTTCTACTTTCCTTTCCGCCATCACCATCTGTCACGTGTCCTAGGATAGCACCATATTTAGCAATTTGAGACTGAGAGGCCCATTCGTTTGCCCAGGTCAGTTCTTGTCTTGCTGGTACCATACCCTTCGTGCATGACATTCTTGGAGATTAAGGGATATGCTAGCCACTTCCTTTTATTACTTTTTAAAAATATTCTTTATTGAGTTTTAGAGAGAGAGGAAGGGAGGAGAGAAACATCGATGTGAGAGTAGAACATCTATTGGCTGCCTCCTGCAGGTCCCCTACTGGGGATCAAGTCCGAAACCCAGGCATGTGCCCTGACCAGGAATTGAACTAGCAATCTTTTTTTTCTTTTCTTTATTGATTTTAGAGAGAGAAAGTGAGAGAGGGAGAGAGAGAGAGAAACATTGACGAGAGAGAATATCGATTGGCTGCCTCCTGCATGTCCCCCACTGGGGATCAGGCCCACAATTTGGGCATGCGTCCTGACTGGGAATACAAACCGGCGACCTCTTGGTGCCTGGGTTGACACTCAACCACTGAGTCACACCGGCCGGACTGAACCAGCAATCTTCTGGTGCACAGGACAACACCCAGCCAACTAAGCCACACCAGCCAGGGCATTATTCCTTATTTTTACAGTTTTAGCAAAAGCTATGTTAGTAGGGTTTTATATTACATAATCATAGACTGTAGTTTTTTTTTTATCCTCACCCGAGGATATTTTTCCATTTTTTGTACAGATAGAGTGGGAGGGAGAGAGAGGAAGAGAGAGAGAGAGGAAGAGAGAGAGAGAGAAACATCGACGTGAAGGGACACATCGAGTGGCTGCCACCCGCACAACCAACCAGGGCCAGGGACAAACTGCAACCGAAGTACGTGCCCTTAGCGGGAACCGAACCCAAGTCTCTCCGGACCGCAGGCCGATGCTCTAACCGCTGAGCCAAACTGGCCAGGGCTGTAGTTTTTTTTTTTTAGGAGTGGACAGATGATTGCTTTTCTCATTGCCATTAAAATTCATTCCTTTCTGAATATGCAACTCCCCCTGACAGGAGCTGGCAGTCATGAATGCTGGGCAGCAGGGCTACGTCCAGTCTCAGGACGTTCACATTGTGGATGTTAATCTTTACTTCATTCGGTCAAGTTCCTGACAAGGATCAGAACTATAGGAAATTGGTGTCAGGTTAAAGGTGAAGGAGGAGAGTGCAAAGAAGGAACAAGAATTCTGTGATGTTTTTGTTCCATGTAACAACATTCTTTCCTCATTTGCATTAATTAATCTTCCCTTGGATCCTGAAATCCTGGTCTCAGCTTGCTTCTATTATTGTTTTCCTTTCCAGTTTCTTTGTGTCAGATGCTTAACTAGAAATGTACATAGGTATGTGTGGGTGTGCCCCTGCATTTGTATCCAGCTAAGCAGCATGCCACTTAGTAACGGGATAATGCTTTTGGATTTAAAGCTTGCCATCCTTGGAGCCTGCCTTTGTCATGGTCCTGGAGGGAACCCCTGTTCCTGTGCCAAAACGGCAGCGTCTGCTCGGAAAATGCTTCTTCAGCTCAAACAAGAGGTATCATATTATTAAAACAGTAAAAGCTTGGTTTTGTTTCTCTATTAATAGTAGAATAAATGGAAGTATCTGTAATTATTAGCTTTATTTTAGTAGTCATTGGCAATGGAACTTAATTTTATACAATAGCATTAATTTATAAGCTGGATTTTGATTACATGGTTCCAGAATACAACTAGTATGTGGCATGACACTGTAGCCACATAAAGTTGTTTGCCTAAGATTGTAGTTGATAGTTCCTAAATTCTATTTCTTTTGTTTATACACAGTGCTAAAATTACTATATATTAGAGGGAAAGGAGCACTTATACTTAAAATTACTAGGACCCACAACACTGATTAATGGGGAGATAAACATGAAGCTTATTAGAAGAGCAGCAAGGTACAGTGAAAGCAACTTTCATGCTAGCCAGACCTAGGTTTGAATCTTAGGTCCATCATTTTCTAGCTCTGTGGCTTTAGGAGTGGACAGATGATTGCTAAACGAAGGGTAATAACAAGTTTGGAGGGTTGTTGTAAGAAATAGAGGAAGTAGCCCTGGCCGGTTTGGCTGAGCGGTTAGAGTTGTCGGCCTGTGGTCCAGAGAGACCCGGGTTCGGTTCCCATTAAGGGCACGTGCCTCGGTTACAGTTTGTCCCCAGCCCTGGTTGGTCGTGCAGGTGGCAGCCACTCGATGTGTCCCTTTTATGTCAATATTTCTCTCTCTCTCTCTCCCTCCCACTCTATCTGAACAAAAAATGGAAAAATGTCCTCGGGCGAGGATAAAAAAAAAAAAGAAATAGAGGAAGTAGATATGTGGTTAGCACATGTCTGGCATTTAATCAAATGGTAGCTGCCATTTTACTTAGGCTTTAGTAACAAATACAGTGCATGGACCATAATTTTTTTAATATTTTATCTTTACTGAAGGTATGCAATGTAGTCTTCAGCCTATATAGAAAAGCTAACAGCTGAACATTAACAATTCATTAGGAAGAGCATAAGATTACATAGATCAGAGTAAGGGTCAACTACAGGAGGTATCTGAAAGATGATACTCAAAATTATTTTTAGCGGTACTGTGTGGAACGGCCCAAGGCAGTAGAAATGCAGCCTTTGGCATCCTCCCTTCTTTGTAGTTGGGCAGAACACACACGGGGCCTGTCTAGGATAATAAAGTCCAAGAGTTGTATCAACAGAGAATTGACAGGTACCACAAGGAAAATTTCTGGTAATCTATTTCAGGGTAGGCAGCTACTACAAAAGAGAGCTGGCAAGTGCTAACTAAAGCAGATGAAATAGACCAAAGACAGGCAGTAGACCCATGCTAGGCAGGGAGGTTGCATTTGTTAATCTGGCTCAGCATTCAGGCAAAAAGTTTTCTGGTTTTGCCTCACACCTCTCAAACTTTCTTTCAAAACCAGCTGGAACTTCTGCAGAAGAGTAAAGAAGAAGCTTACATAATGGCAGATGCATTCAGAATTGCATTTGAGCAACAATTAATGAGGAAAAATGACCAGGCACTAAGATGGACACAAATGGATAAAATGTGTAGAAAAGAAACAAAATGTATAAATTGGAAGGATAGTAAGTATGAACTCTAATGGCAATAATCTAGTAATTTCAGTAATTTTTTTATTATAATTAAAGTTGATTAACACATTTAATACAATGGATAATAGAAATTTTGCATATAGTTGTGATTTATTTAAAATTTTAGTATCTATGGAAAGAAAGGGGTTATTGGATGATACATATGCAAATGAGCTATTGGGATCAACAAAACCGTAAACTAACAGGAGAATCTTTTTGGTTCGTGCCCTTAGTGGGAACTGAACCCGGAACTCTCTGGTCCTCAGGCCGATGCTCTAACTGCTGAGCAAAATTGTCCAGGGCTCTAACAGGAGAATCTTTTGTATTACTCTTCTATTTCATTTCAACAAGACCATATTTAGTGGCACAAAGAATTAGAGTACTAGCCCGGCCGGTGTGGCTCAGTGGTTGAGCGTTGACCCATGCACCAAGAGGTCACCGGTTTGATTCCCCGTCAGGGCACAGGCCCAGATTGTGTACCCAGTGGGGGGCATGCTGGAGGTGGCCAGTCGATGTTCTCTTTCATCTATGTTTCTATCTCTCTTTCCCTCTCCCTTCCACTCTCTAACATCAATAAAGGGTGGGATATATATAAATAAAATTGGGAGATATCACATCCAAATCTGGATTGCTGGCTCCTCTGGAAGACTTAGACGATCTGGTAGCATGGGCTGCATTCTCTTCTGTGGGGCAGCCACTACTGGGAGCTGAGGAGCGTTGATGCGACAGAGGGCAAGGCGTTGCCCTGGATTCTCACTGTGGCCCTCTCCCCGGCTCTAATGCCTGTGCTCTTCCCAGTCCACTGTGCTGCCGGACTCACTTGTGCTAACGGTCTGAGGAAGACAACCTCCTAACCGACTGAGGAATGAGTTAGTTTTGGTTCATACTTACCTTTTTTCCTGGAAGTACTACACAAGTGAGTGTCTTTTTATGTCTCAGATGGATTTTCATGTTCAATTTTAGGGTTACTATCACAGAGGACTAAGAAGACCTTAGGGCAGAAACTGCTGCGTATGCTGCCTTCAGAAAACAGTTCTAAGAGGACTGAAGACCAGGATAATCCTCAGGAAGTCTTGAAGATGCTAATAGATTTGGTTAGTATCTTTGCTTTTTTTTTTTGCTTCCTATTAATTCAGCTCTTCCATTCTACATTTGCCCTTTATGCCTTTTTCCCAGACCGTCCTCGAATTATAATCTTCATCTCAAACTCTCTGCATGCTCTTCCCACTTCCCTCATCCATGTTCTTCTTATGCAAGTTGAAAGCTCTGAAAAAATGAGCTCCCTGTACTTAACTCCAGGCATCTGTCATCTGCACTTAAATAACACAGTTCATGACAAGACCTTCTATTTATTCAGGACTTTTTAAAGTATTCATCCACTTCCTCACACATTATATCCTGTAATCATTACCAAAAGCTTGAAATCCATCCTGTTATACACTTTTCACAGATGACCAAATTAAGAGACTCACATTATATGAACATACTTATCTATAGGAGAGTTTTAAAATTATTGCATATAAATATATAAAAACAATTTTATATATAACTGCAACATTCTTCTACTGAGATAAATATGTTGATTACACCCCCCCCCCTTGTATGTGTATTTCCATACCCCCTTCAGTTGACTTAAAATTTTCAGTCGGATGAATAGTTTTTTGTTCTTCCTTTAAAAAATATTCTCTGCCCTGGCCAGTGTGGCTGGGTTAGTTGGGCATTGCCCAGTGCACAAAAGGTTCCCAGTTCTATTCCTGGTCAGGGCACATGCCCAGGTTTTGGGCTCCATCCCTGGTAGGGGGTGTGCAGGAGGCAACAGATCGATGTTTCACTCTCATATGGATGTTTTTCTCTCTCTCTCTCCCTTCCCCTCTCTAAAAATAAAAAAAATATATATATTTTTAAATCCTCAATAACATTTAGCATAATGCTTGGTAATGAGTGGACACCTAATTAATTTATTCATATTGACCAATAGATTGAAGATTAAACATTTTCATAAAGTACTTCTGACTGCAGCTCTATATTGTTATTTATTGACTAACTGGCACATTTTTTATTTCTGTGCATGCAGTTGAATGATAAAGAAGAAGCTTTGGCTCATCAAAGAAAAGTTAGTTACATGCTTGCTCGGGCATTGGAAGACAAAGACACAGGTTCAAAAGAGAATAAAGAAAAAAATCCCATGAAAGACCATTTTCCATTAAAAATCCCCCAGCAAACTTCAGAATTCTCTGTTTTGCATGATCCTGTACATTCAAGTGTTCAAATTATTAATTCTGTAGGTTGTATTTGTTCAATCCAGCATCTTCATACAGATAGAAACTATACAAGAACTCTGAAAAGATCTCGTTCTTTGCCATCAAATACCACGTTTTGAAGACAAACCAGTTGAAATTAAAACCTAGAGTGGTTTATATAAAAGACTTTGAAGAAGGATTGTGTAAACATTGCAGCATCTTGAGAAGTTGTATATTTTCTGGGTATTTCTAAATTTTAGGAGGCAGCTTAAATAGTCACATGTTTTCTACAAGAAATTTATTAGTTTTCTGTGTTAATGTAATTTATTTATAAATCACATTACTATATTTTATAAAGTTTTTGTTATTTACCAACATTTTAAAAACAAAAATAGCCCTGGCCAGTTTTGCTCAGTGGTTAGAGCGTCGGCCCATGCACCAGAGAGGCCTGGGTTCAGTTCCCAGGAACCGAAGGCACGTACCTCGGTTGCAGTTTGTCCCCAGCCCCGGTTGGGGTCGTGTGGGTGGTGACCACTGGATGTGCCTCTCTCACATCGATGTTTCGCTCTCTCTCTCTTCCTCCCTATCTCCCTCCTGCTCTATCTCAAAATAAATGCAAAAAAAAAAAACAAAAAAAAAATGTCCTCGGTGAGGATAAAAAACAAAAGAAACAAAAACCAAAAATACTATTTTGAGAAAAACAAAAATTATTTAACTATTTAGGTTGACTATAGGGATATGTGACTGGCTCAAGCAACAATATAATATAAATTAATGTTCTAAGAAATAACAACAATGTCTAGGAGTGACTGTTAATTTTTGAAATACATTTTTGTTTTGTTTTTCCTCAGGATTTTTCATTTCCTATATAACGTTTTGAAAAATTTCCTTAAACCTGACCAGTGTGGCTCACTGGTTGAGCACTGACCCATGCACCAAGAGGTTGCTGGTTCGATTCTTGGTCAGGGCACATGCCCAGGTTGTGGGCCTGATCCCCAATGGGGGGCATGCAGGAGGAAGCCAATTGATGTTCTCTCTCATCGATGTTTCTAGCTCTCTCTCCCTCTCCCTTCCTTCTCTCTAAAAATAAAGAAAAAAAAAAAACTAAAAAAAAATTTCCTTAACTTCAATTAAAAGAAATGGGGGGGGGGGGAGTAAACCAAAGAACTTAGATGCGTATATAATTATATGCATATTTATGGACACACAACAGTGCAGTGAAGGTGGAGGGCAGTGGGGAGGAGGGTGTCAATGGGGGATAAAAGAAGGGACATCTGTAATACTTTCAACAATAAAGAAAAAAAGATTATTGTGGTAGTACTTTGACAGAAGTATATTCAAAGTCACAGCTAGTAACCTTCACATATTTTTTGTTGTTGAAGTGGTGACATTTTGTAGCCAGATCTACACAGAATTCTGGTACTCAGACCAGTCTGAATTAACGTCTTGGTTTCGCTACTGAATTTTAGGACATTTAATTTTCTCTTTCTATAAATATTACATAGTAATAATCTTTAATACCTTTTGGGAATATTGCTATATTAGTAGCATCACAATTATGTCAAAGAAGCATTACATTGTCAGCAATTATAATAAAACATCTAATTATGATCTCTAGTGAAAAGATATATGGTTACACTGACTACTACTTACATAGATAACAATAGAGTATAAGGTAATAATATAAACCATTTATAGTTGTGTTAAAGGGAGAGTATTTAATTGGCATTAGTAAATAATAATAAAAGCTGAAAACTTGGCATATAAATTTTGAAAAAAGGAGAAATGATGAACTATTGTTACCAGATATTAAAATATATTATCATGTCCGGCTGGTGTGGCTCAGTGGTTGAGTGTCGACCCACGCACCAGGAGGTTGCTGGTTCGATGCCCAGTCAGGCACATGCTCAGGTTGTGGGCCCAATCCCCAATGGGAGGGGCATGCAGGAGGCGGCCAATCGACATTCTCTTTCATCGATGTTTCTATCTCTCTCTCCCTCTCTCTAAAATCAATAAAGAAAAAAAATTTTAAAATATATTATCCTGCCCTGGCCAGTTTGGCTCAGCGGTTAGAGCGTCGGCCTGCGGTCTGGAGAGACCCGGGTTCGGTTCCCGCTAAGGGCGCGTACCTCGGTTGCAGTTTGTCCCCGGCCCTGGTTGGTCGTGCGGGTGGCAGCCACTCGATGTGTCCCTTCATGTCGATGTTTCTCTCTCTCTCTCCCTCCCACTCTATCTGTACAAAAAATGGAAAAATGTCCTCGGGTGAGGATAAAAAATAAATAAATAAATAAATAAATAAATAAATAAATAAAAATATATTATCCTAATAACAATATAAAGTTACCTTTTTTTTTTTTTTTTATCCTCACCCCAGGATATTTTTCCATTTTTTGTACAGATAGAGTGGGAGGGAGAGAGAGGAAGGGAGAGAGAGAGAGAAACATTGACGTGAAGGGACACATCGAGTGGCTGCCACCCGCACGACCAACCAGGGCCGGGGACAAACTGCAACCGAGGTACGAGGTACGCGCCCTTAGCGGGAACCGAACCCGGGTCTCTCCAGACCACAGGCCGACGCTCTAACCGCTGAGCCAAACCGGCCAGGGCAAAAGTTACCTTTTTAAAAAAAATCTTCACCCAAGGATATTTTTCTATTTATGTTCAGAAAGAGTGGGAGGAAGAGCGAGGGAGAGAGAAACATTGACTTGAGAGGGACACATTGACTGGTTGCTTCCTGCATGGCTGGTTTGGCTCAGCCTGTGGACCAATGAGTCGCGGGTTCGATTACAGTCAAGGGTATGTACATCGGTTGCGGTTCTCCCTGGCCCTGCTCAGGGTCATGCAGGAAGCAATTAGTCGATGTGTCCCTCTCATGTTGATGTTTCTCTCTCCCTCCCACTGTATCTGAAGATAAATAGAAAAATATTCTCAGGTAGGATTAAAAAAAAAAAAAGTAAAAAAAAGCAGTGTGGTACCAGCAGGTCAGTGGAATAGGGTAGAGAACATACACAGATCTAATATATATAAGAATTTCATATAAAATGAAACATAAGGAAAGGAAGGATCTGGGATTATCAATACCAAAATTGGAAGTATTAAAAAAAACAAATTACGCCCTGGCCGGTTTGGCTCAGCGGTTAGAGTGCCCACCTGCGGTCCGGAGAGACCCGGGTTCGGTTCCCGCTAAGGGCATGTGCCTCGGTTGCGGTTTGTCCCCGGCCCTGGTTGGTCGTGCGGGTGGCAACCACTCGATGTGTCCCTTCCACATCGATGTTTCCCTCTCTCTCTCTTCCTCTCTCTACCTCCCACTCTATCTGTACAAAAAAATGGAAAAATGTCCTCGAGTGAGGATTAAAAAAAATTACAAAAATTAGAAAGGTTCTTTTATAATACGTTTTTATTGATTTTTTAGAGAGGGGGAGAGAAACATCAATGTGAGAGAGAACACTGATTGGCTGCCTCCTGCACGCCCTATATTCAGAACTGAGCCCACAACTGGGGAATGTGCCCTGACCAGGAATCATACCGGGACCTCTCAGTCCATGGTATGGTGATCAATCCACTGAACCACACCAGCCGGGCGAAAGATTCTTTTTAAAGTGTGTATATGTGTCCCTGGCTGGTTTGGCTCTGCAGACCAGAGAGTCCCGGGTTCGGTTCCCGCTAAGGGCACGTACCTTGGTTGCAGTTTGTCCCTGGCCCTGGTTGGGTGGTGTGGGTGGCAACCACTCCATGTGTCTCTCTCACATTGATGTTTCTCTCTCACATTGATGCTTCTTTCTCTCTCTTCCCTGCTTCTCTCCAGCTCTATCTGGAGATAAATGCAAAAATGTCCTCGGGTGAGGATAATAAATAAATAAAATGTGTGTATATAAAACAAATTCATATAAAGTGATAAAAATTTGTAACACTATTTGATAGGTGGACAAATAATCTGAATCAACAGTTTGTAAAAGATGGATTATATATTATTATCAAACATGAAGAAATATTCAACCACAGTAGAAATCAGAGAAACATAAATTATGAGATATCAAATTACCGAAAGATCACAAAGATTATGAGTGCTAGAGATGAGGTAAACCAGATACTTTAAAATACAGTGTTGATGAATGTATATTCAAGACCCTGTATTCAGTGTTGTTGTTTTTCGGGGGTGGGGGTGTCTATACTCAAAGTGAAATTGCTGGATCATATGGTAATTCCATTTTTATTTTTAAACATCTTTATTGTTGAATGTATTACAATGTCCCCACCTTTTTTTCTCCATTGACCTCCTCCTCCCCAATCCTGCCCTCCTCCTACCTTCTCCATACTATTGTCTGTGTCCATTGGTTATGCATATACGCATAGACGTTCTTTGGTTTATCTCATCTCACCCTGCCTCCCCCTTCCCTTTGAGGTTCATCAGTCTAACAACAAATTTGTACTTCTTAATTCCCTCATGTTTTGCACCTACCCGCCCCCACCCCCTCCCATCTGGCAGCCAACACAAAGTTCTCTGTATCTATGAGTCTGTTTCTGTTGTTTGCTCATTTTGTTTGTAGACTTAATTGTTGATATGTATTAATTGCCATTTTATTGTTCATAGTTTTGTTCTTCTCCTTCAAGAAGACCCTTCAACATTTCATATAATACTGGTTTGGGGATGATGAACTTCTTTAGCTTTTTCTTGTCTGGGAAACTCTTGATATGTCCATCAATTCTAAATGATAGCTTTGCAGGATAGAGTAATCTTGGCTCTAGGTCATTGCTTTTCATCACCTTGAGTATCTCTTGCCACTCCTTTCTGGCTTGCAAAATTTCTTTTGAGAAATTAGCTGACAGTCTTATGGGAGCTCTTTTGTAGGTAATGAACTGCCTTTAAGATTCTCTTTGTCTTTAACCTTTGGCATATTGATAATAATGTGTCTTGGTGTGAGACTCTTTGGGTTCATCTTGTTTGGGAGTCTCTGTGCTTCCTGAACTTGTATGTCTGTTTCCTTCACCAAGTTAGGGAAGTTTTCTGTCATTATTTTTTCAAACAGGTTTTCAATTTCTTGCTCTCCCTCTTCTCCTTCTGGCACCCCCATGATGTCAATGTTGGTATGCTTGAAGTTGTCCCAGAGGCTTCCTACACTATCCTCATTTTTTTGGATTTTTTCATTTTGCTGTTCTGATTGGGTGTTTTTTGCTTCCTTATATTCCAAATCGATTGTTTGCTTCTTGGCTGATAATGCCATTTTTAATTTTTTTGAGGAAACACCAGTTTCCATAGTGGCTACACCATTTTACATTCCCACCAACAATGCACAAGGGTCCAAATTTCTCCACATCCTCACTAACACTTGTTAATTTGTTTTATTTTGTTTTGATAGTAGCTGTCCTAATAGGTGTGAGGTGATTGCTTTTGATTTGCATTTTCCTAGAGATTAGTGACACTGAGCATCATTTTAATATTTCTTTGCTATTTCCTTATCATCTTTGGTGAAATGTTTATTTCAGTCTTTTGTTGATATTTTAATCGGATTTTTTGCTGAGTCTGAGTTTTCTATATATTCCAGAAATTAACTCCTTACCTGATATAGAATTTACAAATAAATACTTCCCCTACTCCATACGTTGCCTTTTCATTCTGTTGATTATATTCTTTGATGCATACACGTTTTTAAATTATGATATAGCCCATTTGTCTATTTCTTACTTTTGTTGCCTGTTCTTTTGGGGTCATATCCAGGAAGTCCTTGTGGAATCTAATGTCATGAAGCTTTTTCTCTATGTTTTCTTTGAAGAGTTTTTATAGTTTTAAGTCTTATTTTTAGGTCTTTGATCATTTTAATTTTTTAAAATTGATTTTGACAGAGAGGAATGGGTGGAGAGAGATGAGAAAACATTGCCTCCTGCATGTGTGCTCCAACCAGGAATAGAACCCTGAGTATGTGCCCTGACATGGAATCAAACCTGCCATCTTTTAGTCCATGGTATGATACTTCAAACAATTGAGCCATACCAGCCAGGGCTTGAGTTAATTTTTGTATATAGTGTAAGGTAAGGGGCTTCTTCGTTTTTTTTTTTTTTGGTACGTTCCTGAACCTGGAACTCTCTGGTCTGTAGGCCAACACTCCAACCGCTGAGCCAAACCAGCCAGGGTGGGGCTTCTTCATTTTTAAGAACTATTGAGCAGCTATTGGGAGTGTAAACTGCTACAACTACTTTGGAGAAATATGGCATTATCAACACTAATTAAAAATGGCCCTGGCCAGTTTGGCTCAGCGGTTGAAGTGTCGGCCCGTGGACCAGAGTCCCAGGTTTGGTTCCTGCTAGGGGCGCATACCTTGGTTGCAGTTTGCCCACAGCCCTGGTTGGGATTGTGCAGGTAGCGGCCAGTCAATGTGTATCTCTCATGTCAATGTTTCTCTCTCTTCCTCCCTCTTTCCCTCACACACTATCTGAAGGTGAATGCAAAAGTGTCCTTGGGCGAGGATTAAAAAAATTAAATAAATAAATAATGCATATACATGTAAATGTTCTATTTTTTGGTAATTTTGAAAAACTGAAAATAACTGAAATATCCATGTGGCAGAATTTTAAAGATGACTCTTCTCAGGATTCTCATCTAGGGATGGTGTAGGTAACTGCCATGAAGAGATTTTCAAGATGTATTTAAAATCTGAGTTGACCTTAATATACAGATAACCCAATCAGGTGAGCAGCCCCACTCCCCTTTTTTTAGAGAGTGGAGATTTCTCTCTTAGTAGCAGATGAGGAAGGCAGACAAATCAAAGCACTGTTGCTGGCCTGCAGATGGAAAGTGCCAAGTGACAAGGCATGTGCACAGCCTTGAGAAGCTGAGGCCCCTGGCTGACAGCTAGGAAGGACAGGTGGCATGTGCATGAAAACAGCATGAACTAAATGAGCATGGAAGCAGATTCTTCCCTAGAGCTTCAGCTAAGAGACCAGTCCAATTGATACCTTGATTTTGGCCTATGCAAGAAACAACTGAAACATGCCAGATATCTACCTACAGAAATGTGAGCTAATATTTGTGTTAATTTAAGCTGCTAGCCCTGGCTGGTTTGGCTCAGTGGTTAGAGCATTGGCCCGCGGATCAGAGAGTCTGGGTTCGATTCTGACCAAGGGCATGTACCTCGGTTGTAGTTCCTCCCCAACTTCTGTGGGGCCACGTGGTGGCAACCAATCGATGTGTCTCTTTCATATCGATGTTTCTTGCACGCTCTCTCTCCCCCTCCCACTATATCTGAAGATAAAGGCAAAAATATCCTCGAGTGAGGATTAAAAAAAAAAAAAAAAGCTGCTATATATGGTAATTTTTTTGTAGCAAAAGAAAAATAAGTCCATAAATAGAGCATGTATAAGTGTGTAAGTAGTATTATATATATATTATATATATTACATGAGTTAAAACAAACTAGATTTATATATATTAACATAGAATTTTAAAGTTTTGAGTAAAAAAATTTGCAGTATGAAATGTACAGTCTATCACCCATATAACATTTTAAGATCCAATAATGCTGTGTATTAGTATTTGCATTTTTATAAAATAGCAATATAAAATCATGCGAGGACACACTCATCTCCTGAGAGTCATTCTCCTTTGGGTAGGGAGAAAAGGAAGAAACAGAATGGAATGACATATTAAAGGGACCTCAATTTTATCTGTAATATTTTTTCATTTTTTCTTATTTAGTATATTAATATTTGTTAAGTCTGGGTGATAGGTATTTGCTACATTACTACTACTATTTTTCTTTCTTTTTAAAATATGTTTTTATTGACTTTTCAGAGAGAGAGGAAGGGAGAAAGAGATAGTAACATTGACGAGAGAGATACTGCATACCCCCTACTGGGGACGGAGCCCATAACTCAGGCATGTGCCCTGACTGGGAATTGAACCAGGACCTCTCAGTCCATGGGACAGTGCTCAATCCACTGAGCCACACCAGCTGGGCCTATTTTTCTGTTTTTAAATTTTCTGACCCTTTATTTTAAATTTGTGATGACATATGGGTCAGATCATCAAAATAACCGATAATTAATTTGATTTTTTTTTTTTTTTGTACGTGCCCCTAGCGGGGACTGAACCTGGGACTCTGGTCCACAAACCAACACTCTAACCGCTAAGCCAAACCGGCCAGGGCACCTTAATGCATTTTTGATTCTACATTTCAGAGAACTGAACTTATCTTACTTTTGCACTCTAATGAGAAAAATAAAAATTAAGTTTGTTTTAAAATACGTTTAATAAAAATAATTCAGTTTTACATATTTTACATGTGTAGAATATTTACAATTCCTTCTACAGCATTTACTTAATGTTCACTTTTTTCTGTTATTTGCCTTTTTGACTATTTCCTTCAGTAGTAAAATACTGTCCAGTGTTATCTGTAACTAAAAAATCAGCTTCTTGGGTAATCCTCCTAGGTGAAAAAAAAAGGGGTTATTTACATTTAATCTTATGGCAATTTTAACTAGTCACTGCATTCCCATTACATTTACTTTACTTGCTTTGATTTTTCCGATAGTATTTATTAAACATTAAGCATACCGTGTACCAACAGGAGTTTATAAACAGAACAAGGTACACATCAACAGTCTGGTAACTCTGAGGTATAATCAAAAGTGCCCTTGTCCTTTCAGAGAGCATGATGTAAGTATTCTCAGTGGGAGCAAATACATGTGAAATTAAAATACCACATTCTATCTGAATTCATTGCATTTATTATAAAAATGAGAGTTTTACCTTGCTCCAAGGCCTCTGTTCTCTTCCGTTTTGTTGCCAGAGATGGATTACTTTGCTCTTTTAACGTTTCCACTGGACAGTTTGGTCTTGGCAGCTGACATCCAGGTGTTGGCCCTGGCCGATTACTGAAATACTTAGTTTTCAATGCCTTTTAAAAGAAAAGATAGCAAAGAAAGTAAACTTTTAAGTGAATATCTGAACCATGTTTAAGAAAATCTAACCTCCAAAATTGTTGGAAATATTAAAAATACTATGTGAAGACCCCTGCTTACAAAATGAAATCAATTTCAAGTATTTGGACAAGCAAATTACTACAAATAAACAAACATCTAGCAGCCTAAGACTGGTTAATAATCCCATTAGTATGAGAAAGACACTGCCTTCTAATTTTTTGACAGTTAAATAGTCTATACTAAATATGAAATATCCTTAGTAAGATATTGTGTAATTCAGCTCTTTACACATTATGGGCTACATAGTTCAAAACAGAGAAAGAAACTTCCTTAAAAAGATGCCCTGGCCGGTTTGGCTCAGCGGTCGGAGCGTCGGCCTGTGGACCAGAGAGTCCCAGGTTCGGTTCCCGCTAGGGGCATGTACCAAAAAATAAAATAAAGTTAACAATAAAAAAAAAGAAAAGAAATTCCACCCGGCTGGTGTGGCTCAGTGGTTTAGGGTCGACCCATGCACCAAGAGGTCACCAGTTTGAGTCCCGGTCAGGGCACATGCCCAGGTTATGAGCCCAATCCCCAGTGGGGGCCATGCAGGAGGCAGCCAATTGATGTTCTCTTATTGATGTTTCTATCTCTCTCCCTCTCCCTTCCTCTCTAAGTCAATAAAAAACAATTAAAAAAAAAATTCTAAAAGTAGGTTTACAGTTATACATATGCAAAATAATAATTAATACAAGAATAAACTCTTTCGTACACTCACAAATGTAAACCTACGTCTGTCCCACCCTGTATTCAAATTCCAAATCAAGTAATTATAAATTCTTAAAAATAAAGCTTTTAAAAAGATGAAGTATGTTGGAAACAAGGGATTAAAATCTAACAACCCACTGCAAATGGACAGAAATGATAATTGGAAGGACTTGCCCAAGGTTATTTCTATTTACTACCAGTCCAATAGTCTATAGTGAGATATGTTACTTCAGTCCAATATTCCAATAAAAAGACTTTTTCCTAAATGATAGATTTGTCAAATTCATACTTTACTTGCACCATAGTACTGTTTAATAGCCACAATAATTTAAGATAGTTCCTTTTGGATAATCTTCTTCAGGTGAAAATAAGGTTCATATAAACTCTTCCAACATTATATTATTTGAAGTAATGATTTAGAGATTCCTTACTTCCAAGGAGTTGCATTTCTAAAGTATTACTTCCATATCATAGCAGATCCCTAAGTAAATCAAGCTAATTCTGAGCTACACAGGGATCTAAGAGAGGAAGAGTATTTCATTCCAACTTTAAGACAGAGCCAAAATACATTTTAAAAAATCCATTCTATCAAAATACAACCAAAATCAGTTTTCACAGCTACTATTTTCTGTAAGTTTTGAGTTTTACTATTAATGAAAACAACCTTCTAGACATTTTAACCTGGTCTAAAATTTGTTATGATGGAGATAATATGTATATATGTATGGGTGAAAAGGTAGTGAGATACTTGTTTGAAATTAGAAGAGTAGCCTGGCCAGTGTGGCTCAATGGATCGAGCGTCCTCTCATGGACTGAGAGGTCCCGATGTGATTCCTGGTCAGGGCACATCCCCCGGTTGCGGGCTCGATACCCAGTAGGGGACAGTGCAGGAGGCAACCCATCATGTATCTCTCTCACATCGATGTTTCTATCTCTCCTTTCTCCTCTCTCTAAAAAAAAAATCAATAAAAACATATTTAAAAAATTATAAGAGTAATTCTAATGGTAAAATATCTAGCAGGTATGTATTTATGTAGCATTTACATAAAAAGAGAAGGCTTATAGTAGTAAATGCATTAAACATTGATTTAGTAGTCTGTCATAAACAAGTGAAAAAAAATTCACTTTGTATCCTTGATATATTGTGCATTAACATGTTTTGTTAGATCGGATGACTTGACATTTCATTTCAATAGGTCTCTTCCTTTAAGAAACCAAATCATTGCACACATTGCATTTTTACATATCCCTGCCCCAATTTTAAGTGTTTGTGATTCTACCCTTTTGTGTGCTTGTTTTTAAAACAAAGAAAATGTGTGTCCCCCCCCCCAAATCTATAGCTTTTATATCTTTGTGTTTCATAACATTTTTTTTTAAAGAGCAGATATACTTGGTCTTTCAAATTTTTCTTGAGTTTGATTCTTATTTCCCTTAAACGACTGTCAGTTTCAGTGTTTGTTCTATTTAGACTATCTTCCAATCTTTTGTAAACACTCAGTTGTATTGGACTATACAATTTTCTCCCATTATCACTTTCAGACTGTGACAATGAGCAGTGTGTATATCTGGACTGTATTATATGGGAAACCACAAAACACTTTAGGTATTAGGCTTGGCACAAGATTTAAATTATATATAACATTTCATTGAAATATACCATTGTCAACAAATACAAACCTTGTTATTTCTTCCTCTCTAGGAAGACTATTTAAAAACTCCCCTGTAGTTGAGCATGCATGATGTAATTTAATACCAGTCTGAATAGTGCTTGTCTCTTGAAGATAAAAGTTATTCCTTAAAACAAAAAACACATCTTTCCAGTAAAGAATGTAAGAAAATCTTAGAAAATTATATTTTTATTTTATCAATGGTACAGTTAACATGATCCTCATATTTCCTAATATAAAAAAGATATGCTAAAATACCTGCGTGGCTGTAATTCGAGTACACGGATTAAATAAGAATAAGCCTTGTATGAGAGCTAGCAAGTCGTCTCCTGCTGCAATGAAGATGTGTTGTAATGGGATTCCAGGGAAACTCTTAAATGTCACAAAATCTGGAAGACTGCACATGTCCTGTAAAAATATTTTTATAATTCAAATTTAAAGGATTAAAAAACACATAGATCTCAAATGAAGAAATAAAACTATCATATGGATGATATGATGATCTATGTAGAAAATCCCAAGAAATCTATTTAAAAACTCCTAGAATTAGTAGGGCAAAGTTGCATGATATAAAATAAATATGCAAAAATCAACTGTAGTTCTATATACTAGCAATGAACATGTGGCCACTGAAATTTTTAAAATGCCATTTAGAATCACTCAAAAAGACCAATGAAATACTTAGGTAAAAATCTAACAAGGGACTTCCGGTCAAGATGGTGGCGTAGGTAAACTTGGTACTGTGTCCTCCCACAACCACATCAAAATTACAACTAAACTACAGAATCATCATTCAAAACCGCCTGAAATCAAGCTGAATGGAAGTCCTACAACTACAGAATTAAAGAAGCAGCTGCATTGAGACTGGTAGGAGGGTTGGAGCCAGAGGGGCTGGTCCCATACCCACGTGTGGCAGATAAAAATCAGGAGACACCTCGGCTGGGAAGGTCCTCCCTGAGGACTGAGGGGTCCCCGTCCCACACCAGGTGCCCAATTCAGCGTTCTAGTACCAGGAAGAAAAGTCCCCATAACTTCTGGTTGGAAAAGCAGCGGGACCTGAGGCACAGGGAGGCTGAGGCGGCTGGAGCCCCAGGCAGCTCCATAAAGGGCCCGTGCACGAACTTATTGGACTCACTCCCTCTAAGCTTGGAGGGGAGGCAGCTGGAGGGGCGCCAGAGACATACAGGGAACTGAGCAGTGTGGCACTGGAGCAAGGGCTGGAGAGGGGGGCTTTCTCCGGAACAAACGGGCAGTCAGAGGCCTTTGTTCCTTTGGTGAGCCTTTCCCTGGGGGGGCAGACAGCTGCCATATCTGGGACTCCAGCAACCTGGCTCATGTTGGTTGCCCCGCCCTGGTGATTCCCTGAGGCCCCGCCCCACCCAACTTTCAGGCCCACCCAAGCTGTTGCCAGTTGGTTAACTATAGGATTGGTCAACTATAGGATTGGTCTCAGATCCTGTTTGAGGTTTTCCTAAATTCTTTCAAAAAAGCAGCATCTGGTCTCAGCTAGCCCCATACCTCTCGTTAAGTAATACACAGAAACAAACACAGGGAGGCAGCCAAAACGAGGAGACAAAGAAACAGGCCCCAAATGAAAGAACAGAACAAAACCCCAGGAAAAGAACGAAGCAAAATGGAGATAAAGATAAGCAACCTAACAGATGCTGAGTTCAAAACACTGCTTACAAGGATGCTCAATGGACTTAGTGAGAAACTCAGTGAACTTAGTGAGGGCCTCAAGAGCATAAAATCAGACCAGTCAGAAATGAAGGAGGCACTAACTGAAATAAAGAACAATTTACACAGTATTCAATAGTAGAGTAGGTAAAGCCAAGAAGCAAACCATCGATTTGGAATATAAGGAAGCAATAAATACCCAATCAGAACATCAAAAAGAAAAAAGAATCCAAAAAAATGAGGATAGTGTAAGGTGCCTCTGGGACAACTTCAAGCATGCCAACATTCGCATCTTGAGGGTGTCACAAGGAGAAGAGATAGAACAAGAAATCGAAAACCTGTTTGAAACAATAATGGCAGAAAACTTCTCTAACTTGGTGAAGGAAACAGACATACAAGTCTAGGAAGCACAGAGAGTCCCAAACAAGATGAACTCCAAGAGACCCACGCCAAGACACATCATCATCAAAATGCAAAAGGTTCAAGACAAAGAGAGAATCTTAAAAGCTGCAAGAGAAAAGCAGTTAGTTACCTACAAGGGAGTTCCCATAAGACTATCAGCTGATGTCTCAAAAGAAACTTTGCAGGCCAGAAGGGAGTGGCAAGATATATTCAGTGATGAAAAGCAAGAACCTACAACCAAGATTACTCTATCCTGCAAAGCTGTCATTTAGAATCGATGGCCATATAAAGGGAAAGCTAAAGGAGTTCATCACCACCAAACCATTTTTATATGAAATGTTGAAGGGTCTCCTTGAAGAAAAAGATAAAAAATATGAACAAACAAAATGATAATGAATATATATCTATCGACAATTGAATCTACAAACAAAATGAACAAGCAGAACAGAAACATTCTCATAGATACAGAGAAATTTTGTTGGTTGCCAGATGTGAAGGGGTTTGGGGGAATGGGTGAAAAAGGTGAAGGGATTAAGAAGTACAAATTGGTTGCTAGACTGACAAACCTCAAAGGGAAGGGGGTTTGGGGGGTGAGAAGAAATAAACCAAAGAACTTATATGCATATTTGCATGGCCAATGGACACAGACAACAGTGTGGAGAAAGGCAGGAGCGGGGTGGGAGTGGGAGGAGGGGGTCAATGGGGGGAAAATGAGGAACATCTGTAATACACTCAACAATAAACATAAAAAAAAATCTAACAAGGCATGTGTATAACTATATGGAAAGCTACACAACACTGATGAAAAAGATCAAAGCTCTAAATGAATGGTGAGACCTATCATGTTCATGGATTGGAAGATTCACCATCACAAAGATGTTAATTCTCCTCTAATTTATATATAGGTTTAATGCAATTCTTGTCAAAATTCTGGCAAAATTATTATATAAGATTATTCTAAAATTTATATGGGAGCCAAAGGAGCTAAAATAAATTTGAAAAAAGAGAGAGGAATCAGTCTACCTGAGTTTAAGACTAAAAACTGACCTAAAGTCTCACATTTCATACAAAAATTAACTCAACAAGGATCACAGCTATAAATAAATTATATATATGTATATGTATTTTTTTATCCTCACCCGAGAACATTTTTCCATTCTTTGTTCAGACAGAGTGGGAGGGAGAGAGAGGAAGAGAGAGAGAGAGAGAGAGAAACATCGAAGTAAAAGAGACACATTGAGTGGCTACCTCCCGCACGACCCAACCAGGGCCGGGGACAAACTGCAACTGCGGTACGTGCCCTTAGCGGGAACCGAACCTGGGTCTCTCTGGATCGCAGGCCAACGCTCTAACCGCTGAGCCAAACCCACCAGGGCAATAATATATATTTTTTAAAATATTTTTTTCTTTATTGATTTTAGAGAGAAAGGAAGGAGAGGGAGAGGGAGAGATAGAAACATCGATTGGCTGCCTCCTGCATGCCCCCCACTGGGGATTTGGCCTACAACCTGGGCATGTGCCCTGACTAGGAATCGAACCAGCGACCCCTTGGTACATTGGTCAACGGTCAACCACTGAGCCACACCAGCCGGGCTATAAATAAATAATATTAATAAATGATAACTATTAGGGCATGTTTTACAATTAGAACACATAGCAGATTTTCAATTAAAAAGCTGAAGAAATTATTAGCAGAAAAGAAACTCCTCAGACTTATATTCAGGTTCAGATAATTTCACTGCACTTTTAATCAGAAGGTAGTCTAATTAAAATTTCTCTTTTCGTCTGGGGTGCCTCACTAGTTGGGTGTCAACCCATGCACCAAGAGATCGCCGGTTTAATTCCTGGTCAGGGTCCCATTCCTCAGTGAGGGGCATGCAGGAGGTGGCTAATCGATGTTCTCTCCTTGAAGTTTTTATCTCTCTCCCACACCCTTCCTCTCTTTCTAAAATCAATAAAGAAAAAAATATGTAAAAAAAATTTTCTCTTTTCGCCCTGGCCGGTTTGGCTTAGCGGTTGGAGCATCGGCCTGCGGACCAGAGTTCTGGGTTCGGTTCACGGTAGGGGCATGTAACAAAAAAATTTTCTCTTTTCTAATTCTCATTCCCCAGGAGATGAAGCTGTAATAGGAAGAAAAATCAAAATGCCTATAATTTTAATTTAAGAATAACAAGTGAGGATATTTTACTGAATTGTATATATAACATTCAGCAACTTAAATTACTAGCAAATTAATCACTAGTAAATTAAGACAATGAATACATTTCTTTAAGTAGTATTTACATGATAGCACTATATAGAATCCTAACTAAAGAAAATGTATAAAGGCTTACAGGCCACTGTTCCTCAGTTGGTGTTCCCAAAGTTTCAAATATTCTTGTTAGTTGGTCAAGGTCTGAATCTCCTGGCAAGAAAGGAACCTGAAAGAAAGTGAGGGGCAGTATTTCAAGGTGGTTTATAATAGTCATTATATAAATAAAACTATAAATTTAATAAGAAAAACTAAACTGTAACAAAAATTAAAATGTTGTCTGAGGTATACTGGATGTGGTATTAGATCCTGTCATTGTTAACCTAGTAAACAGCACCACACTGTCCATTTTATTCACTTCACAATTTTTTTTGGCGAGGGGATAAACAAAATGTCCCCCCATACCACAAACTATGCACTCAACTTGCCCACATTTGGGGAAATCGCAGGGGTCAGCACATCCAGAATGCATGGATAAGCCTCACCCTGGGAACAACACCTTCGTGATCATGGTATCTCCTCTGCCAGGTACATACATACATATCACTCCACAAATCTTTAATAAAAAGTATCACTGGTATAAATATTTCTATTATTTCTTTCCATTTAACAATAACAGAGGAGGTTCAGAATGCAGATCAATTGTCCTCTAATATGATTTAAACTACATTGATTACTTTGGTTGACTATAGGCTTACTTATTATTGTTCCTCTGTTTTCTAGTTTAAGTAGCTTTTTAAACCTATTTTTTTAATCCTCACCCGAGGATATTTCTCTATCTTTAGATAAGGTGAGAGAGGGAGAGAAAAGGAGAGGGAGAGAAATTGACATGAGAGGGACACTTCGATTGGTTGCCTCCCGCACGACCCTGACCAGGGCTGGGGATGAATTGCAACCAAGGTACGTGCCCTTGGCTGGAATCAAACCTGCGACTCTGGTCCACAGGCCGTCGCTCTACCACTGAGCCAAACTGGCCAGGGGTAAACATATTTTATATGAAAGAACAACACTTTAAAAAGGGTTGAATGGGTCTGGCCAGTGTGGCTCAGTGGTTGAGCATCAACCCATGCACCAAGAGATCGCCAGTTAGATTCCTGGTCAGGGCACATGCCCAGGTTGTGAGCCAAATCCCCGATGGGGGACATGCAGGAGGCGGCCAATCAATGTTCTCTCTCACTGATGTTTCTATCTCTCCCTCTCCCTTCCTCTCTCTCTCTCAAAAAAAAAAGGGGGGGTTGAATGGCCCTGGCTGATTTGGCTCAGTGGTTAGAACATCGGCTCTCAAACCACAGGGTCACGGGTTCTATTCAGGTCAAGGGCACGTACCTCGGTTGTGATTCAATCCCTGGCCCTGGTTAGAGTCGTGTGGGAGGCAACCAATTGATGTGTCTCTCTCACATCGATGTTTCTCTCCCTCCTCCTTCCTCACACTCTATCTGAAATCAGTGGAAAAATGTCTTCAGGTGAGGATTAAAAAAAAAAAAAGAGTTGAATGCTTATAACAGCAAATCTCTCAATTAACTATTCTTCTTTCAATACTATATAATACAGTATATCATGTAATTTGTAATTATAAATATTATTATATAACATAATTTAAAATGTATAATTTTATATAACAATATTATGTAACTATTCTTTAAATTATTATCTGTTTGAACTATAGGATCTCACCACAGATCTAGAACTGTATGGACAGCATTTCCATCTATCATATTTCAAATGAGCAAAAGGACAGTTTAAAATAGGAAAGATTTTACCCTAGCCAGGTGGCTCAGTTGGTTAGAGCATCATCTCATACACCAAAAAAAAAAAGGCCCTGGCCGGTTTGGCTCAGTGGTTAGAGCGTCGGCCTGTGGTCCAGAGAGACCTGGGTTCAGTTCCCGCTAAGGGTACATACCTCGGTTGCAGTTTATCCCCGGCCCTGGTTGGGGTTGTTATGGGAGACAGCTACTTGATGTGTCCCTTTCACATCGATGTTTCTCTCTCTCTTCCTCTCTCCCTCCCACTCTATCTGAACAAAAATGGAAAAATGCTTAAGTGAGGATTAAAAAAAAAAAAGAAAGGCTGCAGGTTCAATTTCCCGTCAGAGCACATACCTAAGTGGTGGGCTCTGTGTATGGGAGGCAACAGATCAGTGTTTCTCTCTCTCCTTCTCCCTCTCAAATCAATAAAAAACCATATCCTCAAGTGAAGATTTAAAAGAAAAAAAGATTAAAAAATATAAATAAAATAGGAAACATTTTTTAGTTGTGCAAGACAAAAAATATGGCAAAATGGTACAGTTCTTCACCAATTATGGCTACCCATCTATTTCTTCATAATCTTAATGATTCCAGCAAGAATGTCAATGAATAATTAGACTCTAACTATGATTTCAACCAGGTCCACAATTTCTAAACCATCTAGTCTCAACTGATCTCTCCTTTTACTTTCTCTCTTTTTAAAAAATATTTTATCTGACATTTATTTTCCTTTTACTTTCCCTCTCTCTCTCTCTTTTTTAGATTTTATCTGATTTTTATTTTCTTTTTACTTTCTCAATGGATTGATTAGTCATAACATTAGGGGCTAGGGAACTGTTTTTTTTTTCTTGGTTATGAATGACCTGTGCTTTTGGTTGCTGATAAGATTGTCAAATGTGAATGTGTGGTAAACTCTGTATTCCTGTGAGTAGCAGAGTTCCCATGCTAGCTAATTCATAGGACCCAATACTAGCAACAGATTACTATGTCATGTTCAAGTCTAAATGTGAAGGTTTCTTCTGCAAGCACCAGAGGGATGAGCTTCTCAAAGTGATCCTTAGAACTTACACTAAACTAAAAATGATGTTTAAGAAGGTAACTTTTGTCTCTCGTGTCCAGAAGCTGCTTTCTGTCTTCAAGGAAATAAATAGCTATATTTGTGTGTCTTGGGTTCACATTTCTTTTTATTTTTTCCTTTATTGATTTTTTAGAGAGAGAGAGAGAGAAACATTGATGAGAGAGAACATCAACTGGCCATCTCCTGCATGCCCCTGACTGAGGATTGGGCCCACAACCTGGGCATGTGTCCTGACAGGAAATCAAACCAGCGACCTCTTGGTGCATGGGTCAATGTCCAACCACTGAGCCACACCGGCCAGACACTGGGTCCACATTTCTTTAAATATATATGGCTTGAAAAGAGGGAGAACAGCGACTAGAATCTGGAATGTAGGGAGAAAAAACAGCTTCAGATGGATTTCCCAATATTCCTCACTCTTCATCATTCAGAAGGGCCAGCCTAAACTTTATAGTTAAAGAAAAGTTTCTGAGTCACCATCTTTCTCTCAAATGAGGGCAGGGAGAGGAGGTTTTACTGTAAAATGGTCTCAGTCAGAGAAGTGGTATAGGACCACGTCTGCTCTGCTTGAAGAGAACTAAAATGGTCCTCTCACACAAGGTTCATAGTTAGTTCAGAGTTGCAGCCGCAGTGGCTGGCATTACAGTGTACATTTAAACAACCCCAAACAAAGTCACAGTGGTATAAAGTTCATCCTAACATATTTGGTTACTGTAGAGATATTACCGTATTATAACCCAATGAAGGTTTTATTATAGTTATATTTCAGAACACAGAAATGATTGATAATAAAGCCTTACTATCCTAAATGGGAAGTGTTCTCATCTCACATTAGCATTAATAAAAAGGTTGCATTAGCCCCAGCCAGTTTGGCTCAGTGGTTGGAGTGTTAGCCTGCAGACCAGAGAGTCCCGGGTTCAGTTCCCGCTAGGGGAACGTACCCAAAAAAAAGGTTGCATTAGGGATAGTTTTTGTTTTAATTGGTTTGTTGGCTTTTTGTTGTAAGGATGGGGCTCCTCTCTGGGAAGATAATTCCTCCACAAACTGTAAGAACAAACACCTATAACAATATTGAAGTGTGTACAGCAATTCAAAACTTACCCTTAGAAGCAACTCTGCTAATATACAGCCAACAGCCCACATGTCCACACCTACGCCATACATTCTGGCACCAAATAGTAACTCAGGGGCCCGATACCATCTGAAGAACAAAAAGAAATGTCATTTTAGAATGAAATTATTAAATATTTCATAGAGAAAACTCCCCAGTGAAACATCATCTCACTGATGAAATTCACTTTTCTTCTACAAACTCGCCTACAGTCATTTGTACTTACACAATCTGCATTTCAATCTGTAATTATCCTTAACTGTTTTTGTTTTTAATTGATTTCAGAGGGAAGAAGGCAGGGAGGGAGACACATACACACAGACATACACATACCCCCAATGTGAGAGAGAAACCAATTTGCTTCCTCCCCCACGTGCTGACTGGGGGGATCAAATCCTCAACCTGGGTATGTGCCTTGAGCAGGAATCAAGCACCCCTTGGTATATAAAATGATGCTCCAAACAACTGAGTCACACTGGTCAGGGCTATCCTTGACTGTTTTAAAAGCCAATACATCAACTTGGGCACTAGATACCATGCTCTGTCGCCTATTTTCAAGGGTATTGCTCCCATAATTGTCTCCTCTTTCTCCTACAACTTTTTGTTATTTACTAAACTATTACTACCAATGTACAAACATATCATTATTTCTCTGGCTTTAAAAAATAAACTCAAAACCAAAGAAACAACAGAAACTTCTTTAGACCCGACTTCCCCTAACAGCTACCTCCTCATTCTCTAGTTAGTCTGAAGGGTTATGTGCTCATATTGTCTCCAATTCTTCTTCTCTCACTCTCTTAAACTCTTTCAATCAGGCTTTCATCCTATTATTCCACTAAAATGGCTCTTGTCAAGGTTAACAATGATACCCACATTACCAATCTGTCAATTTTCAGTCCTCATTTTCACTTAACCTATTAGTAGCATTTATTTGATTTGCATGAAGAGAAAATATGAGAAATTAGTAGATGAAAAGCACTATATACAGTGCTCTTGTATGTGAGTCCCTGTTTTCTTGGGTTCCTGAATGATGGTCTTAATCTTTCCAGCAATTACATGAGTAACTATATCTCTTATGTCTTACTCAGGGCTCAGGCGATTGACACTCAATGAGATCTATTTGGAAAGAAGGTGACAAAGTAATTTAAAGGAATAAAGAAAATGAAGATCTTATCAGATCCTTAAAAAATCTTGGAAATTAGCCCTGGCCGGTTTGGCTTAGCGATGAGTGTTGGCCTGCGGTCCAGAGACCCAGGTTCAGTCCCCGCTAAGGGCACATACCTCGGTTGCAGTTTGTCCCCGGCCCTAGTTGGGTCATGCAGGTGGCAACCACTCGATGTGTCTCTTTCTCGTCGATGTTTCTCCCCCTCTCTCTCCCTCCCACTCTATCTGAACAAAAAATAGAAACATGTCCTTGGGTGGGGATAAAAAAAAAAAAATCTTGGAAATTAACAAATGCCACCCAGATAAGAATTATAACCTTTTAATGTGATTTTTAATTTTTATACATAAAAAGTGTTAACATAAAATACAATATAATAATATGAAAAACCCAAATAGCAATGCACTGCTTTTAAAAAAAAAAAGTTTTGAATGATTTCACAGAAAGAGGAGGAGAGAAGGAAACCAGACATAGAAACATTGATGAGAGAGAAACATTTGTTGGCGGCCTCCTGCACGCCACCTACTGGGGATCAAACCGGAAACCCAGGCACGTGCCCTGACCCGGAATTGAACCCACGGCCTTTTAGTGCATGGGAGATACTCAACCAACTGAACCGGGCTCAATGCACTCCTTTGTATGGAATTTTCATTCACACTGAATAATATAAAATATGGAAACAGGACTGACTGATGAAGTAAACACAGGCCCTCCTGAATCAGGTGATTATGTAAAATAGCCACTAAAGTTGCCACCTACTAACTAAAATATAAAAGAAGTATAAATTAATCTCAAGTTATTAGCCCTAGCTCGATAGCTCAGTTGGTTAGAGTGTCATCCTGATACACTCAGGTTGCGAGAGTGATTCCCAGTCAGGGCACATTAAAGAAGCAACCAATGAATGCAGAACTAAGTGGAACAACAAATTGATGTTTCTCTCTCTCTCCTCCTTCCTCTCTTTCTAATGTCAGATAAATGTCTGAGAACTGACTTAAATTGACTCTTATTTGAATAAAGGGCTGTATTTTTTTTCACTGTGATAAGATACACATAACAAAACAGCTGTATTTTCAACAGAACACCAACAATGATTCCTGAACTCTTCTCACTTGTGATTAATATTCTGGACAATATAAACTTTTCACTTATTTAAGGGATTCTTACCTGGTTACAACCTGATGTGTATAAGCTCTATTGGGGCTTCCAAATGATTTGGCCAGGCCAAAATCTGCCAGCTTTAGAACTCCATTTTCATCTAGCAACAGGTTGTTTGGTTTCAGATCCTATATTATAGAGATTTTAAACAAAGAAGCAAGCAGGATGGGGGCGACTACCATAATGATACATTTAGTTGGCTTAACTGTAAACTTAGCAAAAACAAGGTAATATCCTAAATTAAATAACAATTAGTATTTTTCCACTGATGTAAAATTTTATCAAAGCAAAACAAGATTGGTCATATTACCTAGTCAGACCTTGCAAGATCCAATTTCAATGAATTTCATTACCTACTTTACAGGGTTGCTGTGAGGATTATATTTAATATTTTCTGTAAAGAGTCTAGTGTAATGACCGTCTCATAGTAAGTACTTAATAAGTGGTTGCTGCCATTACTTTAATAACAATAATGTATATAAATTTTAGTAAATAAAAACACTATAAATTTAGAAATGATGAGGAAAATAGTCTGGAAATCTATGCTAAAAAAAATATTAGTAATAACCTAAAAGGGATTCCACATTTAAGATATGAGAGTTGCCCTGGCTGATTTGGCTCAGCAGTTAGAGCGTCAGACCACGGACCAGAGTTTCGGGTTTGATTCCGGTCAAGGGCATGTACCTTGGTTGCAGTTCAGTCCCCAATCCTGGTCGGGAACGTGCGGGAGGCAACCAAGCAATGTATCTCTCTCACAATGATGTTTCTTCCTTCCTCCCTCCTTCCCTCCCACTCTGTCTGAAAATAAATGGAAAAATATCCTTGGGTGAGGATTAAAAAAAAAAAAGATACTAGAGTTACCAACCATAAATTATATATTCTTAGCTATTTACCTAATAGGGTGTTTGAGAACATCTACCTATCTAAATTATCAGTCTTGTTCCAACAACTGAATGTTCAGAACAATGAGTAAACCAGTTCAGAAATTTTATTTCATTACTTCATAGAATTTTAGACTGCCAGAAATATTATTTTTCTAAAGGTATTTTGGCATTGTATAATTTAATCCAGATTCTCAATGCATTTTCTCCACTAATAATAGTATAGCACAAAGAACACTGGATTTAAAGTCAAAAGATCTAGGTTCTTATACTGTCAGTTTTCAGCTACTGACCTTTAAAAATATATATAACCTTGGTCAGGTCACTCAGTAATTTAATCCTTCATTTTATAAAATTATTAAGGACTGGTCTCTTCTATTCCTAAATTTCACATAGTAATTTACAGTCCTCACAGCACCACCTGGTGGAACAACTGGAGGGAACACACTGAGGAAGAAGGTGGGATAAAATAGTCCAGCTACATCTTTATTTAACAATTTACATGTTCCGACTATTTATGTAATAAACTAGTTACACAAAACTTAACAACATAAAGAAGTTATCAACTTGGTTAAAAACCTTACCCTATGTAGAATCCAATGTTGATGTAAATATTCTAACCCTTGAAGAGTCATCAACATGTAGGCTTTGATGTGTGATGGTGTCAGGACTAAACTATTATCCTTTATTATAACCTGTAAAATAGGTATACAATATACAGGTAACTTTATTATTACAAATAAATGCCACCATATAAAATAATTTACAGACATAAAATGAATGTATTCATACAGAAGAATCTCAAGAAAGGTTGCCTAAACTGCCTTAGGAAGGACTGTCAGAATTTCCAGTCATGTGGTTAGGAAAAGTATCTTTGGTTTGGAATGAAAGCAGTGCTTTGTCTTCCTATTGCTTTTTTTCCACTTGCCCCAGGATGTATAGCCCCTTCTGGTAATAGCATCCAGCATTCCTTTGGGAAACCACCTGTTTCCAGCTCAAACCACCAGGTTAAAAATGGACTGACCACTACCTGTGGCCTCTAGAAGTAAGCTCATGACCCAAGCAGAGTTAATCACTACTGAAGCCTGCTGTCCACGAGATTGGTTCAAGGGTAGACATGTGATCCAGGTCAAGACTATCAAGCAGACGCAGTACTTGTGCTAGAATAAAAAAGAATGAAGAACTTTCTTTCCTCAAGGATTATTAAACTCTAAGGATTTAAGCTTGGAAGTATTTGAGCCATTATACTACTGAGAAGTTATATACTGAGCCATTATACTGAATGAAGGCAACAGAGAAGAAAATAGAGTGAGTTAAAGTGAAAGACTGAGTTCCAATGGAATTATTTGTGAACTGTGGCTAAAACCAGTTTATTCCTAGACTTATCAGTTACATGAGCTAAACACTCCTATTTTCTCCTTTAAAAAATCCAATTTAGGTAAAATGTACCCTTTTCAGAGCCTAATTTTGTGAGTTTTAATGAACACACACAGTTGTATAACCACCAGGACAATCAAGATATAGTTCCATAATCCCACAAAATTCCCTCAGGCCCCTCTATACTCAGTCCTTCATTGTACTTCCAACCCCAGTAACCACTGATCTTTTTGTGTTTTAGTTTTGTCTTTCCCAGAATAACATATACATGGAAGTATACAACACATAGCCTTTTGAGCCTGGTTTCTTTCATTTAGTACAATGTATTTGAGATTCCTCTATACTGTTGCACATATTAGCAGCTCATTTCTTTTTATTCCTGAATAGTATTCCATTGTATGGGTATACCACTGTTTATACATTCACTGAATGAAAGATATTTGGGTTGTTTCCACTTTGGGCAATTATGAAAAGCTAAACATCTGTGTACCAATTGAGTTCTGTGTAAATACGTTTTTGTTTCTCTTGTATAAATACCTAGCAGCAGTATTGCTAGAGCATATCTTAAATGTATATTTTACTGTATAAGACACTGCCAAACTATTTTCCAAAGTAGCTGTATCATTTTGCATTCTCAACAGTAATGCTAAGAACTCCAGCTGTTCCATACCCTTGGATTATCAGTTTTTGAGATTCAATTAATATTAATGAAAAGCATAAGATCTTATTTTTCTCAAAAAGAAACTTGGCTTTCAAAAGGTTGATATTCTGCAATAACATGGAAAAGAAAATCTAAATTTTCAAAGGCTTAAGACTCATTTCTCTAAAAATAATGTCAATAAGGTATAGGGTAACTTGGTAGAACAATGCTAATGAAATCTAAATCTCTGTATTTAACACCGGGAATATGGTTAAATGATTCAGAAGATCCTAGATTTAACAGTATATCCAGATTTCAAAATTAAGCATTCTTTTGACTACTAGTATCTTCATAAGTAGAAAATAAACACTGAGGTTCTCTTTTTATAAACATAGAGAAAAAAATTCTTCTAGGAATCTTAACCTTACCTCTAGATCAGTTTCCATAAAATCAAAGACAAGGCTAATATTAGATTTATGTCCAAAAGCATCAAGGAGCTGCAAAGCAAAATTTCAAAATAAATCAAAATGTGATTCTCTATGCAATACTTGGCAGTACTATGCTAAACAATTTTTTTAAATGTAAAGAAGTATTTGGACAATTGATAATTCCCTATAAAGTTTAAGTAATTTTAATAAATTTGATATTTATCTGTTTTTTGTTTGCTAGAAATTTGTACTTTGAGACACAAAATATTAAACTTTATTATTTTTTTAAAAATCACTAAATGCTTAACCTCTCTCCCAATTTTGGGAGTTATGATAAAGAAATGAATCGATGAAAACTTTACCTCAGTCCCCAATTGAGAAAAATCCCTACCCTAAGAAAATCCTATAGCCCTGGCCAGTTTGGCTCAGCGGTTAGAGTGTCGGCCTGCGGTCCGGAGAGACCCGGGTTCGGTTCCCGCTAAGGGCACGTAATTTGGTTGCAGTTTGTCCCCGGCCATGGTTGGTCGTGCGGGTGGCAGCCACTCGGTGTGTCCCTTCACATCGATGTTTCTCACTCTCTCTCCCTTCCTCTCTCTCCCTCCCACTCTATCTGTACAAAAAATGGAAAAATATCCTCGGGTGAGGATAAAAAAAAAAAAAAGAAAAGAAAATCCTATAAATCGCAGTGGGAGCTATCATTTATTGAATGAGTATATTCTCCATGCCAGGCATTATTCCAGGTACTTTACATGTATTTAATTAGCTAATCTCACAACAACCCTCTAAGGTAGTGACTATGGCACAGAGTTTTGAGGGAATGTGTTCAAGGTCTTACACATTCTAGAGCTTTCTAGGCTTCAAAATGATTTCTGACAAAATTAGTCTGTATGCCAAGATTTTATTTATTCCATCAGCTGAAGACATTGCCTACAGCAACAATTAGAATGGAAAATATATTTTAGCCTGATAAACTTTTAAGCTTTCTTGCAAGGCTTGCTTAGAACAACTTATTTTGTTGGGCCTTCCGTCAACATACCAGAAAAGGCAGGGTCCCAAATCCCAAAAACAACATAGATCATACTTACACCAATTATATTTGGATGACTTAGCTCCTGTAATAATTTTATCTCTCTTAAGGCGGTTCTATTTATACCTATATAAAAAGGCAAAGTAAAAAGTGAAAAATAATTCTCAAATCTTAAATCTTCTTACAAATATTTTTTTGGGAAAGGTTAGTCTTGCCCGGCTGGTGTGGCTCAGTAGACTGAGCGATGTCCCATGGACTGAGAGGTCCTGGTTTAATTCCTGGTCAGGGCACATGCCTGAGTTTTGAGTTTCATTCCCAGCAGATTCTCTATGCTAACAGCATACTGGTGATAGATAGTATCTTTCCCAATGCAAAGGCTAGAACTCAACATTAAAGATAAGATCTGTGCTCAGCTGGTGTAGCTCAGTGGACTGAGTGACATCCCATGGACTGAGAGGTCCCCATTGGATTCCAGTCAGGGCACATGCCCAGACTGTGGACTCAATCTCCAGTAGGGGGCGTGCAGGAGGCAGCTGATGGATGTTCTTATCTACCTTGCCCTTCCTCTCTCTCTCTAATAAAAAAAAAAAAAATCAATAAAAACATATTTAAAAAAAATCTGGTACTAGTTGTTACACAGACTATGGATCCTTTTATAGGAACTATTTCTTGATGACGAAACAGAACTTAGCATCTAGCAAACAAGCTTCTGAAGAGAGATGAAGAGTTCCATACTGAGCTTTGTGTACTGCCATGAAGTATAGCCTGAATTTTCAAAGTAATCAGAAGTTCAGAAAAATGAAGAAACAATGGTTTGTAACAACACCTAAAACAGTAATGAAGACAGCTAGACAATCACTAATATGAGCCAGACAAGCCACTAATAACCTTACTCTGCTTATTTCCTCAGTGGGAACAAAAGCTTTCCCGTCCTGTCAAATTAAATGAAATAACTTACCATCTTTAGCTTCTGATCTATGTCCAAGTTTTATCTGGTAGAGAAAAAAATAAAATAAAACAAACATTAAAAATATGTTACGTTGGCCTGGGTCCGTTTGGCTCAGTAGTTAAGAGCATCAGCCTTCGGAATGAGGGGTCATGGGTTCCATTCCTAGTCAAGGGCAAGTGCCTGGGTTGCCAATTCGATCTCCTGTCCTGATCAGGGTCACTAATCAATCAATGTGTCTCTCTCAAACTGATGTTTCTCTTTCTCACCCCCTCCGCCCCTTTCCCACCCTTCTACTCTATCTAAAAAATCAATGGAAAAATATCTGTCGGTGAGGATTAAAAAACAAAAACGTTAAGATGCCCAGCCAGTGAGGCAAGGGGCTGAGTGTTAACCTATCACCAAGAGGTTGCTAGTTCGATTCCTGGTCAGGGCACATGCCCAGGTTGTGGGCCAAAACCCCAGTGGGGAGCATGCAGGAGGCAGCCAGTCGATGATCTCTCTCATCGATGTTTCTCTCTCTCTCTCTCCCTCTCCTTTCCTCTCTCTCTCCCTCTCCCTTCCTTTCTCTCTAAAAATCAATAAAGAAAAAAAACAGATATTATCTTTAGCTTAACAAACACATACCTTGTAACTCTTAGTTAAGGTATGGGCCATTGTTTCTGGTTGCCTCAGGGGGTTAAAGACTAGAACATTAACTCTAGGTTTCACTGAGTCACCTTGAAGAGAAACAGGATGGATTCCACCCTAATTTATGCTAAAAGAAGGCTAACAAAAAAATCCACTTGGACTTTCAGACAACTATAGAACTCAATAGGCCAACAGTTTGAAGAGATGATATCAGTCAAATGAATAACCTTTTAATGAGTGTCTACAAATGTACTAGCCATAGTTCTAAGTGTAATTCAAGTGGAAGTAAATGGATAATAAACTCATAGATAAAAGGATTTCAGATTTTGATAAATGCTATGAAAGTAATAGAGAAATATGGTAAAGAACACTAGGGAGCCCTGTCCAGTTTGGCTCAGCGGTTAGAGTGTCGGCCTGCAGTACAGAGAGACCCGGGTTTGGTTCCCGCTAAGGGCATGTACCTCGGTTGCAGTATGTTGCAGCATGTTCCCGGCCCTGGTTGGGTCGTGCAGGAGGCAACCACTCGATGTGTCCCTTTCACATCGATGTTTTTTTTTTCTCTCTCTCCCTCCCACTCTAACTGAACAAAAAATGGAAGAATGTTCTTGGATGAGGATAAAAAGATAAAAAAAAAAAAAAAAAGAGAGAGAGAACACTAGGGAAGGAGGGAGGTGCCTGTTTTAGCTAAAGTGACCAGCAAAGGCCTCGAGGTGAAGAGAATCTGAGTGTGATCTAAATGATAAGCAATCAGCCATGCCAAGTTTTAGAAGAAAAACATTAGCCAGAAGGCAGAGCAAATGCAACAATCCTGGGACTAGAATGAATTTAAGGAACAGAACGGTCAGAGTGGCTATAGAGAACCAGGAGTAGAATTGAAAACATAACTTTAGAAAGGGTCAGGAGAGTTGAGAGTTTTGTTTCTGTCTTTTTTTTTTCTTTTTTACAAAGGAGTATCTAGAGTGCTGGATTATATAGAACATAAGCTGGAAAACAAGATGAGAGAAGTCAGAAAAAGTAAAAAAGATAAAGCAATGGCAGGAGTAACGGTACAAAGGAAGAAAGGAAGCCAGGTGTTAAGTGAATGAAGGAGATATGCTTTAAAGGAGTTAGGGATTTTGAAGGAGAAACAAATTCAAAGTAGCAACAGGAACCACAGGAAGGTGGAGGTCACTTACCCTATCAACAGGCCTTGAGATATGAGAAAACCAGCCCCTCCTTGAGAGGGTTATTGATTTCAGTAGTATGGGAAAGAGCAATCAACCTGACAGCAGGGCACCTGGATTTAAATCCTAGCTTTAGCACTTACTACCTGTATCATCTTGACAAGTCACCTAACCTCTCTCAGCCTCAGGTACCTCAAGTGTAAAATACAGACACTTACTTTATCTATTTTGCAAGACTGTTTTGAGGATTAAATGAAAAAATGCCGGTGAAATTGCCTGGCATATAGAAAGTTAGCTAAATATAACCTCAGTTTCTTGAATGAATGCAGATAAAAAAGATACTTAAATCATTTTTTATTATTATTATTATTTTTTATCCTCACCCGAGGACATTTTTCCATTTTTTGTTCAGATAGAGCGGGAGGGAGAGAGAGGAAGAGAGAGAGAGAGAAACATCAATGTGAAGGGACACATCGAGTGGCTGCCACCCGCACGACCAACCAGGGCCGGGGACAAACTGCAACCGAGGTACATGCCCTTAGCGGGAACCGAACCCAGGTCTCTCTGTACCGCAGGCCGACGCTCTAACCGCTGAGCCAAACCGGCCAGGGCCTTAAATCATTTTTTAAAATGCACACACATCAATGCTGTTAATGTTGGTGAAAGCCTTTATGGTAAATTTGTACACGGAAAATAGATGTAGCCCTGGCCGGTTTGGCCCAGCGGTTAGAGCGGCGGCCCGCAAACCAGAGAGACCCGTTCGGTTCCCGCTAAGGGCGCGTACCTTGGCCGCAGTTTGTCCCCGGACGCGGCTGGGGTCGTGTGGGTGGCAACCACTCGATGTGTCTCTCTCACATCGATGTTTCTCTCTGGCTCCCCCACCCCCACTCTATCTGAAGATAAATGCAAAAATTTCCTCAGGTGAGGCTAAAAAAAAAAAAGAAAGAAAATAGATGTGATACACAGAGTAGAGGCAGGTGCGCCCGAAAGTGACCCAAGAAGATAATGACATTAAACGTTCTGAGGACCCGACAAGACTGGCAGTAACTATCCCCTGATGACGCCTGCGTTCATAAAGCCAACATACGCGTCCTCGTCATTTCGAGGCCAATGAATGGAACAAAAGACTAGTTCAACCTGAGTTCTACCCTGGAACACAAGGCACTGACAGATTCTGCCCCCTGTGAAAGGGCGTAAGTACTCCTCGGCAGAGCAAGGGCAAGGTGATAAAGCGGCCGCCACCAGTTCGCACGTACCCGTCTTCCACGAGACTCAGAAACAAGCTGGGACTCACCTTTTTAATGGCGACAATCTGGTTGGTGTTCTTGTCTCTGGCCTTGTAAACCGTGGCAAACTAGAGACAAAAACAAAAATAACAAGTTTATGGGAGGTCTGTGTGCGTGTGTGTGCCTTTTTACTCTAGAGTTGGGGAAGCAGAGAATCGCGGGTCCTTGCAGCGGACTCGCGGCGGCTGGAAAGGCGGTGGGGCAGACCACGTCGCTCCCGCCCGTGACTCAGAGGGGAGGGCCGCGCGGGCGCGGGCAGCGGCGGCGCCGGGGCGCCCCGCCGGAGCCGGGCCAGTCCTCTGGCTTGCACGAGAAAGCCTGGGAGGATGTGAGGCGATCGGCGCTCTCGCCTCAGGGTCCCCGCAGTCCAGGAGAGCCTCACCTGTCCCTCCCCGAGGAAGTCCAGTTTTTCATAACGCTTTGCTCGCGACTTCACGTCCACAGCCATCCGTCACGCAAAGTCCGAGCCCAGCAGTAAAGGGCGAGCTCCCAGTACACAGAGAAATTAAAGCTACCTTAAAGCCTCCAACAGCCACTTCCGTTCACAGGGCTCCGACGCTTTCTTAGCTCCGCCCCCACTTCCTGGCTGGGCGTGGGTGCTGTGAAATAAGTACGGCTCCACGGAAGCTGCGCAAGGCGGGGCTCTTCGGCTTTTCTGCGCAGCTCCCCGTCCTCTCACGTGGTCGCCAGTTGGTGCTGGAAGCCGGCTGTTTTCGGTGGTGCCTTTCTGTGTCACCTTGTTACAGTTTTAATTTAGGTATTTTCTTAAGAACCGGCGACGGGTCAGCGTGCTGATACTGTTCTGAGTTCGGGATTTAAGGGGCGTGTGTTAAGTGTGGAAGGCTTGGCCTTCTTCCTGAACCCCCTTTCTGATTCTAGGTCGTGGGCGTCCTGTCGCTACGGTTACTGTGGACGCCTCGCCCCGCAATCTCAGCTCACTTAGACGCGTGCCCACTTCTAAAGGGCTGGTCAACAGGCGTTCTTACTTTTATGAAGAAGCACGCCCAGGTAAACAAAATCCAAGTCAACAGAAGACTTTTGTGCTGTGGAACTGACTGACCGTCACCAGTTTGCTACTCCAAAGTGGAACTATTAGACAGCATTATAGGTGGTTGTGAGGATTAAATGAGACATGCTGTAAGGTTAGACATAGTAAATGCTCAGTTAAGTGTTAACTATGACCAGTACCCAACTTTTAAGTTTTCATCCAAATTAATAAATTAAACAGATTAATTCATTTATTCAATGAATAATTTATTGAGGGCTTACTATATGCCACTCTCTGTTGTAGACTGAAAAATAAGCCAGAAAAAAAGACAAAGATTCTTGCTTTCGAATGGAAGTAGATAACAAGAAAAATGTTATGATAAAAAATATATTTGATACATAGTAATACGTGTTATAAAAATAATAGCAGGGAAAGGGGATAGAGATATTAGGGTTTTCAGTTTTAAATGGGGTGGGACAAAAAAGACATCACTGAAAAGCCACCACAGAGTTTTGAGCAAATGATATGATCTGACTATGTTTCAAAAGGTTCATTCTGTCTGTTGTGAGAGACTAAACTGGGGGCAGGGGAAGAGGATAGCAAGGAAAAGCAGGGCCAGTTAAAGAATTATTTCAGTAATCCAGATGACTGTCTTAGGTGGTACCAATTTGGCTTCTAGCCAAGTGGATTTGCTGACAGACTGGATATGTGTTGGGGGGGGGCGTGGTAGGGGTGAGAAAGTGTAATTCTAAGGTTTTGAACTGGAGCATTTGATGTTTCTAAGAGTTGAGAATACTGATTTTCAGAGTTATGTTGAAAAAGGCAGCAGACTACTACCAAGGCTCGTAATTTAGTAAAAGTAATCGAGTGTAAAGGTTGACTCCTTGCTGTGGATCTAGATTGCCCACATTTACTGGCCAAAGTATACACTCATTAAATTTATGATTTAGGCACATTATTTAACCTTTCTGTCCCTAGTTTCCTCTTCTGAAATAGTACCTACTCACTGGATTGCTTCAAGGCTTATATAATTTCACACTTTAAAAATCCTTAGATAAGTGCCTGACAGTGCTTAATTTGTTAGCTGTTACATAACTATTATTAGTCACCTCCCAGCTCTTTTCACTATTTGGGTCTTTACTGAGCTCTGATGTGTTCAGAGGCAAAATTCTCATACATTGCAGAAAACACACCATCTTTACCACTTAATTCGAAATTTCTTGTGGCTTCAAGTCATACCTAAAGATCCATGGTGTCACCTTAGGCCAGAGTTCCTTCTGAAAAACATCACTGCAGCAATCTAACCTCACTTATAGTAAAAATAAGCTAAGTAGTGAGCTAAATTTGATAGTACACCTAGGGGGCTTGATGTTCCCACCTATGCTATGGCATATGAATTGATAATCACTACATTATGCCATGCTACTGACAAGAAATTCCTATATGAGGATATTTTAAGTAGGGTAACAAAGGTGTTTAGGTGATATTGTGGGTTCATTAAGTCATTGTAGATATATAAAATACCACTCAGCATCTGTATAGCATTTTACAATTTACAAAGCACTTTTATACATTGGTAGTAGCCATCTTCCAAGATGGCCCCGGTGATTCTTGCCTTCTGGTATTAATAAACTGTAGTTTCCTCCCACAATGAAACAGGCTGATATATGTGACCAATAGAATATGAAAGAAATGGCCTAGCTGGTATAGCTCAGTGGTTGAGCATCAACCCATACACCAAGAGGTCACCGGTTCAATTCTCAGTCAGGGCACGTGCCCAGGTTGTGGGCCAAATCCCCAGTGGGGGCATGCAGGAGGTGACCAGTTAGTGTTTTCTCTCATCAATGTTTCAATCTTTCTCCCTCTCTAAAAATACAAAGGAAAAAACAAAAAGAATATGGCAGAGGTGTGTGTAACTTCTGAGTTTAGATCATAACAGTCATTACTTCTTCTGCTTTGTACACTTGAATGATTTACTCTGGGGAAAGTCAGCCATTGTCATGAAGTCACTCAGGCAGCCTTGTGGAGAGGAATGGAATCCTCCTCTCAACAGCTAGCATCAACTTGCCAGCCATGCTAGTGAGCCATCTTGGAGATAGATGTGCAGCTTCAGTCAGATCTTCAGATAAGTGCAGCCCCAGGTAGCATAAGATTGCAACCTCATGAGAGCCTGGCTTAAACAGAACTGCCCAGCCAACCTGCTCAGGAATTCCTGACCCAAAGAAAACATGGGCTATTAAGTGATTATTGATGCTTTTAGCCACTAAGTTTTGGGGTGACTTGTTACAAAGTAATAGTACCAGAAAGGAAAACCTAAAATTGGATAAATTCAGCAATTTGCTGATGCTTACATATATTTAAGCACCTGTAAATGAAAACACAGACTATTTACTCTAAGCCACCCCAGAATTCTTTTTTGATACCATCCTCCTTGTGAGTTCATCCTATGACAGCAATTTCCACTGACATGCCTTTTTGCCATACTTATATTTACAGGTTGTGTAAAAGTGATGTTTTTTCATTGTGATTTTCATTATAGCAGCTGTAGTAAAGGTGGCCCTCAGACAGTATTAGTGTTTCTAACTGCTGGCCCACAGTATTACTCAAGCCACTCTTTACTACTGGAACCCACGGTTTCTGAAAATTAAAAAAAAAAAATCAAATTGCCCTGGGCTTCCTTTACTGAAATGGAAAATCTAAGGGAAAAAATGGAATAATGCCCAGGGTTGCGGGCTCGATCCCCAGGGGGTGTGCGGGAGACAGCCAATAGATGTTTCTCTCACACTGATGTTTCTATCTCTCTCTTTCCCTAAAACAATCAATAAAAACATATTTTTAAAAAAATAGTGCTAGTTTTTAAGCAAAATTTCCAAATAAAATAAAACCACACCAAAAAATCATGAATCATGTATTATTTATGAGTCACTAGAACAGCTTAGAGCTAGCACCAAACCCCTACCTCAAATTCGAGTTGGCCCAGCTGGTGTGGCTCACTGGTTGAGTGTCAACCCATGCACCAAGAGGTCGCCAGTTTGAATCCCGGTCAGGGCACATGCCCAGGTTGTGGGCCCAATCGCCAGTGGTGGGCATGCAGGCAGGCAGACAACCAATGTTCTCTCTCATTGATGCTTCCATCTCTCTCCCTCTCCCTTCATTTCTCTCTAAAATCAATAAAGAAAAAAACTATTAAAAAAAAGTCAATATTGAAAAAAAACTCGAGTTGGGCAACATTTATGCTAGCCCGCAACAGAATCTACAAGAGAAGCAGATCAACTCTGGAATGGTGAAAAGAAAAAAGTAAAGATTAACCCATAAGCAACTGAGCAATATTCAACAATTCTACTCATATATCGCTCAAGCTACCTTTACTATTAGGGATGACTTCTTTAAAACATTCTAGAAATCATTAAAGTTATGGAAGATAATTTATTTAGCTTTGTGATAATAATAAACCCTTGGCACAGAAAGACCCTCTTAAAGTTTCATAAGTTGCCTTAATGTAAATATTTAGGTTGATTTTATGAAGCTTTCAGACATTAAGTTTTGAGAAAGTTAATGGTTACCATGATTTACATACATTATCACAATCAAAACAGCAAAGTAAATAAAAGAACAAGACTTTCTTAACACCCCTAAAAAGATAAGAAATTATAATTTCTGGTCAAACATTTATACCTATGCTATATTCATTCTGATCTGATTTTATACTGACTTTTTTTTTCTTCCTGAAAATTGGTTACAAATAATCTTTTGTGTTAACTCCCCCGTCTTATCACCACCAAATAACTAGATTTACTTTTGCTAGATTTTTTTTTATCGTTTAGGACATGCTTATTAAGCCAGTAACTTTGTGAATGAAAAAAATGTTAACAGAATTAAGAACAAATAATGGAGTCATTATTTCACTTATCCTCATCCAATTTCAGAAAAATCACTTCCAAAATCCAGTAGTTCTGCCTGATAAGTTCACATCTAAACAGAAACTGAAAGAAAAGTGAAATGATAGGAAACCTATGATGGTTTACTGGACATTGTGTGCTTTTAACAGATCAACACTGGTAATACTTGATAATCAAGAGTAAGTTAACAGACTAACATTTTAAAATGTGTACTTTAATAAGTATAAAGTATATAAACAATTAGGTAAGCTTGTGGAGAAGCCGACCAAGATACATAAATTAAGAGATACAAGTGTCTATCTAAATTTTCTATATTTCTTTTCTTTTTTTTTCTTTTTACAGAATATTTATTAAAATTGTTCAATGTACAATTTCTCATTTGTCATTTTGGAAGTCCTTTATTGTAAAGACTATTCTTTTGTTTGATAACAACAGCAGCTTCAGTGTCAGTAATTATTCTGGACCTCCACGCTGAAAAGGAAAAAAAATAAAACAATAAGATTAGGTGTTAAATTTACAAAAAAAGTGTTTTCATGGCCACTGTACAAATTTTTACACTATGTTAAGCAAATGATCTTTAGCTTTTTTAAACTATTTTGTTATTTTTTTCATTGCTTTTGGCCACTCATAGAAATGTTATAATTTGAGATCTAAAAGGGACTCAGGTTGACCCAGATGAGAGGTCCTCAAATTTCATGGTCTCAGAAGAGAAGCCCTTTACACTCTGAAAAATCATTCAGAACCCTGAAGAGCATTTTTTCATGTGGTTATATTGATTGCTTCCACACTTATATTCCTTCATGTGCTTTAACTGAGGGCTTGGACATGGTTTCTCACAGTGCTGGCCTATCAGACCATGTGTGTCTTAGCTATGGACACACCATGACAAGACAATGGGAAAGGCATGTAAATCAGCATATGAATTCCAAAAGCCAAAAATGTTAAGGTGTTTTGCATAATATTGTGATAAAGACCAATAACATACTTGGATAAATTCCATTTCTTCTTGAGATACAAGTTTCCTTCTATATTTCTGAGGTAACGTTTTTATGATTTCTGCAGTGTCTGGTGGACCCTGATGCATCAGCCAGTCTGATGATTTACTTCCCTTAGAATGCTGTGAAATTGAAGAAGAATGAGATGGGAGTCCTGCTGATCTCAAAACTTCTGATACTGAAATTTAAAAAAATGTAATTAGAGAAATTGTTCAGGTGTCTTAAAATACTATTTTGCATTCTCTATTATTAAGTAATCTAGTCATTCTTGAGTAAGTATTATAATTCTGAGAGGTAAGTATTGGAGAGTAACTTAGTTGGATAGCTATACATAATTTCACAAAGTTCTTAAAACAAGGAGGTAATGTTAAGTGAATAAATTACTAAATTGAGCAAGTTGGTAAAATGATAAAATTTCTAGGTAGTAGAGTTCAACCCATATAGATAACCCAGATAAATTCTGTCATATGGTGGAATTGACAGGTAATATCTCATAATGGGGAATAAGAATTTTTGTAAATATAGACGAGGTTAGTTTTCTCAATACATTTATACTTGTTTATCACCTATATCTTAATTCTTCAAGGGTTATAAGAACTTAAAAATATCTGTATAAAATTTGTTAAAATTCTCCCTGGATTGCCCTGGCCAGTTTGGCTCAGCAGTTAGAGCGTCGGCCTGTGGTCCAGAGGGGCCTGGGTTCGGTTCCCGCTAAGGGCATGTACCTCGGTTACAGTTTGTCCCTGGCCCTGGTTGGGGTCGTGTGGGTGGCAATCACTCGGTGTGTCTCTCTCACATCGATGTCCCCCCCTCCACTCTATCTGAAGATAAAATGCAAAAATGTCCTTGGGTGAGGATAAAAAAATAAATACAATAAAATTCTCCCTGAATTAAGGATCAAATATCTTATAATAAAACAGAGACAGAGGATCTGGTAAAAAGCAGGACATCGGAGGAAAGCAGGACTTGTTCAGAATCTTCAATTACTTTATGATTGCTAAGGTCTACAGCAATCAAATATTTACTGACTGAATGAATAGATAAATAAGTGAATAAAAGCAAAGGTTAGCTGGGAGAGAAATATAGAAATGGTTATTATTCCTTATGCTATCTGCAAATGTGAGTGTGGGAAGTTATTCTAAAGGAAAAAAGGAAAGAAAGGTAGAACAAAAATTCCCCTATATAAATTCAATATCATTAAAAATTCAGAGACATCTACTTTGAGTCGTTACCTTTTTAAATGGAGATAATAAGTTAATTTCTCCTTGCATGCAACCTCAGGTACCTACCATTTTATTCAAGCTACAGAATCTAACTGATTTTAAAATGAAAAATATTGCCTAAAGTAGGATGTTCACATATAAAATACACATGTGTACCTTTTATTTATTATTATTTTTAAATCCTCACCCAAGGATATTTTTCTATAGATTTTCAGATAGGGTGGGAGGGAGGGAGGTAGAGAGAGACAGACAAAGAAACACATCAGCTGGATGCCTCCCACACGACCCCAACCAGGGCCGGGGATCAAACCACAACCAAAGTATATGCCCTTGACCAGGAATTGAACCTGCAACTCTTTGGTCCGAGGGCCGATGCTCTAACTGCCGAGCCAAATCAGCCAGGGCTACATGTACACCTTTAAAAAAATAAAAACAAACAAAAACCTATGCCCTGTCTGGGTAGCTCAGTTGGTTAGAGCGTTGCCCCAATACACCAAGGTTCAATCCATCAGGGCACATACAAGAAATCAAACGATGAATGCATAAATAAGTGGAACAACAAAATTGGATGTTTCTCTCTTTCTCTCTCTTCCCCTCCATTCCCCCATCCTCTATCTCTCAACTCAATAAATGAAACATTTTTTAAAAATCTAAAGTACAACTTACCATTGGGTTTAGGATTGTCTCTTCTGTCAGGGAACCTTATTAATGGAGTATGTGGCTTGACTACCTAAAGGAAAAATAAAATGCATAAAAAAAGATGAAACACTAAAGTAAGCTCATTAACCATATATACAAGAACATCTACTGAACCACACAGATACCTTCATTAAAAGAAAATAACGGTATTTTACAGTAATCTTAAATTTTACTGTTTTACACTTTCTCAACCAGGAAAACTGGTCTATGAATTATTAACTTATTTATCTCATCTGCTATTCATAATAACTTTGACCTTTATACATTACAAGACATTTTACTGTACTGCCAACTGACCTCAAAGACAACCCTATGGAAAAGATAACATCGATTTTATGTTGGGTGCCTTATATATCACCCTGCTGATTGAAAAAGACCTTTTCTGACAACAAAAGTAACACGTATTGTGTAAAAAACTTGGAGAAATGCAGAAAAGCACAAAGAGTAAAACACTATCTGTAATCCCCAAACCCACATAAAATAGGTTTAAACATATGATAGCCCTTTTAGTCTTTTTCTTATACCCATAGAAATACATACTTTTCATTGCCTCAATTCATCATGCCATTCCTATCCCCATTCAATCTAGAGCTGATGTCCTCTGTCAGGAAATCTCTCCCCAATCCCACCCATGTCCATGCTTCTGCTCTCACCCAATTGCTTATCTTTTAAATATGTTTTTGTTGATTTTATTTTGAGAGAAAGGCGGGGGATAGGGAGAGATAGAAATAATTCTGAGAAAAACATTCATGGGCAACCTCCTACACACCCCCTACTGGGAATTGAGCCCCAGGGCATGTGCCCTGACCAAGAATTAAAACTGCTACCTTGCCCTGGCCAGTTTGGCTCAACGGTTAGAGCTTCGGCCACAGACCGAAGAGTCCTGGGTTCGGTTCCTGCTAAGGGCACGTACCTTGGTTGCAGTTTATCCCCAGCCCGGGTGGAGGTGTTGTGGGTGGCAACCACTCAATCAATGTGTGGCTCTCACATTGATGTTTCTCTCTCTCACTTCCTCCTTCTCTCCCTCCCACTCTATCTGAAAAGTGTCCTCAGGTGACAATAAAAAAACAAACAAACAAAAAAACAGCAACTTCTTGGTGCGTGGGATGATGCACAACCAACCACCTAGACTTATCTTTTAAAACTGCTCAAATATCATTCCTCTCTAATATTGATTCCGAAACCTGATATTTCTTTGTGTTTCCACAGTATCCTGGACATCTTAAGAATACTGTGTAGCAGACAGATAAATGAGCCAATGATTTGCAGGAGAGCTAGACTCCTGGAAAGGTAGTCAGAGGATTAAGCACTTCTGCAGCACTGCCTGGTACATAACATAGTAAGTGCCCAGGAAACATCTACCAAGTGAGTGAATAGACTAGTCGTATGGCAGGACGAAGTACACAGACATGTGAGTATGTATACACACACTTAATAATACAGGGGTGGGCAAAAGTAGGTTTATAATTGTAATACAAATAAGTAATACAATAATTAATGAATAATAACGTAACAATAAATTGTGTTTCCCATACTCACAACTGTAAACCTATTTTTGCCCACCCCTGTACGTACATAGGAGAGAATCCATTTCAAAGTTGCTTTTTTGGGGGTCAAATTATGCATTAATTTATTAAAATGTTACATATAAATATAGCAATGGGAAACATAATATGCATTTATCACTTATGTGGGTAAAGATAAATTTAGAAAAGGTGGGCATTTCTGTTCAACTATATAAAGTGTTCTCTCTTTTGATATGACCCTAATCCCCAGACATTTCTGGTCCAACACCTCCATCTTCATGCTGAGGTCACCCATGAATAGACTGCATTCTCTTTACAAGGATTACCTCATTTCATTCTCATAACACCCTATGAGTTAAGTACTGATATGATCCACATTTTACAGACACAGAGATCGAGATGTAAAGAGGATGACCAACTTGCCCAATGCCACAAAACAATAAGTGTAGGGCCTGGATCCAACCCAGGCAGCTGGTTTCTGAAGCCAACATGCTTAATGCAGAGCCAAGATGGCTCAGCCATTTAAGTGTTGTTCTCTTTGTAGAAATATAGAATAGTGTGTCTGGAAAGAAATGAAATTTTTCCAGTGGAGCACCAAGAACTTAGATCCCCTGCTTCCCAAATAAGGAACTGCCACTGTTCATAACATCTGCCAGTTATCATCCTAAAGTCAATTTTCTGTTTGAAAGAGAATCCTTAGCCCGGCTGGTGTGGCTCACTGGTTGAGCGTGGACCCGTGCACCAAGAGGTCGCTGGCTCAAGTCCCAGTCAGGACACGTGCCCAGGTTGTGGGCCTGATCCCCAATGTGGGGCATGCAGGAGGCGGCCAATCGATGTTCTCTCTCATTGATGTTTCTATCTCTCTCTCTCTTTCCCTTCCTCTCTCTCTAAAATCAATAAAGAAAAAATATATTTAAAAAAAGAAAGAGAATCCTTAGCCCAAGCCTCTAATAAACCAAGACTCCAAAGGTATTGGTGATACTAAGGACTAGTTCTTCAAAGCCAGGCATAATGTGTAATCTCAACATTGCTTTTGTACACTTAAAACTATAATGTAATATGCCCTTATAGATTAAATTCCCACACTATTTGAGGTCCCCCTTTATAACAAAATTGAAAAAATACATAGAAGTAGAAAGTGTAGAATAATAAGCCCTGATAAACACATTACACAACTTCAACAGTAATACAGTTAATCTTACTTTATCACTCTTTCCCCTATAATGGGAAAAATGTGATAATTTGGACAGCATTAAATAGAAAAAAGTAGCCCGGCCAGTGTGGCTCAGTGGTTGAGTGTCAACCCATGCACCAAGAGGTCGCCAGTTGGATTCCCAGTAGGGGCACATGCCCAGGTTGTGGGCCCAATTCCCAGTAGGGGGCATGCAGGAGGCAGCCAATCATTGTTCTCTCTCATCGATGTTTCTCTCTCTTTCTCCCTTCCTGTCTAAAATTCAATAAAGAAAAAAAATTTTAAAAAGAAAAAGAAAAAAGGCCCTTTAACTCATAAAAAAAAAATCTTAATTTATAAACACCAAGTAGTTAAAAAAATTTTGTAGCAGACCAAAGGTTAATAGCCATACTATAAATAGGACTTGTAAGCATAGAAAAATGGGTAAGATAGTTTTCATAGGTAAAGAAATGAAAAGAGCTCTTAACATATGAAAAGATGGTCAACCTCATGTATAATAAGAGAAATAAATGTTAAAACTACATGAAGATAGCCTGGCTGATGTGGCTCACTGGTTGAGCATCAACCCATGCACCAAGAGGTTGCCAGTTCGATTCCCAGTCAGGGCACATGCCCTGGTTATGAGCCAAATCCCCAGTCGGGGGCATGCAGGAGGTGGCCAATCGATGTTCTCTCTCATCAACATTTCCATTTCTCCCTACCTCTCCTTTCCTCTCTCTCTAAAAATCAATAAAGAAAAACAAATTAGCCCTGGCCGGTTTGGCTCAGCAGTTGGGAGCGTCGGCCTGCAGTCCAGAGAGACCAGGGTTTGGTTCCTGCTAAGAGCACGTACCTCAGCTGCAGTTTGTCCCTGGCCCTGATTGGGTCATGAGGGAGGCAGCCTGTTCCTTTCATGTCGATGTTTCTCTCTCTCTCCCTTTCTTCTTCTCTCTCCCTCTCTATCTGAACAAAAAATGGAAAAATGTCCTCAGGTGAGGATAAAAAAAAAGAAAAAGAAAAACAAAAAAACCTGTATGAAGATAATATTTTTCATCAATTAGATTTTACTAGATTTTAATGTACAAGTTGGTAACACAAGTCTGTTGGGAAGGTGGTAGGGAAGCAGGCACTCATTTGTTGCTATAGGAATGTAAAACAGTATAACCTCTATGAAGGAAAAATAAACCTAGAACTTACAGTTCATTCAACCGTCTCTTACCAACACTTTCAACTTCCTTGCTGGAGGCTTATTTTTACCTGTGAATCTCCATTCCTGAATTAATCCAACCACCCATTTTCTTCCATGTCTCATGCAGCTAAATGATTTCCTAAATGATAAACTCTCCTTTCTGCTCTTATATCAGCCCATATCAAATACTGCGTGGCATTCAGCAGATATTTAATTAATACCTGTAACTACTCTTATAAAATTACTTCTGAATACCTTGTAGCCCAGCCAAATTTCTTTACTTAATGTTGACATCATGCTTTGTGAATTCCCATGAATCTGTGCCAGTGAGTCTGTTGAAATACTACTCTTTCTTCAAGTTATGGATCAACAGCCAAACTCTAAGCTCTATCGAGGCACCATGTCTGTCTTGCTGGCACTGTAGTCCCCAGCTCTGAGCACAGGTTTAGAACAGAGGTACTCAATAAATTTTGCTAAAAGAATATGTAATTGTTACATGTTAGCACATACTGCTTTGTATTATGAATATATGAGTCACAGTCTTTGCAAATCTGTAAGGAGACAGACCATTCCTTATTGCATACATCACAGTATTTTTTTTTTCCATATATCATTAGTTAGTTATTATTACTGTGTACTATTCCATTTTAACAAATCTACCACAATTTGTTTACCCTGCTAATAGACATTTGGATTGTTCCTGGTTTGGGGGTTATTATGGAAAAAGTGGCTATGAACATTTTTATTCAAGTTTTTTTTTTTTTTTTGGTACGTGCACCTAGCAGGAACCGAACCTGGGATTCTCTGGTCTGCAGGCCGATGCTCCAACTGCTGAGCAAAACCGGCCAGGGTGTAGTCAAGTCTTTTTTATATAAGTATATGCACTCATTTCTTGTGGCTATAAACCTATCAGTGGAATTGCTAGGTCAAAGGATAGGTATGTTTAACTACTAGAGACTGACAAAACAGTTTCCCAAAGTGGCTGTACCATTTTATACTTCTACCAGCAATGTATGAGGATTTTGGTGCTTCACATTCTGATCATCACTTGGTATTGTCAGTCTTTCTCATTTTAATCATTAGGTGGTTGTAACAGTACTTCTTGGTTTTCATTTGTATTTTCCCAGCAAGTAATGATATTGAGCATTTTTTCACAGGCTATTGCTCATTTGGATATCTTCTTTTGTGCAGTATCATTTTTTTTTTTTACCTATTTTTAAATTGGGCTATATATTATGGATACAGTTCTTTGTCAGATATTCACCTTATCCTCACAATCTTTAATTAATGCTCAATAACTACAAAATGAATGAATAAGGAGGATCATTTGTTGCAGTGAGACGAAAGACTAGGATCTAGAATTATCTTTCAGACTGATAAAAAAATTTTTTTTAACTCCTCACTGGAGAACATGCTCACTGATTTTAGAAAGAGGGGCAGAGAGAGAGAGGGAAACATTGATGTGAGATATAAACATTAAGATCAGTTACCCCTCCTGCAGGGCCCAACCTGGGATCAAACCAGCAACGGATGTATGTGACCTGAGGGAAATTGAACTTGCAACCTTTCCTTTCTAGGAATCACACTCCAACCAACTGAGCCACACCAGCTAGGGCAGACCCAATTTTAAGAAAAGGTGTTTTAAGAAATACACTTATGCAAAGGGAACTGCACTTCTTATATCAAAGTTAGTAATACAATAATACACTTTCAAGTTGAAAACGGTAGCGTAAACCAACCACAAAAGTGGAGGTTGTGTTCCTTTATGTCCAATTCGACCTCTCCTATTTAAGCTCGAGACCACGCTGGAGAAGCAAATACAAAGGCTATCAGGAGTTAATAACTAATGTGTTAATGAACAAAGTTCCTTAAGCTGCCAATGTAAACCCAGAAAAGAAAAGAAAAAGCTTGGGAAATCAACACTAAAACATATGATGTTACAGTTAACTTAAATAATCTTTTCCTCTTTTAATTCCCTCCCATCTGACGGGTAACCAGACTCTTGAATTGGTGGCGGAGAAAGGGTCCCGGGCGAGGGCGAAGCCAGTTCTCCCGGCCAAGCCCAAGACCTTGAAGGGACACGCTGGGTCAGTGCAGGGTTTGCTTCCTTTCACTCGCCGCTACCGCCTCCCTTGGATTGGCTGATCCGGGACATCACAGACTACACTAGACGCCGATTGGCCAGGCTATAGCCAGGGCAGCCTCGCCGCAGACTCCTAGGAGGGCTAACGAAGTCCTCGCGGAGGACAGTCCAGGGACCCCCGAAGCAGCTATGTGCCTACCTGCTGAGATGCGACATTCCCGTGGCCTGGCTCGAACCCTCAGCTCCGGTCACCGGCTTACTACCTGACCCAACGGGTTCAAGGTCTAATTCTCACACACACCCCCGGGCGGCGCCGCTGGCCCTCCTCGGGGCCGCCGGCACCGTGCAGTCTCCGCCACCGCCTTGATCCCCAGCGCCTTTGCTATAGTCAGCACCATCCCTACCGCCCTCGGTGCGGAAAGGCGACCGAATCTCTTTACCTGAACGACCCTGCTAGCAGACGCCATCTTGCTGCCCATCATGACCCCCGAGAAGCGGCAGCTTCCGGGGCACTAGAGAGCGGCAGCGATCACAAAAGTCCTGGGAGCTGGGGGCGGGCTCTTCCTGTGACGTCACGGAGGAGGGGCGAGCCGGCGGGCTCCGCCTCCATTGTGGTACTAGTTCTTTGCCTGACCCTGCCCCTCTTCCAGCCTAGAGTCCATGTGTTTCCCATTGTTTCGTTTTGTGGAAGGCTTGTGATGTTGGGTTTATTTTGCTAGTTAGCCATGAGAGATCTAGGACCATTTCCTCTCCAGAAAGCCAGTTTCTAATTTCAGCAAAGTCCAAATTTAATGTGAAACTAAATAAGTAATGCAACAATTCTGTTAAAAGTTAGGAGTAAATGGCAAACTAAGGAAGAGAGGTCAATTCTGGGTCTATACAAAGCCATCTCATTATTTATTGGCATTGGTTGATTTAGTCTTGTTTTTTCCACTATTTGTCTTGATATTAAACTGCGGCCTACTTCAAATTTGACAGAACTCAAAAGTTCACGTTTTCTTTCTGAAACATAAGCCATCTATAGCATCCCCCAAAGTGATATTAAATTTTATGGTATTATTTATATTGCTTGTTATAAGTTTTAATACACAATATATTGTGGCTGTTCAGCATAACTTTGTGGGTAATGGTACCCTTAAGCTATTGTAAATATTTAAAGTGACAATTGATTATCTAGGTCAGTGATTTCTAGCTCTTTAGGAATGTAAGTTACTGAGCCCAAATGTGGGCCATTCTGATTCAGTGTATGTGGAGATCAGAAATCTATTTTTAAAAAAGCTTTCAAAGCTTATTTTAGCAGCACATATTCTAAAACCAGATTGATAGCTCTGGCGCAGTGGCTCAGTTGATTGGGCATCATCCTGGGCACCAGGAGATGCTGGTTTGATTCCCGGTCAAGGGCACATGCCAGGTGCATTTGGAGCTCAATCCTTGGTGGAGGGCATGCAGGAGGCAGCCAGTAGATGTTGCAGTCTCAAGTCTATGTTTCTCTCTCTCCAAACAAAAGAATAAATAAACTATTTTTAAAAATACAAATAAAATCAGATTGCTAATGTGATTACATGGGCAAAGGACACTTAAAAGGAAATCCTTTCACAATGTATATCAAATCATCACATTGTATACTTATAAATATCTTATAATTTTGTCACTCATGTGGGGGGTGGGGAGCTCAACAGCAACAGCAGGTTGGATTCCTAGTATACAGACTTTTCATTTACATACAGAGAAGCAGCAAGTTTTTGTGTGAAAATTTACAATATTAGATTTTTTCTGAAGTAATTTAAATGACACAGACTTTCTTGGCTGTTTTCTTAAAGGAGATATTTTACATTTTCCCTTATATCTGAGAGATGAAGAAAATGGGCAAAGGCCCATAATTTAGAGCTTTCATTAAAAGATAAACTTTCCAAGTCTTCTAATAACAAGAAATCTCCTGGTATTACCTGATGATAAATTCAGAATATGCCAAATGCAGTGCAATTACAGGTCATATTGGCAAGGATTTTGTTTTGGGGAGTCTGCCAAGAAAATGCTCTGACGTTTCTCTGTCGGCGTATTTTTAAGTGTTGGCATTCATATTCCTTCACAGAACTGTCATCCAGGCCCCTTCTGGATTAGTTCTTCTAGGATGAAGATGATAAAAGTAGCTGAAGCTGAGACCCTAAATCCTACCTTCTTTTCCTGTTGCTTAGTTTCAGTTAGCCTCCTATTTATTATCAGATCATTTCATTATTCACCCCACTCAGGTCCCCTGATTTTTGTTTATATTCCCAATGCTATTATTTGGCTATTTTCATGGACCCTGAGCATGCCATCTGATTCTAGTCCTTGTATTGTGTCTTCTTAATTTTTTTTTTTTTTTTTGGTATGTGCCCTTCGCGGGAACCGAACCAGGACTCTCTGGTCCACAGGCCGATGTTCCAACCACTGAGCCAAACTGGCCAGGGCGTATTGTGTCTTCTTAAAATCTGTATCTTACCTGGGCTTTGACTCTTTGTTATTCCATATACCCTGTTGCTGACATTAACTGTGTATCTGTTAGAACTCAGCAGGTGACGTCATATAAAGTACCCAGTATAACTTGTAAGTTTTCTTGATAAATATAAAACTACCTTTTATAAAACAGATCTGTCAACTAAAAACAAAACCAAAAAACTTAAAGCAGTCAAAAATGAGAAAAACTAAGAACAGAAAAAATGAAAAAAAGAAGTTGGATTTAACTTCTAGTTTACATGAATACAGAGGTGAAACAAGGTACATAAACTTGTAGACAAATCAAAATAGAGAACTTCCTACATGGTGTTTCTTCAAGTTAATGACTATAAGAAAAATGGGGTGGGGGAGATTTATCAACTCTGTTGGAGCCATTCAGTTCAACTGTGCTATTGTGCATGGAAAGCAGCCATAGATAGTATGTAACTGTATGGGTGTGGCTTTGTTCCAATTCAATTTTATTTACAGAACAGGCAGCTAGTAAGCCATAGTTTACTGGCTCTGATATTATTAAAACGACCAACCAAAACGACCATCACCACTACAAACATTTTTGGGAAAAAAAATTAACAAAAGCACCACTAGCCTGGATTTTGGGTCCCCAAGTGAGAAAGCTGCTCAGAGAGGCCTACTTTCTAATGCTCTCGTCAGATATGACCAAGGTAATGGTAAGGGAGAACCTCCCAAAGGGCAGAATGAAGAACCACAGATTAAGAACTGCTTCCAGAAAGCACAAGAGCCTAATCCAAAAATATTCCCTATCCCTAGGAAGAAGCATCTCTTATCATTTGCCAACCTATATTTCAGAATTACTACAGACCTATCCACTATTGTTTGCAGCAACATAATCCGTCTTTTCAGTTCATAGGTCTCCAGATCAAGAGCCACATCTGGACCTGATGTGGACTATCACGAGATCCCGATATTTGAAAATGTATGATTGGATGACATTGTTAAGCTTATCTTCTTCGGAAAGGGATGTGTCTTTTGCACACAGAAGGGAAGTTAATATTTAAGACCAAAATAGCAGACTGGGAGACTGTATTTTCAACAAATACCCATTTTCTCTCCCTTGCTCTGAAACCCAGAACAACTCTGCAGTGGCAACATTATACTTTCCTGCCCCATTGATGTTGGGCTGGTCAATGGAACCTGGGTGGAAAGAATGTACACCTCTTCCAAACAGAAACTTTAAATGTGCTTGTGCAATTTGATATGGCCTCATAAGCCATGACAATGTTTCAAATAGTGGCTGCTCCTTGAAGCCTGGGTCCTAGAATGATCAGCTAAACCATGGATCCAAGAGAGAAAAAACTGTTTGGGGTTGTTATTCAGCAGGATTTCAGAAAAAGCTAACAATTTCTTGCTGAGCTGTACTTTAAGATGGAACACACAGAATAAGCAAATCCTGGGAAAATGCAAAATTTTTCAAACGATACTGTATTTACAGTATCATTTACAATAATTTATGTAGACAGTTTCCAAGAATACCATGTGGCAAAAAGAATAAAATTACAAATGAATGATTTATCAAATCAAATGAAGTAGAACTATATTCCAAAGAAAAGTGTTTAGCATATAAATTTAGTCAAATCTCTATTTTTATTATTAATCTAAAGAACAGATTTCAAATGCTATTATCAACTGCAGTGCATCTTTTCAAGTTTAAAGTCTTTTAAAGAATGCTGAAAACACTACATTGTGTATAAAAAATGATCAACAGCTCCAAATTAATAAGGAGCAACCAAGGTACGTGCCCTTAACTGGAATGGAACCTGTGACTCTTTAGTTCTCAGGCCGAAACTCTAACCACTGAGCAAAACCTCCCAGGGCTCAAATTAGAGTTTTCAAAAGGTGGAATAGGATGTACAGAAAGTGGCAAGTTCTATTTTTTTAATTAGAAGAGAAATATTTATTCTTTTTCTTTTATTTTTTAAAATAATTTTCTTTATTAATTTTAGAGAGAGGGAGAGGAAGAGAGATACAGATGCGTGAGAACATTGACTGGCTGCCTCCTGCATGCCCCCTACTGGGGACCAGGCCCACAGCCCAGGCATGTGCCCTGACCAGGAATCAAACTGGTGACCGCTTGGTGCATGGGTCGATGTTCAACCACTGAGCAACACCAGCTGGACTATTCTTTTTATTTTTTAACTTATAAAAGTAATGCATGATATAGACATACAAAGAAAAAAGTCACAATTCCTCTAAATATCTTATTCTTCAAGGCTGAGGTACTTTATTTGGGTCTGTTTAAAGATATGGATGAGGGGTGGGGGAACTGAAGAGATATTGGTCAAAGGGTACAAATTTACAGGTAGAATTTGAATAAGTTTTGGATTTCTAAACGCACAGCATTGTGATGATAATTAACAATATTGTATTATATACTTGAAAGTTGCTAAGAGACTAGAGCCTAAATGTTTTCACCACAAAAAAGAAATAATTATGTGACATGATGGATATATTAGCTCAAGCCATGGTGGTCAATTCAACACTCTGTACACTTAAAATGTATACAATGTTATGTATAATTTATATCTCAAAAAAAAAAATCTGTAGTGAAATAAACCTCAAATAAGATTTATTCAAATAAAATATAACTGAGTTAAACAATAAAGATGTAAATGGGCCTTTCTAATTTTTCTAGTATTTTGGTTGACAAGGAAATGCAGGGAGGTATTCCAAATGAAAGCTGGGACTTCCCATAATGTTGTAGAAAAAATGTCCACATTTAGTGGAAAGCTAGACTAGATGATGTCTTTCCAGACCCTTGCAAGGCTGATTTTCAGATTTTTATTTTTTTAATTAATTTTTAAAATAAATATTAACTTTCTTCCTTTTTATTTATTTTTTAATTAATTTTTTATCCTCACCCGAGGACACCTTTGCATTTATTTTCAGATAGAGCAGGAGGAAGAGAGAGAGAGAAACATCTGCGTGAGAGAGACACATTGACCGGTTGCAACCCACACGACCCCAACCAGGGCCGGGGACAAACTGCAACCAACGTACATGCCCTTAGAGTGCCCTTGGGAACCAAACCCGGGACTCTCTGGTGCATGGGCCAACGCTCTAACCGCTAAGCCAAACTGGCCAGGGCTGATTTTCAGATTCTTTTAGAGTATGCCCATCACTTTAATTATCATATTTAAAACAATAGAGTCCATGTTATAGTGTTAAGCTTAAAAAAATTGCAGTGTAAGAGTAGTTCCAAAAACACTGAAAGAAACACATTTCACCTGAAATTTGCTATTTAAGTGACATCAAATACAGAAACAAATAATGCCAAACTAGAATTCTTATTAGAGCATGGTGAGATTCTTCTCAAGCTGCAGAACAGTTTCCTTAAAGGCAGAATCCTCTGCCCAATTGACTTTACTCCCCAAAATGAGGTTCTGCAATACAAAAAAATTTTTTCAAATTAAAGTTAAGTACAAAATTAAGTACTTTAAAAAAAAATTTTATTGTTGACACTCCCCACTTTGCCCACCTCCACCATGCCCCTGCCCCACTTTCCCTCTGGCATCACCACACTGCTGTCTATGTCTATGGGTTATGCATACATGGTTTTTGCACTTTTAAAAATTTAACAAGCTTTTAAAAAAATCCTCTGTCGCCGATCTGATCAAATAATTACTGAACTAGGTGTGGACATTTACTCTGTGGTCGTGAGAAAAAATAGTAATACATTTCCTGTATCCTCATTTCCACTTTCAGCAAGGCTTCAGCCTTGACCCTCATAATGGTGGGGAGTATTTTCAATGCTAACCATTTTCAGTGCTTTATCCTTTTATATGTGTAGTTTAAGGATACTTGCAGTGATATCCTAGACGGAAAAAGACTGCAGCTATTGTAATTGTATGATGAACAACTTAAGTCTAATATGTCCTATTATAAAAAAGAGGTAAAAGAGCTTAGTTCTAAGCCCTTGAAAAGTTTTAAGACCCTGAAAAAGGTGAAGAACATTTTTGTGGTAGACAATGGAGGAATGATTAGGATCATAATTAATGAAAATTCTGGTCATTATTCTTTGTAAAACTATAGCTCAATGATACCAGTTACTAATTGAAATATTGTTAAAACCAATTTTAGAGTATAAGTGGTATATTATTACATACAAAAATACACAAAACTTTGGCCTATACAAGGCACATTCTTGCTGTAAGTGAATAAAAAGGGCTAGTGTATATAAATTCAGTCAAATTTACAAAGGCGGCTGGAAGTAAGCATTCAAACATGACTGAACTCCTGAAGGCTGATCTTCCATTAGGAACAAAGAGAACCGCCAAGTTGGTCAAAGCTATGTTCTGTTTAACAACACAATGAGTTCATTAAATCAAAATTAACACCAATTTAGAGAGTATAAATAAAAATTATGCAGAATTAAAGAAGTCTCATAGCAGTATAAAGGAACATGTGCAAAGAAAATTAAAATAATTCATTAATTATGATGCAATCCTCCACTTGAGGCTAGCCTAGGGGATTTGATTATTTCTAATGGAATCACCCACTGTACTAAAAAGTAGGTGTGAGACCTGGGGAAGAATTTCTTATGGTGAGACATAAGACCTCATATTCTACAAGGATATGCTTTACACATAATAGGCATTTGCTTTTCATGTAATAGTTTTAACCGTGCATCTTCATAATTGAAAACTGGTCATTTAAGTATTTCAACAATTTCAGAGACATTTTATAATTCAAAAAGTAATAAAATAAAATCCCCTCCAGAATAAATGGACACTTAAAATTTAAAACCTGACATGATAATAACTACCAACCTTTTTTGAGAATTTGCTTGGACCAGACACTATGCTAAACAGATTAATATGAATTATCTTCTTTAGTTTTCACAGCAACTCTTTCTAAACAAGGATTGGTGCTTAGAAAAGTTAATAATTTGCTCAACGTCAGCAACTATTAAGTAGCAGTCTGGATCTTAACTCTAGATTCCCATCATCCCCATCCATGTTTCCCCCAACTCCCAACTTGGAGTCTAACGCTCTCCACCATTATTTATTCTGTCTCCACAGAGCTGCTAAAAATCATTCCATTTATAAATGCTATAATGAAAACTCAAAGCCTTAGACATTAAATATACATAATTCCACATATATGTAAACAGACCAATTTTCAGTACTGAATTATTTTGTCAATATCAAAGACTAACTGTAAGTCTGAAAGTAATAGAATCAATCATTTTTTAAGAAGTTCTTTACCTCCCTTCCTAATTTATATACACGTTACCTGGAACACATGTTGAATAACTGTAGTAATTTGTATCTCCACCTGTAGCTTTTGTTGTAAGGTCTTTATCTTGTCTGAATTTTCCATACTGTCCAAATCATCTTTCTGTTTGTTCTTTTCAGTCTGTATTTCCAAAAACTTACTTTCTGAAGCTCGTTTTAATTCTATGAGATTAAAACAATATACTATATATGACAACTCCTACAAACAAAAATCTTTAAAAATATGGTTATTTCAGTCAAGAGAAAAATTTTAATATGGAGAATTTTAGGTTGCAGTTCCATTTTGATATGAACATGACTTCCCTGGTGCAAAATACCAATATCTAAATTTTATACTTAGTGATGCAAATATTCAAGGTTTGTATGTATGACAGTGATAGCTGTCCACAAATGTTTGAAGTGACATTGTGTGAAAGAGGAACCACTTACTCTGGGTACCAAAAATAGGCAGGAGATATATGTAAGCAAAGTTTTCCCTCCTTTGTTTACAAAATGATAATATCACCAAGATAAATTTTCAATGAAAAGTAAGGTTCCCTTCACCAGGGATAAACACCAACCATTTTTTGTAGTTCCTGAAATGTTCTAAGAATTAAACTACTTGAAAACATAAATGGATATACCTCAGGAGCTTGGTTCTTTGACATTAAGGTATCAAAAGTAGGTTGGAATGCAATGAAAAAAGATTAGATATCCAAATTTTCTCCAGAGAATGTGCACTACTTTTGAAATAAACATTTCAATAATTTCAATGCAAAAAGCCATCTCATGTTCATTAAGTTAAAAAGCTGTAGAACCATATGTATCAACCAACCATTTAAAAATGATGTATATAGCCCTGGCCAGTTTTCCCAATGGTTAGAGCATTGGCCCGCAGCCTGAAGGGTCGAAGGTTTGATTCCTGGTCAAGGGCATGTACCTGGGTTACAGGTTGATCCCTGGCCCCAGTCAGGGCTGTGCAGGAGGCAACCAATTAATGTGTCTCTCTCACATCGATGTATCGATGTCTGTCTCTCTCTCTCTCCCCCCGCCCCCATGCCTCCTTCCCTCCCACTCTATCTATCCAAAAATAAAATTAATGGAAAAACATCCTTGGGTAGGGTTAACAAAATATAACAAATAAAAAGTATGTATACAAGGAGAAAAAAAAAGCATGTATAGAAGCCCTGTCCGGTGTGGCTAAATGGTTAGAGCATAGGCCTATAAACCAGTGAGTTGCTGGTTCAATTTCGGCCAAGGGCATGTACCTTGGTTGCGGTTTGTCCCCGGCTGTGGTCAGGGTTGTGCAAGAGGCAACCTGTTGATGTTCCTCTCACGTCGATGTTTCTCTCTCTCTCCCCCCCCTCTATCTGAACATAAATAGAAAAAAATAAATAAAAATTATGTATCTATAAATACGTCTAAATGTGGCCACACAGGAAGGAGGCATGACTTTCACATTATACTTTTCTGTATTACTTGATTTTCCCCCACTAAGAATTTATTAATTTTGTGATTTTATGTTTAAAACAACAAAAATATATCAAGCAAAATGCATTTTATAATTATTTTTTTCTTCCTCACCCGAGGATATTTTTCTCTTTATCATCAGATAGAGTGGGAGGAAGGAAGGGAGGGAGAGAAAGACAGAGAGAAACATCAATGTGATAGAGCCACATCAACTGCTTGCCTCCCACATGACCCAACCAGGGCTGGGGACGAACCACAACCGAGGTATGTGCTCTTGATCGGAATCAAACCCGCGACTCACTGGTCCGTGAGCCAATGCTCTAACAGCTGAGCCAAACCGGCCAGGGCACAAAATGCATTTTATATACCACTTTTAAAACTGCCATGTCTAAAATTTTAAGAAAATTTGAAAATTAAGAAATTTCTCAGTAGCTGAGAGATGTGGCTTTATCAAACTCCATAGTAAGTAAAAATGTGTTATACAAAAAAAAAACAAAAACTGTTCTACATACCAAATCTCTTCTTTTTAACATCAAGCAGTTTTTTCTCCAAATCCCAAGATTCCTGTTTATTAGATATAGAAATATTAAGGCACATTTATTAAGAACAAATCTGTAATGCTTAAATCACTAAGTTTTATCTTAGTTCATGTTTTCTAAAACTCCAATTTTTAATTCCTTCATTTCCGCACGAGAGGAGACAGTAGCTTAAATTGTAAGTAGATACTTAGCAACATTAATGAAAAATAATAGCGATGGTTTGGCTCAGCGGTTAGAGTGTCAGCCCACAGACCAAAGAGTCTTGGGCTTGATTCTGGTCAAGGGCACGTACTTCGGTTGCGGTTCAATCCCCAGCCCTGCTTGGGGTCAGGCAGGAGGCAACCGATCAATGTGTGTCTCTCTCATATCAATGTTTCGCTCTCCCTTTCTCTTCCTTCCTCCCTCTCTCCCTCCTTCTCTCTCTCCCACTATATCTGAAAATCAATGGAAAAACATCCTCGGGTAAGGATTAAAAAAAAATTAATTTAAAAAAAAGAGAAAAATTAAGGACAGTGAATTCCAACCATACCAGTCCCTTTGGGCAATCTTATTTAATCATACATAATATAGCTATACAGAAATTATGAGAATGCATAAGCAGCCTAATACACAAAGTTACCTGCTGTGATTTCATTATTATTTTATTTAGCTTCACTACATGTTTCATGTTGTCCATGAGCTCACTGAAAAGGAATTAAAAATGTAAACCTTAGTTAAAAGTAATAAATCTCATTAATGAAGGAATTAATTAGTACATATTTACTTTCATTAATATACTTCAATAGAAAGTCATCATTTAACAAAATAAATCTGGAAGAGTTTGATGTAAACTAAATTTCTGTTTAAAAGTTGAGATACATTTCCCTAGAAAACTTTTTGGTCAGACAATAAAATATATAAAATTTAAACATGTAAGAACATGTCTAAAAATCTTGTAGTTAGGGAGAAAAAATGTAGAAACTTGCTAATAAGTTGTTTTTTAAAAAAAGTACTTAATTTTTTTAAAGCAATTTTAGGTCCACAGCAAAATTGAATATAAGTTATTCAATTCAAGACTGCCCCTACATATGCAGTCTCCCCCACTATCAACATCCCCACCAAACAGGTCAATATGTTACAAATGATAAGCCTTTATTTGACACTTCATAATCACCTTAAGTCCATAGTTTACATTATGGTTCACTCTTGTTGGTGAGCATTCTATGGGGTTGACAAATGTATAATGACATGATTCCACCATTATAGTATACAGAACAGTTTCACTGAATAGGCTGCTTTTCATTTATTTATTTACTTTTTAAAAAAATATATTTTCTTTATTGATTTTAGAGAGAGAGGAGGGGAGAGGGAGAAAGAGACAGAAACATCGATGAGAGAGAACATCGACTGGCCTCCTCCTGCATGCCTCCCACTGGGGATTGGGCCCACAACCTGGGCATGTGCTCTGACTAGGAATTGAACTGGTGAACTCTTGGTGCATGGGTTGATGCTCAATAGCTGAGCCACACCAGCTGGGCTGAATAGGCTGCTTTTTATCCCCATTTCTTCAACAAATATTTCTGAGTGCCTACTACATATCAAGAACTGTGCCAGGCACCAGGAATGTAAACTAGAATAAAACACAGGACCCATTTTCAAAGAAGAAAAAACCTGGTGGGGGAGAAAAATAAATCCACAACCATAGTATGGTTTCATTACAACCAGTAAGATACAAACCACTGTAAGAGTTGTGTGGAGTGGAGTAGGGGACATCTTTGAATCTTAAAGGACATGAAGTAATTACCTAAGTCAAGTAGTTTGGAAAGACTGGTGTAAAAACCAAACGGTGTAAAAAACAGTTCTCGTATTTCAAAGTGCCACAATCCCTTGAGAAGCTTGTTGTATGTAGATTGCCAGCTGCCCTCCCAACAACCCCCACCTCCATCCCACCCCTTGGTTTTTAGATTCAGAGTCAGTAGATTTGAAATGGGACCAGCAATGTGATCAAAGTGATACTACTAATTATTCTGATATTGTAGGAGTATACTGACAGGCTGAAAAAGGGGACTGTTTACACAGATGTAGAAGAGCTGAACTCATTTCCTACTGGTTATAGCTGTACTTGGTTTTAACGTTTATGAGGAACCTGCCCTATATCCCTTTAACTCAAGAATGTTTTTCCCTGGCTGGTTTGGCTCAGCGGTTAGAGCGTTGGCCTGCGCTCCAGAGAGACCTGGGTTCGGTTCCCGCTAAGGGCATGTACCTCGGTTGCAGTTTGTCCCTGGCCCTGGTGGGGTCGTGTGGGTGGCAGCCACTCGATGTGTCCCTTTCACGTCAATGTTTCTCTCTCTCTCTGCTCCTCTCTCTCCCTCCCACTCTACCTGATCAAAAAATAGAAAAATGTCCTCCGGTGAGGAAAAAAAAAAGAAATGTTTTAGGCTCTCATTTATGGGGGAGCAATAGTTACTGAGCTCAAATTCAGACTTTAGGATTTACGTAACCCTGGATTTAAATGGAAGATGAGTCTGAATGAAGATGCCAAAATAGGGCAAGTGCCTGAGATCCACCTTAGCATTTTTCTACTGCTCATGGGAGGGGATTTTTATATCACAAGATTTTTAAAGCTTTGAGAGATAAGATCACGGGTAAAACTCCTAAGGCAAGATATTTAGAACCAGGCCACAGAGGACCTTGCCTGTCAGAGTCTTTATTTTATAATCCTTGGCAAATTGTTTAACATATACAAGCTCATTTCCGCCAATAAAAAATAAAGAGTATACTTTCTATCTTTTGGGTTGTTGTAGGATTAACCAAGACAGTACTGTTCCTGGTTTTCAGTAAATAATGCACAAAATTAACTTTCAAGCCTTCCTTCAAAATTATCAGACTATCTGGTAAAAACCTAAATTCTTTCTTTGCATTGCAATAGGAACAAGACGTCAACAGGACTATAAAAGTTGTAATGCTGAGGAGGAAGGCCCACAAAAATTTCATCACTTTTCCTATTCCCCAGATAAAGGTGGTTGGCAGTGACAGTGAATAAAAAAAATCACGAAACTTCCGGTCAAGAGAGCGGCGTAGGTAAACACAGTATTGCGTCCTCCCACAACCACATCAAAGTTACAACTAAACTACAGAACAGCCCTGGCCGGTTTGGCTCAGCGGTTAGAGCGTCCGCCTGCGGTCCGGAGAGGCCCGGGTTCGGTTCCCGCTAAGGGCATGTACCTTGGTTGCAGTTTGTCCCCGGCCCTGGTGGGTCGTGCGGGTGGCAGCCACTCGGTGTGTCCCTTTCACATCGATGTTTCCCTCTCTCTCTCTTCCTCTCTCTCCCTCCCACTCTGTCTGTACAAAAAATGGAAAAATGTCCTCGGATGAGGATTAAAAAATAAATAAATAAATAAAATAAATAAATAAAATAAACTAAACTACAGAACAACCATCATTCAGAACCGCCTGAAATCAAGCTGAATGGAAGTCCTACAACTACGGAATTAAAGCAGCAGCCACATCCAGACGGGTAGGAGGGGCGGAGGTGGACGGGCTGGTCCCACACCCACGTGGCGGATAAAAATCAGGAGGACACTTCGGCTGGGAAGGTCCTCCCTGAGGACTGAGGGAGCCCTGTCCCACACCAGGCACCCCGCTCAGGGTTCCAGTGCCTGGAAGAGAAGTCCCCATAACTTCTGGCTGGAAAAACCAGCAGAAACTGAGGTTCAGGGAACCTGAAGCAGCTGGAGCCCCAGGCAGCTCCTTAAAGGGCCCGCGCACGGACTTATCGGACTCTCTCCCTCTAAGCTTGGAGGGGAGGCAGCTCGAGGGGCACCAGAGACATACAGGGAAGAACTGAGCTGTTTGGCATTGGAGCAAGGGCTGGAGAGGGGACTTTCTTCAGGACAGATATGCTATCAGAGGCCTTTGTTCCTTTGGTGAGCCCTTCCCTGGGGCGGCAGACAGCTGTCTTATCTGGGACTCCAGCAACTTGGCTCACACTGGTTGCCCCGCCCTGGTGATTCCCTGAGGCCCTGCCCCACCCAACTCTCAGGCCCACTCAAGCTGTTGCCAGTTGCTTAACCATAGGATTGGCCTGTCTTGGATCCTGCTTCAGGTTTCCCTAAATTCTTTCAAAGAAGCAGCATCTGGTCTCAGCTAGCCCCATACCTCTCTTTAAGTAATACACAGAAACAAACACAGGGAGGCAGCCAAAATGAGGAGACAAAGAAACAGGTCCCAAATGAAAGAACAGAACAAAACTCTAGGAAAAGAACTAAGCGAAATGGAGATAAGCAACCTAACAGATGCTAAGTTCAAAATACTGCTTATAATGATGCTCAATGAACTCAGTGAGGGCCTCAAGAGCATTAAAAAGGACCAGTCAGAAATGAAGGATGCACAGTCAGAAATGCAGGAGGCACTAACTGAAATAAAGAACAATTTACACAGATTCAGTAGTTAGTAGAGTACGTAAATCCAAGAAGCAAACCATCGATTTGAAATATAAGGAAGCAAAAAATGCCCAATCAGAACAGCAAAAAGAAAAAAAAATGCAAAAAAATGAGGATAGTGGAAGGAGCCTCTGGGACACTTCAAGTGTGCCAACATTCGCATCTTGGGGGTGCCAGAAGGAGAAGAGCGAGAACAAGAAATTGAAAACCTATTTGAAACAATAATAGCAGAAAACTTCCCTAACTTGATGAAGGAAACAGACATACAAGTCCAGGAAGCACAGAGTGTCCCAAACAAGATGAACCCCAAGAGACCCACGCCAAAACACATCATCATCAAAATGCAAAAGGTTCAAGACAAAGAGAGAATCTTAAAAGCAGCAAGAGAAAGGCAGCTAGTTACCTACAAGGGAGTTCCCATAAGACTGTCAGCTGATGTCTCAAAAGAAACTTTGCAGGCCAGAAGGGAGTGGCAAGAAATATTCAGAGTGATGAAAACCAAGAACCTACAACCAAGATTACTCTATCCTGCAAAGCTGTCATTTAGAATCGATGGCCATATAAAGACTTTCCCAGACAAGAAAAAGTTAAAGGAGTTCATCACTACCAAACCGTTATTATATGAAATGTTGAAGGGTCTTTTTGAAGAAAAAGATAAAATATATGAACAAACAAAATGGCAATGAATACATATCTATCCACAATTGAATCTACAAACAAAATGAACAGGCAGAACAGAAACATTCTCATAGATACAGAGAAATTTTGTTGGTTGCCAGATAGGAGGGGTTTGGGGGAATGGGTGAAAAAGGTGAAGGGATTAAGAAGTACAGATTCGTTGCTACTGACAAACCTCAAAGGGAAAGAGATTGGGGGGTGGTAAGAAATAAACCAAAGAACTTATATGTATAACCAATGGACACAAACAATAATTGTGTGAGAAAAGGCAGGAGGGGGGCGGGAGTGGGGAGGAGGGGGCCAATGGGGGAAAAATGAGGAACATCTGTAATATATTCAACAATAAAGTTTTTTAAAAAAAATCATGAGCCCTGGCTGGTGTGGCTAAGTTGGTTGGAGCTGCGTCCCACACACCAAAAGGTGTCTGGTTGGATTCTGGTCAGGGTACATACCCAGGTTTCAGGTTCAGTCGCTGGTGGGGGCACATATGGGAGGCAACCAATCAATGTTTCTCTCTCTCTTCCTGCCTTTCTCTCTAAAATCAATTTAAAAAAAATCATGACACTAATGTCATTATGCAGATCTTCCTTCTTATTCCCATCCTTACCAAATCCAGAAAAAAAAAGGTACCTAGTCTGAATGTTCCTTTTCTCCAGGTTTTTTCTAAGTGCTGTCGAAAGTTGCATCCTATGAAAGAGAAAAATCTTGAGTTACAAAACATAGATAACATTTATGCTACACTGAAAAGAAACCTTAAAAATATGCAATTTAAAGATTTTTTTTTTAATCCTCACCTGAGGCATGCTTCCATTTTTTGTTCAGATAGAGTGGGAGGGAGAGAGAGAAACATCGACGTGAAAGGGACACATCGAGTGGCTGCCACCCGCATGACCCCGGGGACAAACTGCAACTGCAGTACGTGCCCTTAGTGGGAACCGAACCCGGGTCTTTCTGTACTGCAGGCTGACGCTCTAATCGCTGAGCCAAACTGGCCAGGGCTAAAGATTGATTTCTTTAACTTGTTTAAATATAACATAACGTGATAGATTTTAAAACAGTAGTATAGTATGGGAAATACTTGATAAACAAGTCACAGTAATAGGAAATAACACTAAGATGGATGGGGCTGTCACAAGTGGTTATCCATTGCCAGGCGGAGGGGCCAAGTAATCCAGCCTGAGGTTTGTTCTCCAAGTCATCCACCCTGGTGCCTGGAGGAAGCAACAAGCACTAAGGCATCACAGAGATCAACAAGGGTCTAAAATGGAGAGTTAGGGAATACAAAGTCACATTTACCTGTAAAGTTACCTTAGTTAAATAATATGATCTGTATAACGAGCCAGCATATGAAATGAGGGGAAAATCTCACTGTTAGAAGCAATTAAAAGTGTTTCAACTACTTTTCAATTAAATGTATGAAGAAATTCATCTGGGAAGGCCAGAAATACAAGTAATTTTAAGTCATTCACTTAATTGAGATGATTAATTCAGATCACAAAATCTGTAAGAGTCCACGTTTATCTTATTAACAACAGCATACCAACACCTAGCGCAAAGCTTAGGACATAGCAAGCACTCAAATATTTGTTGCATAAATTTTAAAATACAGACACAAAACTTATAATTAAAATATACTTTATTTAAACTTAATGACAATTCTTTTACTCAATTAACAGTTACTGGAATAAACAAATCCATGTAATCCTTTCAACACTGACTGGGATTTAACCTCAGGTTTGTATTGCTGTGATTGACATTTCCTTATTAATCCTATATTATGTAACTTCAAAGGAAGATATTAATGAATGAAGCAAATTCTCTCAGGGCTCAAAATTTGTGAGACCATTATCTAAACATCATTTTGCTCAATTCATTTAGACTAAAATATTTTCTCCACATTGAGCCATACCCATTTGGCATTCAGTTCACAATGCTTATACCTGAAATGTAGTAATTACCTGTCTAGTGCAAGCTTTTTCATTTCAAAAGCAATTTTCACCTCTTCAATTTCATTTTCCAGGTCTTCAATTTTACTATCAAAGAAGCATGAACAAGAGAATTTCAACAATATCAGAAAAAGTCACTATCGGAATAAATGTTTAAGTAAACCTTTGAAAAAAAATAAATGCTTCTATCTAAATAAAAGTATTCTATAGGCTCACTGTACCAGTACACTTACAGATCTGGTAAACTGATGCCTCCTGAGATACTCTGATAAATATCTTGTTGAGGGGAAATGCCAAAAGTGGTCATAGGATCACTCATTACATGTAAGTGTATCAACAAGTTCTCAATACATATTTGACAAACTACTTGGGAAATAAAGGGAGGAAAAAAAACAATGCTATAAATAGATATTATTACTAAATCTTAGTAAAAACCACAAATGAAATTTAAAATATGACATACGTTTCAATTTGCTTTTCTGGAATGATTTCTTCTGGAGTTTTTTCTTCATCTACAAGTAAATAATTTTTTGAAGTTAGCAACATTTTAGAACAGTGCTGTCCAGAATTATAATGTAAGCCACAAATGCAGACCAAATTTCTAGTTTCCACATTACTAAAGTAAATAAACAAGAAAAAATAATTTTAATGTAGCTTATTTAACCCAATAGATCCAAATCAGTATCATTTTAACACAATCAATTTAAAATTACTAATGAAATATTTTACAATCTTTTATTCCGTGCATATTTTACATTTACAGCCCTTCTCAATGAGGACTAACCACATTACAAGTGTTCAACAGTCACAGAGCTAGTGGCTACCATATTGGACAAAACAGTTTTAGAATTATAGAAAATAAAAGAGTGAAAAATGAACATTTAAAAAATTAACTGTATGTCTATACAAATTGGAAATTAAAAATTTTAAATACCATGTACAATTGCATTAAGAAACATGAAACACTTAAGAATTAATTTAACAAAATATGTGTATGACTGCTACACTGTTCATCACCAACTATTTTGATGGCAAGATATGCCATGTACACGTATTGGAAGAATCAATATTGCTAATGTAACAATTTCCTCCATATCGATCTAAAGATCCTAATCAAGTCCCAGCCAAATTTTATAAATTTAGCTCTAGCTGGTGTGGTTCAGTTGGTATCCCAAGCACCAAGAGGCTGCTGGTTTGATTACTGGTCAGGGCACATGCCCAGGTTGTGGCCCGATCCCCAGTAGAGGGCGTGCAGGAGGTAGCCAGATGGAAGTTACACGCTCATCAATGTTTCACTCTCCCTCCTCTCCCTTCCTCTCTCTCTAAAAATCAATAAAGAAAAATCATAAAAGCAGTAACATATTTAAAAAATTTTAAATTTATTTTAGCCTGGCCAGTGAGGCTCAGTGGACTGAGCATCATCCCATGAACTGAGAATCCTGGTTCAATTCCCAGTAGAGGTGCCCATCAATGTTTCTATCTCTCTCTCTAAAAAAATCAATAATAACATATTTTTAAAAATCTGTCATTTTATAGGAATTGTTCTACAGGAAAAAATGCATATAGAGTCCTGGTCAGTGTGGCTCAATTGGTTGAGCACTGTCCTGTGCACAAAAGGTCACCAGTCTGATTCCCAGTCAGGGCACATGCCCAAGTTGTGGGTTTGCGCACCGGTCTGGGTATGTGCAGGAGGCAACTGATCGATGTTTGTCTCTTGCTCCCTCCCTCTCTCTCTCTGTGAAATCAACAAAAACGTAGTTTAAAAAAATAAAATAAAATGCAGATATAAATGCAAAGGACCTAGAATAGTCAAAACCATTTTGACAAAGGAGAACAAAGCTGGAGGACTTACAGTAGTTGATATCAAGATTTACTATAAAGCTACAGTAATCAAGAGTGTGGCACTATTGTAAGTACAGACAAATGCCTCAAGGGAACACAGGAAAGAACCCAGAAATAGTCCCATACATATACAATGGAGAAAGAAAAGTATTTTCAACAAATAGTCCTGGAAAAATTGGATATCCATTTGGAAAAAATGAACCTTGACCCTTAGCTCATACCATACACAAAAATTAACTCACAGATTAGAGCTAAATGTTAAACCTAAAACCATAAAACTTTTTTTTTTAAAAAGTGTCCTCATCCGAGGACACTTTTGCATTTATCATCAGAGAGAGCGGGAGAGACAGAAACATTGATATGAGAGAGACACATTTACTAGTTGCCACCCACATGACCCCAACTGGGACTGAGGACAAACTGCAACCGAGGTACGTGACCTTAGCAGGAACCAAACCCAGGACTCTCTGGTCCATAGGCCAATGCCCTAACTGCTGAGCCGAACCGGCCAGGGCCCAAAAACACTTCTTGAACAAAGCATTGGAGAAAATCTTTGTGTTGGATAGTCACAGATTTCTTTTTTTTTTTTATCCTCACCCGAGGATATTTTTCCATTTTTTGTACAGATAGAGTGGGAGGGAGAGAGAGGAAGGGAGAGAGAGAGAGAAACATCGACGTGAAGGGACACATCGAGTGGCTGCCACCCGCACGACCAACAGGGCCAGGGACAAACTGCAACCGGAGTACGTGCCCTTAGCGGGAACCGAACCCGGGTCTCTCGGGACCGCAGGCCGACGCTCTAACCGCTGAGCCAAACTGGCCAGGGCACAGATTTCTTAGCTAAACTCAAACTCAGCGAGTCTAACAATCCAATTAAGAAATGAGCAAAGATTTGAATAGACATTTCATAAAAGTAAATTTATATATAAATTGCCAAATAAGCATGTGAAAAGATACTCAACATGATTAGTTAGCAGGAAAAGATAAAACCACACAAGACACTACTACATACTTATTAGAATGGCTAATGTTTTTATTTTATTTCATTTATTTATTTATTTATTATTTATTTATTTATTTATTTTTACCCTCACCCAAGGACATTTTTGCATTTATCTTCAGGTAGAGCGAGGGGGAGAGAGGGAGGAAGAGAAGAGAAACATCAACATGAGAGAGACACAACAAGCGGTTACCACCCACACAACCCCAACCAGGGCCAGGGACAAACTGCAACCGAGGTATGTGCCCTTAGCGGGAACTGAACCCAGGACTCTGTGGTCCACGGGCTGGTGCTCTAACCTCTGAGCCAAAGTGGCCAGGTCTAGAATGGCCAACATTTAAAAAGGCGGACAATACCACATTTTGAAGAGGATATTGAGTAACTAGAAATCTCATACTGAGGGCTATGTACCAAAACAGTATGGTCATCTTAGCTGTTTGGGAGTTTCTTAAAAAGTTAAACAAATACTTACTATATTATTCTGCAATTTCACTTTTAGGTATTTAACCAAGAGAAATGAAAATAAATGTCCACAAGACATACAGACATAGTTGCTTTACTCATCATGAGCAGAAACTGCGAATAACTGAAATGTCCATTAGCAGGTGAATGGATAAATATATTGTGGTACAGTCATCACGAAATATATTTCACAATAAAAAGGAATGAATTACTGAAACAAATAACATGGATGAATCACAAAAATACTATGTTGTGGTGTTTGTGCATCTTTTTATGAGCTTTCTTCATTTTCTTCCACATCTTCTTGTCTATCACATTCCTAGTCCTACCATGCCAGGAGCCAAGGGATTCACAGGAGGCATGCCAGGGGCAGGTGGTGGGTATGGAGGGGAATGGGGACCTGATGGCATCCTGGATAAGCTGTCTGTGGTGCAGAATGAAGGGGTCCGGCTGGGGGGAAAGCTGGATTCCCCTGGGGAGCTCCTGGGGGAGTGGGAAAGGGGCCTGGAGGAAAGACAGGATGTTTCTCTCTCTCTCTCGCTCCCTCCCACTCTGTCTTAAGATAAAAATGTAAAAATATCCTCGGGTGAGGATTAAAAAAACATTCATCAATCTGCACTCTTTTTTTTTTTTTTTAATCCTCACCCGAGGACACTTTTCCATTTTTTGTACAGATAGAGTGGGAGGGAGAGGAAGAGAGAGAGAGAGAAACATCGACGTGAAAGGGACACATCGAGTGGCTGCCACCCGCACGACCAACCAGGGCCGGGGACAAACTGCAACCGAGGTACATGCCCTTAGCGGGAACTGAACCCGGGTCTCTCCGGACCGCAGGCCGATGCTCTAACCGCTGAGCCAAACCGGCCAGGGCTCAATCTGCACTCTTAAAATGGACCTATAAAAAATCCTTCAAGACCAGGAACTGTGAGCAGAGACAGAGAGGGAACAGTCAAGCCTAGGCAGTGGTATAAAGGCTGGAGGAAACACCTGACAATGTGGAATCCCAATGCTGGGCAGCCAGGGCCAAATTTGTATCCCCCTAATGTCAGGTACCCTGGAGATTCTAATCCTGCCTATCCATTGCCTGTCAATCCTGTCTTTCCTCCAGGCCCCTTTCCCACTCCCCCAGGAGCTCCCCAGGGGAATCCAGCTTTTCCCCCAGCCGGACCCCTTCATTCTGCACCACAGACAGCTTATCCAGGATGCCATCAGGTCCCCATTCCCCTCCATACCCACCACCTGCCCCTGGCATGCCTCCTGTGAATCCCTTGGCTCCTGGCATGGTAGGACTAGGAATGTGATAGACAAGAAGATGTGGAAGAAAATGAAGAAAGCTCATAAAAAGATGCACAAACACCACAAGCATGGCAAGCATTCCTCTTCCTCCTCTAGCAGTGACTGACTGAATACAGGGTCTGGACCCTTCCCTCAAGTCTCTCCAGTTCTGCTCTCCCATCAAGCTTCAGATGCCATCTTGCACTGCGGAAAATTAGCCCTTGGGTCCCCCTCTTTCTCTCCCCCGCAATCTGAGCCTCACTCTGCTGTCCAGCCCTAACTGGTTAAGGGAAATGGAAAAAGAATTGCCAAGGGCTAGCAAAGGCCATCTTCTCAGTGCTTGCATAGAACTTTAGCTGATGAGTTTCACAGGAGAACTTTTTTGAAGGTGGTGAAACCTGTGAGCTAAATGCTGAAGATAAGTCTAAGATCTAGAAAATGTGATTTTTTTGCTTTCTTTGTAATATTTGTAGTTGGGGCAGTGTTTTGGAAACTTAATTATGAGAGAAAAAAACAACTAATTGAACCTTTTTTAAATTGTGGCACACTTGGGTGATTTAATGGCAAATACATTTCCCAGCATTCCTTTGATTGATTGCACTAACTGCAAGGCTCCTTAGCTCAGTATGTTATCTCAGGTCCTCCTTTCATTCTCCAATCCTCAGTACAAATAAAGCTGTTATAATAATAAGAAGAAGAATAATAAAGTCCTTCAAGTAATAAAGTCTCAGTAATATATTTTTAATGGCAAAATAATACATTTTAGATAAATATCTTCTTTCAAAGACCACAACCTAACTTCTTTGTAGCTTGCTTTATATCTGTCATCTCCTTTACTTGTAAAAATTCTATAGTGTGGACTATAAAATCTACTCAAGTTTTCAGATGTCACATCCCTTAAAAATGAAATTAACCATACAAGGAAAACAAAACCTGACTATATGAGAAGGCAGACTCTTTATCACTTGATTTTAGCTCTTATGTCATCTCAGAGAAGCCACCTTGACTACCCTATCTAAAGTAGGCCTGTTCTCATCGCACCATTATTTCCTTCATTACACTTACCATTTTATTTTTAAATCCTCACCTGAGGATATTTTTTATTTTCAGATAGAGTGGGAAGGAGGGAGGGAGGGAGGGGGAGAGGGGGAGAAAGAGAGAGAGAGAAACATCGATGTGAGAGAGACATATCGACTGGTTGCCTCCCACAAGACCTGACCAGGGCTGGGGACTGAACTGCAAGTGAGGTATGTGCCCTTGACCGGAACCGAACCTGTAACTCTTTGGTCCTCGGGCCGACACTCTAACCACTGAGCCAAACCAGCCAGGGCTCACACTTACCACATTTCATAATTATCTTTCATGTTTCTTTGGTTACCTGTTTTACTACATAGAATTTAAGATTCATGAAGGCAAAGTCTATCTTGTTCAACACCATATCTCCATGCCTAGCATGGTGGCAGGGACATATTAAACACTTACAAAGGACTTAAATGAATACAGGAATACCTATAGAGATAATTCTTCAATGGTCCAAATTTTGAATAGCTTTTCCCCTACACCCTGTCCTCTAAGACAGATTATCCTTTTTAATTATGTGGGCTTTCATGCAAAAGCATTAGCTCATTTCTGAGGTAAACATCACAGGTTTAATATCAGAAGCATGAGCTCTGGAAATAAGACCATTAGATCTGCAAGGGGAAGATAGTGACCTACTGGCCATCTTTGAGGTAAGCATTATTGATACAAAGGAAGGGTCACGGCTTTGGAGGCATGGTTCATATCCCAGTTCCATAATTTACTAGTTCTAGTAAGCAGGAAAGAAAACCCTAAAATAGCCCTGGCTGGTTTGGCTCAGCAGTTAGAGTGTCATTCTGCGGTCCAGAGAGACCTGGGTTCGGTTCCCGCTGAGGGCATGTACCTCGGTTGCAGTTTGTCCCCAGCCCTGGATGGGTAGTGCGGGTAGCAACCACTCGATGTGTCCCTTTCACGTCGATGTTTCTCTCTCTCTCTCTTCCTCTCTCTCCCTCCCACTCTATCTGAACAAAAAATGGAAAAATGTCCTCGAATGAGGATTAAAAAACAACAACAACAACAAAAAACCCCTAGAATATCCAATGGAAAACACAGCAGAACTGACTTGAAAAAGAATTTGAGCAGAATCTGAAAACTACCTAAATTCAAACACAGATTTAGATGAAATGATTCAGGCATATATAAAAGCCCTTGTTTCAATTGTACTGAATCACAATTTGATCCAACCCGGCCAGGACTGGTTTTATTCTTTAAGCCTATTTCATAGAGAAAGAAAGGTTCACCAAACCTACCTTTGTGACCTAAGGGCTTATGAATCTACTTTAGGAGGGCTAAACCCATTATTTTACTACTCTCTTGGTCCCAAAGACTTCTGGATTAATAATTTTAAAAGGCAGCCCGGCTGGTGTGGCTCAGGGGATTGAGCACTGTCCCACGGACTGAGAGGTCCCAGTTTGATTCCCAGTCAGGGCACATGCCTGAGTTTCGAGCTCGATCCCCAGTAGAGGGCATGCAGGAGGCAGCCAATTGACGTCTCTCTCTCACATGGATGTTTCTATCTCTCTCTCCCTAAAAAAAACAAAACAAAACAAAAAATAAATAATTTTAAAAGGTAAATTAAATATTTTATGTTTAGAATTGAAAATTGTCACTCATGTCTTTAAGCTGATCCCTTCTGTCTCTTATTCCTATTATCCAGGGCTTCTCAAAGTATAGGTCTCATATCACTTGCTTCATAATTATCTGATCTGCTAACTCAAACTTCAGGTTGTTGATGGTACCGCAAGTTCTATGATTCCTTAAGACCACCAGGATTTCCCAATTCTCTGATCAATAAAGCTTAACTGTCTTTCATTGTTATTTAGTTGTTTTATATCTATTTCCTGAAACCCTAACTAGTTCCAGAGGCCAAGGCAAGCTGCTTTTTGCCTTCTTACATGGTATAGTATAACATTATGCTGTCACTTCTATTCCCTAAGTAAATCACTTTTTATAAAGTTGATTTTCTTTTATCTAGAGTATTGCTCCTCATCAAACTCACAAAACCTTATTTGCAAATGCAAATACTTACTTGCATCAACCATTGATTTATATTCGAAGAGTTGTTGTTTTGTCTGTGCCCTCAGCCTGAAAACAGATAAAAAGAAGAGAAAGTCATACATTTATTGAGGTTTTACTCATTACTGTAAGACAACTCATTTTTTGGAAGCTAATGCAACAAAATGAATATAAATTAACTCAGCATTAAAGTCTTCTAGTTTGGCCTCATTTTATTTAAAATGGGCATAAAGAAAAATAAATTAATAAAATGGGCATAAAGAACTTTAAGAAAGGCCCTGGCCAGTTTGGCTCAGCAGTTAGAGCATCAGCCCACGGACCAATGAGTCTAAGGTTCAATTCTGGTCAAGGGCATGTACCTGGATTTCAGTTTGTCCCTGGCCCTGGTAGGGTCATGCGGGAGGCAAACAGTTACAACAACAACAACAAAAACAACTTTAGGGTCTCAGAGCAAGACAACAAAATGGAATATAATGGAAAGCGAAGTCTGTGAGGAAAATTTAAATTTTGATTTTAAATCTATTTTTTATTTGTTTCATTTTTTAAAATTTATTGGGGTGACACTGGTTAATAAAATTATATAGGTCTCAGGTGTACAATTCTAGAATTCATCATCTGTGTTTTTACATTTATTTATTTTATTTTTTTATGATTAAACTGGGCTTATAGGTTTTGGTGGAAAGATCACCGAGGTAAATTGCCATTCTTATTCCATCTTATCAAATTACATGGCTTATCACTCACCAAGTTGAGGTAGTGTTTCTTAGGTAAATTTATTCTTTTTTTTTTTATATCCTTACCTGAGGACATATTTCCATTTTTGTTCAGATAGAGAGGGAGGGAGGGAGAGAGAGAGAGAAACATGGATGTGAAAGGGATACATCGAGTGGCTGCCTCCCGCACAACCCCAACTGGGGCTGGGGACAAACTGCAACCAAAGAACGTGCCCTTAGCGAGAACTGAACCTGGGTCTCTCTGGACCGCAGGCTGACGCTCCAACCGCTGAGTTAAACCGGCCAGGGTGGTAAATTTATTCTTAATGGGCCATAGTGAAGTGAGGGTTAATGAGAATTGCTACACAAAGAAGTAGATTAAAGTGGGGAAGTCACAAACACTAATTAATTAAAACCTACTGTAATATGCTCAGGAGATCCAGAAAAATAACAAAGATACTAATTCTTGGATAGATAAGTAATTCATAGTTTCTTGTCTTGATTTTACTTAATTCAAAATCATACCTAAAATAAGTAGAAAAGCTATGGGTAAATGGTAGTTATTAAGTTGTGCTTACAAAATGTTTCACACTTACTCAGTAGTTTCATAAATCAGAAACTGTTGCTTTGTGTCTGAGTCATAAAGAAACTAAGAAACATTCGACAAATTTCTAAAGCTCCATGAATAGTTTCTTGTTTCAAAATACCATAAGAAAAGAGCAATTGTTAGATGTTAATTAGGCTAGCATTTTATAAGACACTGAAAGATTAGATCCTTTTTAGCTGAGATGGGAAAGCTCTTATATCTTTAATGTTTTAGTATTTTATATTGCAAGTAAGAGGGAATTTTTTAAGTGAGCTTGTGAGCTTTATTAGCCAAAGCCCTTCAAAGCAGTGGTGAACCTGGAAAGCAGTGCTTATTTTTAAAAATTGCTTTGTTATGATTTTTTTTTTTTTGGTTTGTTTGTTAACTCACTTGAGGATATTTTTCCATTGATTTCTTAGATAGAGTGGAAGGGAGGAAAGGCAGGAAGGAAGGAAGGGGGGAGGGAGGGAGAGAAAGATTGATGTGAGAGACCAGAGACCCGAGACCCTTTGGTCTGTTGGTTGATGCTATAACCACTGAGCAAAACTGGCCAAGGCTCCTTGTTATGATTTAGAACAGTCTGCAAACTTCTTTTGTAAAGGACAAAGTAGCAAATATTTTAGACTTTATGAGTCATATGATCTTGTTCTAACTACTCAAATCAGCCCCTGTAGCAGGAAAGCTGTGTTTCAATAAGACTTCATTGAAGGGCAATGAAATTTGAATTTCATATAATTTTTATGATTTATTAAATATTTTTCTTGTAATCTCCCTTCTTCTCAACCCTAAAAACATAAAAAATATTCTTAGCCAGGTGGTGTGGCTCAGTGGATTGAACATCCTTTCATGGACTGAGAGGTCCAGGTTGGATTCCCAGTCAGGGCACACCCAGGACTTGCAGGTTCAATCCCCAGTAGGGGGTGGACAGGAGGCAGCTTCATAGTTTCTCACATACATATTTCTCTCTATAAAAAAATCAATAGAACCATTAAAAACAACTATTCTTAGCTTGAGGGCTGTCACACAAAAACAGGCAATAAAGTGGACTAGGTTGTGGTTTGCCCACTAATTTAGAAGACTGATGTCACTTCTCATCAAATGTTCCCCTAGCAACTGCTTAGTGGAAAGGGTATAAAAATCACTGTTTGTGTGGCTCTGGCCCTAGCTTTCTCCTGTGCACCAAATGGTCTCTGCGTTGGGCCCTGGAAGTTTGGCTCAGCGGTTAAAGCAGTGGTCTGCAGACCAGAGCGGGGGCTGACTCTGGTCAAGGGGACCTACCTCGGTTGGGGTTAGACCCTCACCCTGTGGGAGACAGCCAATCATGTCTGTCTGTCTGTCTGTCTGTCTGACTCCTCCCTCCCTCCACTCTAATTGAAAATCAGTGGGAAAATATCCTCAGGTGAGGATTAAAAATAATAATAAACAATAATAAAAAAGAAGGTCTTTGGTTGGATTCCAGTCAGGGCACATGCCCAGGTTGTCACCCCATCCACCGGTAGGGGCATGCAGGAGGCGGCCAATGAATGTTTCTTTCTCCTTCCTTTCCTCTCTTTCTAAAATCAATAAAGAAAAATAAATTTTTAAAAAAAGGTTAAACGATCAATCTTACGTTTTAAAAAAAATCACCCTGTTGGTATAAAATACAACAAATGAAGCTTCGGGGTGAAAAGGATCATAACTATAAATAAAGGGGCGGGGAAACCTACCTCCAGTAGCTCAGGCTTGGTTGCATCCCCAAACCAATTGAAAATCGCGGCCCCAGGGAGTGAGGGGATAAGAAAGGGAGGGGGAAATTACAGCTCCGAAGGCTCTAAGGGCCCTGGCACTATGCTGAATATGCTGAATGCTTGCCCTCGATTATCTCATTTATTCCCTTTAGCAGCCGTGATGGAAGGGTGTCATTTTCTTCCTTCCTTTTCCAAGCCGAAGAACTGGGCTTAAGGGGTTTAATCGAATGCTACAGTCACATAGCCATTCAGGGGCCGAGTCTGAATTCGTAACATTCTGGCCATTCAGAGAGAAAGGCGGTGCTCTTGGCCTCGATCCGCCCTTGGTTCCGGCCCAGCGGGCCAGAGGGAACAACCTGAGCAGCAGGGTCATGTGGTCCTCTTCCGAGTCCGCGGACTTGGCGGCGGCTTGCACCTCGGGTTGCTGCTCCATCCCGGCTCGCGCGAATACCTACTGCGTAGGACCAACAGAAACTGTCGGAAGGAGCCACTTTTCCCGCCACGAAATTGACTCCCGGAAGGGACCGGAGAACTTGCTCTTTTCGTCCTGCCTTTTCCGCCCTAAGGCCCCGCCCCTTCCGTCTCGTTCTTCGGTTGCCACGGTTACCGCTGTCCTTTTTATCCTGGCTCTACTGGTTTGAAATCGAGGCAAACTACTAGTACAAAGGTTCGAAGAACTTTAATTACGCGTCAGCTCTTTCAGCGCTGGGCTAGAGGCGGGGCTACAGCCATTTGGGACACTGCCCGGCGTTGTTGGGAACCGCCGCGGGCGGCCAGAACGCCGGCCTGCGTGCTCACTGCAGCCTTGGCTGGGACGGGAATCTGCGGGACCGCCGGTTTTTGACCCATGTTGGCACTCCCTTTTCACCCGCGGCCCTGGAAGACGGCGTTCCCGGTAGGCTGGGAAAGAGAAATATTAGAGGGTTAAGAAGACTTTGATCTGAGCTCATAAGGTCCAGACTCTTCTTCCGCGAAGAAACGAACGGCCCACGTTCAAAGACACCCACGCCCCGCCTACGAGGCAGTAGTGCACATACTTGAACCCCAGACTTCCAGCGTGAAACTCCGCTATCAGTAAAATTAGGACTCGTAACAGCGTTGGGGGCCCCCAAGTGTCAGCTTGTTGATTCAGCAGGTTGCAATTGAGTTTAGCTGGGCAGTGAGCGGGAAATGGAGAAAATGCAGGACATCTGAATGCCTGATTGAGCTATATAGTTTTTCATGATGGACAGTGGTGTAAGGGACACTCTCCTGCGGCACGAGTCCAGCAGTTTGAATCTCTTGACAAGAGATGAGCATTCCCTTCTAGAGCGAGTTTCCCCTAAGTTAAACTTGATCACACAGCTTCCCTTTCTTCCTCTCCATTATCAAATACAGCTCCTGGTAGAAGATTCAAAAGGCCTTACAATGTAAATAAGATGTTAGGTTCGCCACTCCTATCCGGAAGAACATTTTGTTTCCTTTTATTTTTTGTTTTACACAGAAGTGATCCTATTCTTCTTCCACTTTACCCGGATGTCTTCCAAAATCAATCTCATCCTTTTAATCAGTTGCCTAACAGGTGTCTACTGCCCAAATTCGGGACAAAGACATGCAACAGTTCTCCAACTGAGCATTCATCAGAATCATGGGAAGGGCTGGTTAAAGCCACTCTCAGAGAAAGAGCTTGATTCAAAGCAAGTATCATTTTTGGATACTAAAACTAAAAAGAGAACACCTTCACAGCAAAGCTGTACCTGGTAGTTACCACCTTAACCTGCTGATGAGATTTGATATAACTAGTAGTTTAACAATCTCATGTGACTCCAATATGATGCATTAGTTGTATAGATCACCTATTTTCTTTTCAAAATGCATAACCTGAAATTGACTATAAAGAAATAATCAGACAATAAATCTAGAACGAGGAATATTCTACAAGACAATGTATGGCCATGCCTTGAAAAACAAAAAGTAGGGCAATTGTTCTAAGTGGAAAAACAAATGAATCTTGATGAGGCCCTGAACTGGAAAAAAGTTAAAGACATCTTGGGAAAAACAGGAAATATGAATGTGTACTGCATATTATATATGGAGTTGTTAATTTCCTTGGTGTGATAAAGATTGTGGTTATGTAGGAAAATGACCTTAATTCTTTGGAGATGTTGATGAAGTATTTTTTTATCCTCACCCGAGGACATATTTGCATTTATCTTCAGATAGAGCGGGAGGGAGAGAGAGAAACAACCACGTGAGAGAGACACATTGACTGGTCAACCCCAGCACAACCCCAACCAGCGGCTGAGACAAACTGCAATCGAGGTACATGCCCGTAGCGGGAACCAAACCCAGGACTCTCTGGTCCACAGGCCGATGCTCTAACCGCTGAGCCAAACCGGCCAGGGCTGATAAAGTGTTTTAAAGTGACATCTTGACACCCAAAATTTACTTTCAAATGGCTCTGAAAAAGAAAATGAATATATTGAAGTACACACACACGTTTATATACCACCCTCACACTTCTCTCTCTATCCAGCTATAGTTTAATATTTGCCTACATAGCCCGGATGATTTGGCTCAGTGGATTGAGCATCATCCCATGGACTGAGAGGTCCCTGGTCGATTCCTGGCCAGGGCACATGCCCAGGTTGAGCCCAATCCTCAGTAGGGGGTGTGCAGGAGGCATCGACTAATGTTTCTCTCATAGATGTTTCTCTCTCTCCTTTCCTTTCTCTCTAAAAAAAACCAATAAAAACTTAGAAAATATATTTGCCTACATAAATCACTAGAACTATGTCCTCTATAAGGAAATAAAATCCCCTTATATACATGAAATATTTACAGAAGTCAACCAAGTACTTATCCACAGAGAAAACATTAACTTTTATTATTTTTATTATTTTTCTTTATATATTTTAGAGAGAGGAAGGGAGAGGGAGAGAGAGATAGAAACATCATTTTCAATTGGTCACCTCCTGCATGCCCCCCTGGGGATTGGGCCCACAACCTGGGCATGTGCCCTAACCAGGAATCGAACCGGTGACCTCTTCATGCATGGGTCGATGCTCAACCACTGAGTCACACTGGCCTGGTTTTTTTTTTTAATCCTCACCTGAGAATATTTTTCCATTTTTCTTCAGTAGAGGGGGAGGGAGGGAGAGAAAAGGAGAGGGAGAGAGAAAGAAACATCCATCGATTGGCTGCTCCCGCAGGACCCTGACCAGGGCCTGAGACAAACTGCAACTGAGGTACAGACCTATGCTCTAACTGCTGAGCCAAACTGGCCAGGGCAACATTAACTGTTTTATTTTATTTTAAATCCTCACCTGAGGACATTTTTCCATTTTTTGTTCAGATAGAGTGGGAAAGAGAGAGGAACAGAGAGAGAAACACCAATGTGAAAGGGACACATCGAGTGGCTGCCACCCGCACGACCCAACCAGGGCTGGGGACAAACTGCAACCGAGGTACACCTCCTTAGCGGGAACTGAACCCAGGTCTCTCCGGACCGCAGGCCGATGCGCTAACCGCTGAGCCAAACCGGCCAGAGCAACATTAACTGTTTTAAAAGGTTTTTTACAGAACTTCTCTCCAATGCAATTAAAGTTCACTAACATAAAGATGTCTGACAAAAAATTTTAAAAAGAAACTACTTAGAAAATAAGCACTTAAATAATCTTCACATCACAAAGGACCACAAAAGAAATGATAACTTAACCAGAAACTAATGAAAAGGAGTACTGCAAAAAAAAGCTATCTCAGAGGAAAATGTATAAAGGCTTTTATTATTAAAATACATTAAGTTTTTAACTTAAATTAGAAAATAACCAATAGAAAAACAGATGTTGAGAATTAACATAAAAGCTAAAACTACAAAAACAAAGGTGGTAGAAATGATAACACCAAAAATGGATTCTTTCAAAACACCATTGGAGAATCTCCTGACCAAGTCTAATGTAAAAATCTAGAAGGGATAATAGAAGTAAAAACAACCCAATAGACCAAAAGACTGTGAAAAACTACCATTTAAGCAACTCCAGGCCAAATGATTTTATAGTTAATTTAGTTTTCAATGAATGAATAAGGATTTCAAATGAGAAAGACTTGAAGATGAAAACCTCTTTAATTCACATTTAAGCTGGTAAAATAGACAAAAACCAAAAAACAGTAGCAACAGAAACTGAGCCAATTTCCCAAACAAGATGCAAAATTTTAAAAATGAAACATTTAACAGATTAAATCTATATATCATGAGCTAGAATTCATTCTACTTTAGGAAAACTCTAACATGAAATATAGCAAATTAAAAGAGAAAAATGCTAAAGATATCATCAGCGGATAAAGTAAATGAAATTCCACAGCTTTGCCTCTAACAACCCTCAATGAACAGAAAAATACTTAAAGACTAACAGCAAAAATATTAAATGATAAAAATACTTGGGATGGCCCTGGCCGGTTTGGCTCAGCGGTTAGAGCGTCCACACGCGGACCGAAGAGTCCCGGGTTTGGTTCCTACTAAGGGCATGTACCTGGGTTGCAGTTTGTCCCCAGCCCTGGTTGGGGTTGTGTGGGTGGCGGCCACTAGATGCGTCTCTCTCACATCGATGTTTCTCTCTCTCTTCCTTCCACTCTGTCTGAGGATACATGCAGAAATGTCCTCGGGTAAGGATTAAAAACCAAAACCGAAAAACAACTCGGGATGTCCAATTCAGGAAAAAGACAATCTACCTATTATCAATGATTATTTTGGAGATTCTAATACAATAAATACCATAAACATTAAAAAATTAAAATTTTCGATTTAAGGTCTAGAAAACTTCACTAAAATCAAGAAAACCGATGTTAGCTGGATAATAAAAAAACAATTAGCAATGAAAGAAAAGTGCAAGTTAGATTCTGTTCATAATAGTGACCAAAAAAAAAAAACACCTTAAAACCAATAAACAGCTTGACAACTTGTCATGCATCACATGTTGGTGGGGAACCAACAATTCATAGACAAAAAATAAATACTTCTAACACTGTATTTAAGGGTATGCAATTAAGACTTAATGGAACAAAATGCTTCTGGGTAGGAGGACATCAGTTCATTTCAAACTAGTACATAATGTACAGCAAAATCTCAAAAGCCTTTTGGTAACAACATAATATTGAAGTTCATATGTGTTTGAAAATTGTCCCAACATATTTGAAAAATAGTGGTAGCCTCATCTTACCAGGTAATATAGTTTTACATTAAGTTTATTGCAGGAAAAAAACAAGTAGATCAGGAAACAATAGATGGACATTGATGTTTCAGTTCAACAGGACAGTGTTTTAACATATGGTACTGGCATGAATAGGTACCCATGTGGAAGAAGGAATCCTACCTCATACCACAGCAATTAGAAATCTGAAATTTAAAAAATTTAGATGATACTTATGTGTTTTGGGATGGAGTTGATCTAAACACTGAAATTCCAAAAGCAACTAAGAAAAAATAAATTTAATAATATAATGACAGCCCTGGCCAGTTTGGCTTAGCAGTTAGAGCATCGGCCTGCGGTCCAGAGACCCGGGTTGGGTTCCTGCTATAAGGGCACGTACCTCGGTTGCAGTTTGTCCCTGGCCCTGGTTGGGATCGTGTGGGTGGCAGCCAGCCAATGTGTCTCTCTCACATCGATGTTTCTCTCTCTCTCTCTTCCTCCCTCGCCCCTCCTGCTCTATCTGAAGACGCAAAAAATGTCCTCGGGTGAGGATAAAAAAAATAATATAACAACAGCATAAACAGTCAAAGGGCAAATGACAAACTGGGAAAACCTTACATATTGATGTTAGTAGACAACAAAAATTTATTCAAGTAGCCATTAGAAGTGTAAATTAGAACAGCAAACAAAGTAGAATATTTTTTTGCCAAATTCACAGAAATTGAAGAGGATGATTACCTTTAGTTTTGGCAAGACTGCAGAGAAAACAAGAATTTTTGCACATTGTTAACGACATTGAGAAAGTCGTCTAGCAACAGCCACTAGAAGTGAGAACACACATACTCTTTGGAGAACCCCAGCGTACATTAAAAAAAAAAGACATGGTATTTAATGACATTTAAACAGCATTGTCTATAGGGACAAAGAAAAAAATCTGAATGTCAACAGAATGATTGAATACATTATAGGATAATATGGAATGTAATAAATAGGCAAATACAGGTAAGGCCTATACATGTTGAAAAGAATCGCTGAGTATGTAGAACGATTCCCATTTTTTAAAACCTCCACAATTTACATGCATGCCTATGTTCATAGAAGTCATGAAAGGATACATCCCAACAGTTGACACCCCCTCAGGTAGATGGATTGAGATGTAGGAAATCTGGGGGAGAGGTAAAAGAAACTTTTAAAGAATACTTTTGTATGTTTAAGGAGCCCCTTTATTTTCTCAGCTAATAAACAGTCAAGTAGGTTAGGTTTAGAATATAGATTAAAGTTCTTATTTGTCTAAGTTAAAAAGTTGATACTAAATTTGGTAATTTAAGAAATAGTGGTAAAAGTAGATTATTAGAATTACTGTCAGCAACCACCAGAAGAAACAAAAAACAGAGGGACCAGAGATGAGATGGCAGATTCTCTAAGATCACTGGGCTTACATGCCTTATGGAAGTAAGAGTTTTGAATGCCTTCATGACCTCAGTAATTTATATTAATAAAATAAAAGCCAGGTACATAAATAAAAAACCACATAAGCAACAATTATATATATTACTTGGGTCCGCAGGTTAACTGAAATCACTTTTTCTATTCTATATCCCCCATCATATCTTTAATACACCTGTTAAGGTTCCCCAGAGTAGGAAGAAGTCACATTCAAATGAATTAAAGTATAAGAAGTAAAAAGGACCACAGCTTTATTAAAAGTAAGTAAATGTAACATATAATATATACAGATAGCACATGGTGCCAATCGTATTTGCAGCTATCACAGTTCTCCGACTCCAGTTTACAAGTTACACCTTTGCCACAGCCTTAGCTAAATCTTGAATTAGTGCAGAATTCAGCTGTGCTAGAGTGCTGATCTTAGCATGCTTAGATGTGGCGTACTTGTTCTTGATAGTCTGGAAGAGAAAAGTATAGTAATTAATGAAGGAAAAGAGGAAAACATAAGATCCATTGGTATAGATATTTACGTAAAACATCAGGTCCTTAAAAATAAGCTATGCTTTGCAGGTATGAAGTCTTATATATTTTCCGTACCGCAGGCCGACGCTCTAACCGCTGAGCCAAACCGGCCAGGGCTGAAGTCTTATATATTTTCACTTTTCTAACAATATCCTGAAGTGTCACTGATTGACTTACCATGTGCTTTGTAAGCCCACTATTCATGATGACTATATTCTTAGCGAGGTGTTGCATAACAAGACGAAGGGATTCTTCAGTGTATGACAGGTAATGCTGTAGAACTGGTGTCTAAGACAGTAAGAGTTAATGTTAATAATGCTCATCAACAATGGTTTTCATAAAATTTCTAGATGTCATTCCAGAGTGTGGTAGGGAGATGGATACTGTATGACTGATTACAATGGAAACTGAAGACAAGGTTAAGACCCCTTCTTCTCTAGGCACTCTTCTTTCATGCTTCTCTAGGGTCCTGTGCTTAAACCTATTATATACTAATACGATCAAATCGATACACTTTTGTAATTGCTGACTTTTCCACCCCACATCTAGACTCCAAATTACTTGAGGCTCACCTTCTCATTCATAGTTCTATTCTTAGGCCTAGGGTAGCACATGGCATATAGAAATACATGTTGAATCAATGAATATGAATTAACTTCTAGTATGTCATTTGACCTGCTTGTTCTTCTCCATCTATAAGGAGTAGCAGCTGCTCTGCCTTCTCAAAGGGATATAGAAAGATGAAATTAGGTAATGAAATGGAATCATTCTATGAAGACATCACAAACAGGGTATCACTTTTAATCATTCCCTCCATAGATGCCATATTTAGGAACCATTTGAATTGTCCTTTAATGAAAACAGTTGTGTATTCAGGCAACTACTATTTAAAAGCTTAGGGCCTCCTAGATCTGTGGGACAGAGCTTACCCATTCACCATTATCGAGAATTTTCAGTGCTAAACAAAAAGCTCCTGCTGCAATCTGAGAAGGAGGAAAGTGCACCATATCATAGTCTAACATAGTTAGTTCCATCAGGTATTTGGCCAAAGTATGTTGCTCCACATCAACCTGGAACAAAATCCACATACAGGTCACTGAGCTGTCAGAAAATTTTGTCTTGGCAATAACCACTAAGCCCATAGCTGTAACTCAGATGTTTGTCTATAAACTCTCAAGTGCAATTGCCCATGGAAGGCCTTAATAATATTAATATACAGCCTATCTGGAATAAAAGAATATGCGTATACCTTCCCCATGTAGTTAGGTATAAGTTAGCTGAATTAGATCCGCTTGGTCAGCAGTATTCTCTAATATACCACACCAAAGGTTTCTCAAGAGATCTATACCTCTCCAATCTTGGATGCTCTCCGAAGGAAATGCAGGGGTAGAGGACGACCCAGGCAAAAATTTAAAGCTCTCAGAATCTTCATTTCCATCTGTCTTATTTGGAGCTTAGTGTAAGTGTTGTCAGTCACAAAGGCAAAGTCACCGATTTCTGGAGGGTACATTTCTTCATATTTGCTTGCAATAAACATGGCAGTAACACCAACCAGCTGCAGCATCTTCTTGGGCACAGAATTATTCTGCAAAGGAAATTTCAACAGGATGAATAAGTAATATGTATTTGAAAAAGGAGACTTATGAAAGAGGTGGGGAAAACATGCTCCCAGAGTAAAATCTCTATGACACCCTATCCTCCAAAACAGATTTTAGCTGAAAAAGTGTTTTTTTATGCCCTGGAAGAAAGAACCCTCAATTACTGAATTATGCTCACCTGCATGAACCGATCAATAATGGAAACAGTCATGTACATGGTCTCCTGCAGTAATCTGAATTTCATTTGAACCTGTACCAGCCAATCAATTAGGATGGCTCTCATGTTTCCAGTGACTTCACGACCCAATAAGTATTTTGGTCTGACTGCTTGCTCTTCCTGCAAAAGAAATGCTGGTTATTATTAGAAGCAAGACTCCATGTGACATATCTAACCAGAAATATTAGTCCCCACAGAATAGCTCTGGAGCATTTAGAATCTCTAACAGTCCTTAATCTTAATTATTCATGTGGTCACTACAAACTGCTCTATTGCTAGAGAAAAAAAAAGCACACCAACATTAAGTAGAATAGTGTGACAGGTTTTTCATACTGGCAGATCTATGTTCAAATTCACTATCGCTGCTACTGACCCACACCCTGTACTACCCACTTCTTCCAAATAAAGATACCCTACTATCTCTACCTGCAATCTTTTCACCTAAGACTCTAAACCCAGAACCTGAGCTTTATGAAGTAGAGAAAAATAGCAGCAGCTCTCAGAGTGGCTGGAACCCATGTGCTACCATTTTCTTGCCCCAGGGTTTAAACCCCCAAAACATCATAGATCAGCTGAATAATGAATCATCAAAGACCAGCACATACATCTGCTAAATCCACTCCTCCAGAGTTAGAACACAAACTGGAAGAAGGGAGAAGAATCCCAAAGCAGAAAGCTGGTCCTGGCAAGGAAGTTGTCTTATACGACAATAGTGTGAGAAAATGGAGATGCCCCAAAGAAACAGACAAGAGACTGAAGATGTTAATGATGCCAAGGGAAGAGCATGAATTTCTAAAAATTGGGTAAATCTGCTAACTGTATAGTTTGTTAGCAACATAGAACGCTTCCCTTTTTGGGAGGGTGGGGGAGACAAATGCCACTAATGGAAAGTTTCAGAACTGGGATGAAATAAAAGAAAACCAAAAAACTAGTTTTTGAGGGTACTCTTCTTGGACACAAAGAACAATTTCCTTGCTATCTCATTGACCCACATTGACCCAAAATGCCTTGTATTGGGGGTGATTAGCCACATTGATCCCAAATTCCTTGTGTTGGGAGTAGCTATCGTTTTTCCATCATCATTCTTCTTTACTATCTACTTCCTGACTGCTATCCTCTTTAAACCCAGAGTCTGGGACTTGCCAGGTCCTAACTGTGATGGATATAAATATATCATCAATCTGTGTACTTTCCCTTAGAAAGAGCCATGGTAGTATCTACTTTCACTTAGAACTTTCCCTGTTCAAATGGTAAATAAAGACTTCATTGATTTGTTTACTGATTTTTTTTTGGGGGGGGGGCGGTATTTCATGAAGGAGAATTTAAAAGTAGAATCTAGCCCGGCTGGTGTGGCTCAGTGGTTGAGCATCAATCCATGCACCAAGGGGTCCCTGGTTCGATTCCTGGTCAAGGCATATGTCCAGATTGTGGGCCAAATCCCCAGTGTGGGGCATGCAGGAGGCGGCCAATCGATGTTCTCTCTCATTGATGTTTCTATCTCTCCTTCTTCATTCCTCTCTCTCTCTAATATCAATAAAGAAAAAATAAATAAATAAAAGTAGAATCTATTGTTAAATATTTTTCTCACATCCTGCTTGAATTATTGTCAACTGTCAATGGAAAATATCTTTAATAGATCTAGATGGAGTTTAGAAAAAAACAAAGATTCTAATCATAATACTGACCTCAAGCTGTCTCAGATAAGCATAGATATCTTTCACATATTCACTACAAAGGTTTGGATCAGTTCCATCTTCTGCATCCACATCATTCACTGCAAGAATTACATCAGAGAAAGCCTGACACAAATATTCTTCTGCAGGGGCACAGCCAGATGTTTCCATTGGGCTTGGAGAGGGAGTATCAACCTTGAAACAGAGAGAACTTTTGAATTAATAGCAAAGAGGAAAATACAATTTGGGAATAAAGATCAGATTATTGGTACCAACTCAAGAGATCATTTGCTGAATAGTCATGCAATTCATTTTCTTAAAGGAAAGTATTATCTTTTTAAAGTTATTCAATTTCTTTTTAGGAAGTGATTAATATGAAAAGTGAAATGCCAACTTGACTGAGCCAATTTGAAGTCAGCAGAACCTCAATAACAGGTAAAACAGAGAAGCAAATTAATTCACATTCTGGACATTCCTCCAAAGAAAATTGTTAAGTAACAAATCTCTTTAACAGTGTCATGTACAGTTAAATCCAAATGAATGACAAGCCAGTCTTTCATCTCTATTTGAAAACATGGATTGCTTATCACTGCTCAAGAGAACACAAGTTCTGTCCTGACTACTAATTATTAACTGATTTCATTTTCTTTAAATTCCAGTTATCTCATTTATTGAGCACTTTCTCCAAGCCAAGCTCTGTGCTATGCACTGACTTTATGATGTCCTCAAGGGGCTTTGAGTTTAGAAGAGAAAATTAATGAAGTAAGGAGAGTGATTCTAGAAGAGTAATTGGGTGGCAGAAGTTAAGTAAAGCTTCAAGAGTTGGTATCTGACATGTTTTGAGGGATGAAAAGATTAGATAAATGAAAGAGAGTAGGAAAGGCATTTTAAACCAGTGTGAAAGCAAAGGCAAGACTCATATGGGACTTTCAAGGAAACCTCAGGTAGCTTTGGTATGGCCAATTAACGACTATGCATGCTACAGGTTTCATGTGCTCTGTCCAGAAGGTCCAATACTAAAGCAATAGCCTTAAATCTTATATCCTCAGATATAAGAAGCCAGGCTGACCCCTGGCCAGGTTTTCTCAGTGGTTAGAGCATTAGCCCTTGGATCAAAAGGTCGTGGGTTCTCCGGTTCGATTTCTGATCAAAGGCACGTTCCGTAGGGTTGCAGGTTCCGTAGGGCCTCGGTCAGGCTGAGCAGGTGGCAACCAATTGATGTTATGATTCTCTCTCTCCCCCTCCCCCCACCCCTCTTCCACTCTATCTAAAAATCAAAAGGATTCAATAGAAAAATATCCTCAGGTGAGGATTAACAAAAAAAAAAGGGGCAACCCAGGCTGAATGACTTTTACAGATTTTCTTAACTGTTTTTACTAAGTTTTTAAAATAAGAGCTTCAGAATGTAGTTCATTATAATTTCAGCAAAGCAGCCTCTTTCAGATGGCCTGTTTTTTCCTTCACAGTAACATACTTTTACTTGATTCTTGGTTTTTGAGGCTAACTTACTCATCTTCTTACCTAGTCCCTGAAGAACTACATTTTTTTTTTTTGCTTTATACTGTTTTATGTTATAGGCTTATTAATTACTAATTAATGAGTAAAAAAAATTCAAGAGAACAATCTTGTCAGTCAATAAACTCTGGTTAGAGACTGCTCAATCTTTGGTCCAGGCAGCTACTACTCAATACTATTACCAAAGCATAGGTAGTGAACCTAGACAATCCTGGGTTTGAATCCAATATGTGCTACTGATTAGCTATAACTCTAGAACATACATATCTACAAAGTAGAATACTAGCTAAGAGAATATAAGATCATGTTAGTTAATACATTTAAAGTGTTTAGCAGAGTACTCTATAAATGTTACTATTATAACTATTTGTTCAAATGCTATTCTATACATTAGAGTAAAATGAGGTTTGGAAAGAAACAATCAACAGACTAAAATAGTAAAATTAAGTTTACCAAAATAGGCTCAGGCGAAAGTTTTTCTTCTTTAACAGGCTCAGGTTCTGGCTCCGGTGCCGGTTCCAGCACAGGCACAGGCTCAGGAGCCTTTTCCAGAGGTTTTGGTAGTTTTTTGGCAATAACTTTTCCAGCAGCTAAAGTTTTTGCCTCCTGTGGACGAATGGGAGAGAATGGCATGTTTCTCCAACCAGGTCACAGTTGGAAGGTGGACTTTTACAGATTAGCTGTATCAGGAAGATAATTACCTTTTTCAGAGGCAGTTTGGCCTGTGGCTGTTCACTGACGTTGTTAGCGATGTCACCAAGAGCTGTTCTGGGCCTCAGTCCAGCCTTCGAGGCTGCAGCAGTGGCTAGAGGCACGCGCTTTGCGCCTGCAATACTAATCTTCGCCTTATTTTCAGCATTAATTTTCGTGTTCTGAGAGAAGCAAGATCACTTTGAGAGCTAGCCCAGACAGGTTAGAGTAAGACAGGGGTTAGGATGAGCCAAAGAGAGGCTCTTAGGAGGGAAGTCCGCTGTGAACTAGAGGAAACCTGGTAGCAAGGTCTACACTAAGGCTGTGACAAGTCAGTTTTCTCCCATAACCTCTTCACTCACGCACAGAGGGACTGCCCGGTTAGTCGCGGCTGGCCCTAAAATACCATGAATTTACCTTTGATAGGAAATCTAGTCTCCAAATGCCGGCACCTTCTCTCCCGGCAGAGAGTTAACACAGTTGGTGGGAGCCCACACCGGGAGCCTCCATCACCTTTTAGAAAAGGTTTCCCGGCGACCCTCCATCGGCCTCCCCAACATTTATCCATGGCCCACCCAGACCTCTTTGTCACCTTCCTCTCCCAGTCGGTCCGACCTCCAAACTCCCCCACCATGCCAGAAGCCCACCGACACCCCCAACCTCCCCAAATCTCTGCCTTGGTCCGCTCCCGCCCGGGGCTCTAGCAGGCGAGATAGGGAGGGAACGGGGAGCGAGAAAGGCCGTGTTTGTTCACCGCCCGCAGCAGCTCACCCTGGTGACCCGGAGCGCCATGGCTTCCTCTTCACCAGGCAGCAGCTCAGTGGGGAGAAGCGGAAAACAGGAGACCCCCGAGGAGCCGGGGACCTGAAAGCAACACAGATCAACAACCGTTCCTCCGCAGCACGCCGGGAGATGCAGGCCCAGCCTCAGATTTAAACTCCGCACCGCTCCCTCCTTATTGGCCTGTTCGTGGCACTCGCTCCCTTCCCATTGGCGGCTGCCGGTTCCCCCGAGAATGCGTTTCCAGGACGATCCCGCGACGGAGTTCGAGAGGGGGCGGGACCAGAGCGAGGTTGCGGCTTCGCTTGGTCTGCCTCCGCGCCTGCGCCGTCTGATGTAGCGGAAGGGACGACCTTGTGGCTTTGGAAAAGTGACAGTGGAGCAGCCACAGTTTGAGAAGCAAGAGAAGCAGTATGTCTCTAGTCCTATTTGTTACACACTTTCAATATAATGTATACCATTTTTTTCTCTCTGTGTATATATGTGTATATATAGGATGTCCCCCCCAAATATATACACAACTTTGAATAATTATAAAGCCAGTGTTTATTAAAATACATTTCATTTTTAAAATGTAATAGAATTTACAGAAAAAAAAAATTAATAGTGTAGGTGGAGCTGAAAACAGGATTGGTTGATTCCTTCCTGCAAATCTGAATGCAGTGAGAGTGCAACCTCTTTCTGGTCCTGGTAGATGACTGGAGGTTTGTGTTTTGGAGAGGCTGTGCTAAAGGAACTGGATTTCAGACACCAGGCGAGCATACAGAGATGAAGTGAAATTCTTCATACCAAATGGTGAAACCTTTAGTTTCCTTCTTCCACTCAGTCCCCTAAATGCAGGCAGCTGGACTTATACCCTCATAAATGAGATAAAAGCATGCTTCTCTGGCAAATGGACCAGCCCAAGAAAAAGTCTAAAAAATATTGATGGTTACGCCCTGGCCGGTTTGGCTCAGCCATTAGAGTGTCGGCCCGCGGGCCAGAGAGTCCTGGGTTCGGTCCCCACTAATGGCATGTACCTCAGTTGCAGTTTTCCCCTGGCCCTGGTTAAGGTCGTGTGGGTGGCAACCAGTGGGTGTGTCTCTCTTCCCCCCTCTCTCCCTCCCACTCTATCAGAAGATGAATGCAAAAGTGTCTTCAGGTGAGGATAAAAATATAGATATAGATATGGATATAGATATATATAGATATAGATGGTTAGGAAGAGTGCCCAATGAAATGGCTGGGTCACCTTTAAAGTTTCGTTCACCATTTGACATGCTTACACACTGACACAGAGGTTCTAATCAACAATTTTTTTTTTTTATCCTCACCCGAGGATATTTTTCCATTTTTTGTACAGATAGAGTGGGAGGGAGAGAGAGGAAGGGAGAGAGAGAGAGAAACATCGATGTGAAGGGACACATCGAGTGGCTGCCACCCGCACGACCAACCAGGGCTGGGGACAAACTGCAACTGAAGTACGTGCCCTTAGCGGGAACCGAACCCGGGTCTCTCCAGACCGCAGGCCGACGCTCTAACCGCTGAGCCAACTGAGCCAAACTGGCCAGGGCCTAATCAACAATTTTTAAAAAATCCTCACCCGAGGATATTTTTCCATTTATCTTCAGCTAGAGTGGGAGGGAGAGAGAGAGAGAGAGAGAGAGAGAGAGAGAGAGAGAGAGAGAGACCCATCAGTTGGTTGCCCCAACCAGGACTGGGCACCGAACAGCAACTGAGGTACATGCCCTTGACTAGAATCGAACCTGTGACTCTTTGGTCCATGGCCAATGCTCTAACCGCTGAGCCAAACTGGCCAGGAATCTGAACATTTTAATGTCCTACTCTTAATTATTAACAGCCAGCCAAAGAGCATCCAACATTTGAGGAAATCTCCAACCTGAAAGAAAGAGACCTATACAAACAAACATAAAAAAGAAACTCCAAGTGAATAGGCAATTCAAGGAGAAGAAAGCTAGAAAAAAATAAAAATTTTTTTTAATATAGTAGGTTGGCCTTTAATAACATAGTAGATCAGATGAATTTAATTGATATTTTTGGAGCATTTCACCCCAAAGCAGCAGAATATACATTCTTTTCAAGTGCACATGGAACATTTTCTAGGATAGACCACATGTTGGGACATATTAAGCACCTTCTCTGACTATAATGGTACAAAACTAGAAGTCAACTACAAGAAAAGCATGTTATTAAACAATGAATGGATTAACAGTGAGATTGAGGAAGAAATAAAAAATTACCTGGAAGCAAATGAAAATGAACATATAACAACCCCAAATTTATGGGACACCGCAAAAGCAGTCCTGAGAGGGAAGTTCATAGCATTACAGACCTACCTCAAGAAGCAGGGGAAAATCTCAAATAAACAATCTAACCCTACACCTAAAAGAACTAGAAAAAGAATAACAAATAAAGTCCAGAGTAAGTAGAAGGAAGGAAACAATAAAGATCAGAGTAAAAATAAATGATGTAGACACTGAAAAAACAAAAGATCAATGAAACTAAGAACTTGCTCTTTGAAAAATAAAAAAGAATGACAAACCTTTAATCAGATTCATCAAGAAAAATAGAGGACCCAAATAAATAAAATCAGAAATGAAAGAGGCGAAGTAACAACTTACATCACAGAAATACAAAGGATTGTAAGAAAATACTATGAACAACAATATGCCAACAAATTGGACAACCTAGACAAAATGGACAAATTCCTAGAAAAATACAATCCTCCAAAACTCAGTCAGGAAGAATCAGAAAACCTGAATAGACCTGTAACAACTAATGCAATTGAAGCAATAATAATTTAAACACCAAAAAACAAAAGAACTCCAAGCAAACAAAAGTTCTAGACCAGATGATTGTACAGGCAAATTTTACCAAACATTCAACGAAGAACTAACACCTATACTTCCCAAACTATTCTGAAAATTCAAGAGGAGGGAAGACTTCCAAGCTCTTTTAACAAGACCAGCATTATCCTAATTCCAAAACCAGATAAAGACACTACAAAGAAAGAAAATTATAGGCCAGTATCCCTGATGAACATAGATGCAAAAATCCTCAACAAAATATTTGCAAACCGGATCTAGCAATACATTAAAAAAATCATATCCTATGATCAAGTGGGGTTTATTCCAGAGATGCAGGGTTGGTACAGTATCCACAAACCAATAAATGGGATACACCACATAAACAAAATGAAGAATAAAAACCACATGATCACCATGGCTGGTTTGGACCAGAGGTTAAAGTGTCCCCATGGACCAAAGGGTTGTGGGTCCAATTCTCAGTCAAGGGCACATACCCGGATTGCAGGTTCAATCTCTGGCCCTGATTGGGGTCATGTGGGACGCAACCAATCAATGAGTCTCTCTCACATCCATGTTTCTTTTTCTCTCCCTCCCTTCCTTCCACTCTATCTAAAAATCAATAGAAAAATATCCTTGGGTGAAGATTAACAACAACAACAAAAAACAAAGCACATGATCATTATCAATAGAAGCATTTGATAAAATCCAACATGCATTAAAAAAAAATTTTCCCTTTTTTCTACTTTTAACTTTTTAAAATTTATCTTTATTGTTGAAAGTATTACAAATATCCCCCCTTTTCCCACCATTGGCCCCCTCCTTCCCCCTCATATCCTCCTCCTGCCTTCCCCATGCTGTGTCTGTATCCATTGGTTATGCATATATGCATATAAGTTCCTTGGTTTATCTCTTCCTGCTCCCCTCCCTCCTTCCCTCTAAGATTTGTCAGTCTAAAAACTAATTTGTACTTATCCCTTTACCTTTATTGCCCATCCCCCCAACTTTCCTCCTATCTGTCAACCAACAAAAAGTTCTCTGTATCTATGAGTCTGTTTCTGTTTTGCTTATTTTGTTTGTAGATGCAATTGTTGATAGATATGTATTTATTGCCATTTTATTCATACTTAAAAATTTTTTTTCTTTATGATTTTAGAGAGAGAGGAAGGGAGAGGGAGAGAGAGAGAAACATTGATGAGAGAGAACATCCATTGGCCACTTCCTAGATGCCACCCACTGGGATTTGGTCCACAACCTGGGCATGTGCCTTGACCGGGAATCAAACCGGAGACCTCTTGGTGCCTGAGTCGACACTCAAACAGTGGGCCACACCACCCGGGCTATTGTTCATACTTTTTATCTTCTTCAAGAAAACCCTTCAACATTTCATATGATACTGGTCTGTTGGTGATGAACTCTTTTAGCTTTTTCTTGTCTGGGAAACTCTTTATATGTCCATTGATTCTAAACGATAGCTTTGCAGAATAAAGTAATCTTTGTTGTAGGTCCTTGCTTTTCATCATTTTGAATATTTCTCGCCACTCCCTTCTGGCCTGTGAAATTTCTTTTCGGAAACCAGCTGACAGTGTTATGGGAACTCCCTGGTAGGTAACTAACTGCTTTTCTCTTGCTGCTTTTAAGATTCTCTTTGTGTCTTTAATATTTTGCATTTTAATTATGATGTGTCTTGGTATGGGCCTCTTTGGGTTCGTCTTGTTTGGGACTCTGTGCTTCTTAGACTTGTATGTCTGATTTCTTCACCAAGTTAGGGAAGTGTTTTGTCATCATTTTTTCAAATAGGTTTTCTTTTTTTATCTTCACCCAAGGACATTTTTTGCATTTATCTTCAGAGGGAGTGGGAGGAAGGGGGTGGGGGAGAAAGAGAAACATCGATGCGAGAGAGACACATTGACTGGTTGCTTCCCACATGACCCCAACCAGGGCCAGGAATAAACTGTAACCAAGGCACACACCCTTAGTGGGAACTGAACCTGGGACTCTGGTCTGCGGGCCAACACTCTAACCGCTGAGCCAAACCAGCCAGGGCTCAAATAGGTTTTCAATGTCTTGTTCTATCTCTTTTTATGGTCCCCCAATGATACAGATGTTGGTACATTAAAAAAAAACAAAAACCTCTTTATTGTTGAATGTATTACAGATGTCCCTCCTTTTTCCCCTATTGACCTCCTCCTCCCCACTCCTGAGCCACTCCTGCTTTCCCCATACTGTTGTCTGTGTCCATTGGTCATGCATATATGCATACGAGTTCTTTGGTTTAT